ACTATAGATGATTTTGATTACTTTAGCGTGGATTATGTATAGTTCAAGCATGATAACTTGTTGTTTTTTAATCTGGATAAAAATAGCCATAGGCATCAGTGATGAAGTCCTATTTTGCATCATAATGTGTATTATGAGGTGCAAAGGGTACGGATAATATTGCAAAATTCCATTTAATATCAGTAATATGTCGATGTTGAATATACAATGTTGAAACAGTTTTTAATTTGTTTTGGAATGTTGGTTCGACATTGACCTTCCAAGATGAACTTTGACATTGATTGCATACACACATCCTCCCACAGTTATATTTATAATTACATGTAATTTCATATGGCAAAATGTCTTGTTGTTGCTAATATCATTATTTACGCCATTTTGAACCAATGTGTATACTACGAAGATCGGTATATTTCAAATTTTTGTCAATAGAGTAATACATAATAAGAAATACTAAGAGTTAGAAAACAGAAAATTTTGAATTTCAATCTCGAATTCAAATCGAGGATTGTAAAAATTTAGAAGAAATTATTTCAAATGGGAACTATCAGAAGTAAAGTTTTTTTGGGAAGTCGGGTTACCCAAAAATGCTTTTTCTGTAAAATTGCGGTGAATAGTAAAATTATGAATTAAGCAAAATTTGTCAAGCACATTGATATACATACCGGTATATATCAGTTTTTTTTTTTCTGAAAACTAAATGATTTCAAATAACACTGAAGTATTTTTTTTCACAAAAAAGAACTATGGAAATTAACTAGACATGTACATCATTAACTATATTGAATATTTCAAATTCTTGACTTTTAGGATAGTCCAAAATAGTACAATTAAAATTGTCATTTTTGAGCATTTGAGTCTCACAATATAGCCAAAATGGTTTTAATTTCATTTTTAAAATATAAAAATATAGAAATAGATCTTTGATATAGATCACTTATTTCACCTTGACTGCAAATTTCAAAATTAGTTTGAATAAATTTGCAATAATTTCTGCAAATTCTCATTTGAACAATATAGCCATTAATTGTTGGACTTTATTTCATACAGTACAGGTAGACCTTATGTGACCTCCTGCAAACAAAGCCACCTACAAGTGGTAATATGATCTGTGCCAACACCTTTGAAAAAGAATTTCTATTTTCTTAGATGAGTGTTTGAAGTAGAATAATCTTGAAAAGTGCAAAACACACTTGTTTACGTTCCATTGCAACTGCTGCATGCATTCAAACGAACCACTCGGGTTGTGAATTACAAAACAGAATTAGTTTGTTTTGTTAATAACAGGATCTAACTCAGGGTAAACCAATAACAATGCAATCTTGCCTTACATGCAGAGGAGAGTACCGTATTTTTAAACATTCATCAAATTACCAAAGAAACATTAAAATCAAATTTGATTTGTTTTAATTGATAAAACCAAATAATCTACATTCCAAAATAATCTATTTGAATATGAAATAAAGAGGTTATTATGAATTAAGTTATGTTTAGCTAAGAAGATTTGGAAGCCCCGGTATATTCACTTGGTTTGAATTAGGAAAAGCTAAATATTATTTGATTAATTTCTTTTTTTTTTACAGATTTCAGAGATTAAATGAAGGCGTTTTTCGGTTATGCTCAAAATAATAAGTTATTCTTAAAATCAAACATTTTCTATATCGAATATATCAATTCAATTTCTATATCAATTCAAATATTCCAATTGACCATTACTTGATATTTGTTATTGAAAGATTTTGTAATAAGTCTATCACTAACCATATACAATGTTTTTCACTCAATAAGAATAAATTTTTGTGTCGAAATTCATACGGTGAGTTTTAAATAATCCGAAGAGTTTCACAATTTCATTATAAAAACACAAAAAATTCAATTTTACTTCCTATTTCGAAGTTATCGAATTACCAAAATTTTACGCATTCTTAGGCATACTGTTTATTAATAAAGATCAAAAAAATTTCATCCGATACAGACGCTTTTATTTTTTAGTTGAGAAAGCATGAAATCAAGAAACCGTGAAACGAAAACCAGTAAGCGTAAAATAATATTTGTCTTCTGCAGATCACCGCAAATCATAGTTTATCCCAACGTTAATCGGTTTTAAAAAATATTTTAATCCGCCATGGTAAGATTTTGTTTCGATAAACTTTGGAACGTAAACATAATATGAAAAAAATATGTCCGTGCGTACACAGCATCAAGGCGAGAACCGTATTATTGGAGACTACTTTATAATTATCGTCAAATTGCCAAAGGCAAGATTATCAAAACCAGATCGCGGTAATAAAATGTAAAGCTTGTTTCCAAAAAGGGCAGATTATGGTGATTTGGGAACAATTACTTGTAATATATTAATAGAACGTCATCTAATGTGCTGTACCAGCCCACAATCTTATAAACTGTGTGAATCATTCGTAAAATTAATCATTCTTTCTTAAAATACAAGTTCCTTGAAAAAACAGAAAATGGTGTATTGATATCGAGAATATATATAAAAAAAAAATAAGAGTATTAAAATTCAGAATATATACATGGTAGCCCAAAAAAAAAAACCAATAAATTTCTCAATTACTTCCATGGAAATGAAGAAAATTTATTCAATTCGCGAACTTCTGTTAGTGTATCATTGTACCCAAAAGGTCCAGCAATCCATGACGTTGGCGAATGACAGTTGGCGACTGTCAAAATTATGTTCTACCTAAAATATGTTTCAAATTACCTTTCTTTTTGGGTCCTGTATTACAAATAAAATTTAGGACACCAAAACTACTTATTTACTTGGTACAATAATTATTTTTTTTAGAGAATTGGGAGGACATTTTGTTTATTAGTGATTTATGAACAAAATCATATTGATATAAATTAAATCATAAATTACTGTTCTGCAAAATAAGTATTATTTAAGTTAACATAAATTGCACTACAAATAAATTGATTTTTTTTCAAAACTACTGAAAAAAAATAAATATATTCCTAATCATTTAACATTCTGAAATTTCAGACAGTAGGAGAAATACAAAATCAGGTTAGTCAGTTATAGACAAATAGAGAGTCATGAAATAATTTACTAAAAAGCCAACACAAGATGATGTGGAAATTTAATTTAAAACCTCATATTCGCAGATGCCATAATCAAGAGGACATTTATCAAAATATTAGGACATTTTTATTGAACAATATTGTAAATCTTTGTAGTCATATTTATTCAGCACAAAACCGTTAACTCTTGAAGTTTCTCCCCACTAGAAAAATAAGAATCAATTTTTCAAGCATGAATTTAGATAAAACGAACCAGTAGTGGTATATTATGTGTGGTCTTAGATGGCCAAGTGATTTTTGAGTATTTTCTTTCCTTGTGTTGGCAACACAATTTTTTGTGTTTAGTGTTTACTCAATATGGCATACGAGTCATAACAAAGCCCAGTACAATATGAAGGATTAGGTTCTGAATTTCTGAAAAAGGATCATCGTTTCTACGTATACCTAATATTCTAAAAAAACAGGTTGGAATATTAGTTCAAAAAATATGATAACAAAGAATTACCGGAAAGTTTATTTGAAATGAGTAAATAAAATTTTTCAATCATTTTTTGACAAATAAGTACTTGTAATCAAAAATACAGTCTTTTTCTGGTAAAATTTATTTTATTCGAAGAATGTGATTTCTATCTAGCTTTATTTCTATTGATAATTAACAAAGTATTCTTTATCATTTATCATCATCAAATTATAAGAGAAATTTAAACTATCGATCACAAACTTAAATTCAGGATGTCGACTTCATGTGTGATTTTTTTCACATTGAAACCTTATTTATTTGTAAGGGTATATCTATAGAGTATAGTGGAAGATAGAGTATTTAGAATTTTTGTTTTCAATCAAGTAATCCCTTTATTAATAGAACTACTTCTAATATTGATATTATTTAGAATTCGTTATAATAAATTGTGAAATTATCTATATATTTTACAAATAACATTCGCTTCTTTGAATAAAATTATGAACCTTACAGAAATGACACAGAAAATTAATAAAAATATTTCATTATGCACACAATAAGGGCGTCCATATACATATACATTGTTACGTGCTATGACACAATAACCTGGAATTCCTTACGTAAAAACACTTTAATATTTGTCTACTATGATCACCCATTACAATCTGGTGATAAAACTTCATGAAACCAAGCATGGCCCACACAAAAATTAACCCTAAAAACTCAAAATTTTGTAAATGATATTCCGAATGGCTTTTGTGGTTTATGTGAAAGGTTTTAAAAATCAAAATTGGGAAATGACGTTCTGTATTTATGTTTCCTTTCCGTGAACCTAACAATTCGCTTAGCCTCGAAAAATAGTTGACCACGCAAGGAAATGGTATGATATGTACATTTGAAATTCTAAAAAATATTCACAGTTTATAATACTGATGGATTTATGGTGTCAAACTATTTAAATGAATTCCTCTGCAGAGGTCTATAGGGTCGACATATAGATTGGGCTCCTCTTAAAGGGATATTTACCTGATATATAGACAGTGGTTTTGATTTTTATGGCAGCTATATAAAATGTGTACAACCAATCGAATGCACCATTTTATATTCTCTTGATGATCTCTAAAACTTTCTGATAATGTGCAGCCAATACAACGCTATGGATACATTATTATGTTATGTCAAATTCAATATGGATGTTACAAAAAAAAATTCTGATGTGCCCCAGGGTTGTTTGGTAATCCGTATAATTTTATGATATGAATGGGCTAATCCGGGAAGTTATATTATCATCATGGCACAGAGGTCATGTAAGAATATTTGGGTTTTCTTGGGGTTCGTCTATCAAACAAAAAAAAATTAAAAAAAATATTTCTCATTTTGAAATGAAATTTAATATATCATAGGCACACAATTGAAAACAAATATTTCCAGCCTTGCATGAAATAAATTGGTATTATACCCTATAGGAAAATCTTGATGAGTGATAGTAAATACTCACCAGATAGAAATACAATTGGTCGTTCTGGATATCTGAATCTTGACATATCAATAAGGTAGGTAAAAACAGTGAAAAGAGTAGAAATTCCGCATAAGATTGACCATATTCCAATCCACCAGTGAGCGAATTCACGTTGGTCACTAAAATAAAAGAATGTATTTATAAAGGTATACACGAATAGGTGAATATGTTCAAGAAGGATCCTTTCTCATAAACCATGGTTAAAAGCCACCACATATAAGAAGATATGCAATAAACTGACATAAATGACTGGTAGTAACCGTTAATTGATGACATGTTCGTTCGCCGTAACCAACTATCACCATTATTCATTTATACTACATTTATAAATGGCATAATAAATATATCAACAATAAATATCTCTAGCCCCTATTGACATTTGACGGGTGGCTACGAAGTATCATGATTTTAGGTTTACAATTACACTTTCGCTATACAGTCACAATCTTTAAGGCACAACTAACAACTTCTTCTATTTTCTCGTCCCTTTTTAATTTGTTCACAACTTTTAAAAGAAGATAGACATGGCTGTAGCTGTTATGGCAAGTGTATTACCACCTAGCCTAAAAAGTCAGTCCTTCAGATCTCTGAGCAGGAGTATTACATGGATATGCAATTCTTCACAGAAGTTATAAAGACACATCCACATTGTCTTACCAGTGACCTTAAAATTATAAATATGTCACCTTTCCCAATACAGAATATTATCTTTGTCACAAGGTGCGGCACAGTATTGTGCTCCCATGAATGAATATCCATCTGAATTAAATAGTATATGATTATTAGATTCTATAGCAAAATTATAACAGAATTTTCACCAGAGAAATTTCGGATTTTCATATTTTACCATGGAGCAAGAAAACCGATAAGTGGGCTTGGCTTGATCACATATGGCAAACTCTATACAAGAGTACATGAAGCTTGAGAGTTTGGGAGAATAATTAACCAGTTATTCATTCAAACCCACAGAATTGACACAGAAATACAAAAACATTTGAGAAAACAACACAATTTCTAAATTTTTAAAATAATTAGATTTGAACATTTTGTTTGAGTTTCCTGGAAGCATGATCAACAATACTGAAATTCAAATTATGTGACATAATAATTTTCTAAAAAAAGATAACGTCTTGATTATTCAAGACCACACATCGTTAAATACAATGTGATCCATTTGACCAGGTGAAATAGAAATACAACACCAGTACTGTTCTATATTGTCTAGCCCAAAGAAATTGATATCTCCAGCGCTGAATAATGCATAACACATGAAATGTTGCAAGCGCTCAATGGAAATGAAACTTCCAAATTTTAAATCAATAAATATGTTCACCCAATACCCATCTTTAAATTAGACTTCGAATCTATCATAAAAGAAAATTTTTTTCTATGTGGGTGTCAACAGCAAAAATATTCACATAGTGTGAAATGAGAAGTAAAGCACAGTGTGTAAAAGTAGGTTATTCTCACATGGATGAAACAAGATTCTTATTACTTGGAGGATCTGTACTAATTATCCTTTAGTATGAGTATATTAATAACTGTTTTTAAATTCTTTTTTAAAAATCCTACTAGCTCTGTTTAGCGCAATAATAAAAATAATGTACAGGCTGATATTCCCTTATTTAACTTTTTTATGACTTTCCTTACCAGAAAGAGAAAAGTGGATAAAAAATTTTTTGCAAATTTAAAACATTTTTTATATGGCTAAATGATATTTACAATTTTAATGTATTTAGCAACTAAAAATTTTATGGATTATCCACATTTTTTTATGGTTTCAAATTGTTACACCATTTGAAGCCTGCTTTATTGAGTAGTAAATACATTGATTTTGTGATGAACCCTATTCATGTAATAATTATAACCGAGATGAATTGACAATGAATTACAAAATAACAAAAACCAACAATAGGGCCGTTCTATTAGAACATTATTATATTGTGAAATGCGATATTGACATTCGTGCAACGGTAATGCATTAGTGAAAATTTAATTTGATCGAAATATTTGTAATAGAAATTGTGAAATAGTAAATCACATTCATTGGCACTCACCTTGTTGTGGTAAATTGGGTACTTCCATTTCTTTAGGGCACTCAAATACCTCTTTATGGGAACAAGCTTTAGTTCGAATTGGGATGTTTGCTTCTGGGATGCTATTCGGTAAATCATCAGAACTAAAGCACAATTGATCTTTTGATTTTTCCGGTAGGTCATCACACGTAAGTCCAACAGGCCATTTGAATTCAAAACTGAAAGAAAAAAAGTTCAGTAAACAAACTTTGACAATTTTATCAGGTAAGGTAGGTCAGAGTTCAAAAAATAAAATGGAAAATAAACAATGAAAAATGATACAACAATCCAATTATAATCAATTATAATTTACATGTAATGCTCAAAGATAGTTATAACCAAATAATAAATAAGATGAAGATATATATAAATGATTGGCAACTGTCAGTTCATTTTAAACATATGAATAATATGGAAAAATTTGAAATTTTGCTAAGACGCTATCAAAGACAATTTTGATTGTGGCATCGAATGATATATTTATATATAAGACTTGAAATCGGATAAATTATATTTTTCACGGTCAAATTACAAAAACAAATTAACAAAGCAATCTAATTTTAGGTACGGTATGTTTAAAATTTAACTTTAAATGTAGGCCAACAGGAATACAACAGCTAGCTGTAATATTTATTGGACAAGTGATACATTAAAAGCATACAATTACAATTTGCTGGCTATTTTCAAATCCTGAATAGGTCAAAAGTGTATCAGCATATGCGCATATCAAAATTGGAAATGCAGTTAGGCGGAAATGAATGAAACATGATAATTTTAAATATGAAGGAATTATTGTAATGACCAAATTTACCTGTTCATGAGCTCCTCACACCCAGTTCTCGCATGAATACATAAATGTTTGCAAGGTGGTATTGCTTCCTTCAAGTTGGTGCAAACAGGAACATAAACGCTACATAGAAACAATAGTAGTGCTTTCGAACACTTCATCTGAAAAGTAGGATGGATTATTTATTTCAGTATATAATTAGGCATCTACAAATAAGTAAGACAGATATATTCAGATTCAGCTATGGGATCTGTAAAACATAGCTGCACGCACCTATAAGGCACCCCAATAGCACACTATGTAGGAGGACATGCAAATGTCGACTGAGGTCCTATACCCGTCCATAATTTTGAACAACCATAACAGCGCTGGCACGAATCTTTCAGCATTATAAAAATATTGGACAGTTCCCGAATGTCTGTTCATCCTGCATCAGTTCAATTCGATAAACGAAAAGTTATACAAAAGTGTATACCTCTACTAAAGGATAAAACTGATGAACTTCAAGAGCTGCCTCATCTTGTGTAGTATGACCGAGTATATTTGGAAATACTGTCAAGTTATATTCTGAAGACAAAATAGAGGAAATATTTAGTAAAGTCTGAAAGTACAAGTTTGGAAAGCTAGTTCTGTTCATGGTTCTCGATAAATTATGATTTGAGTGTACAATCAGAATATACAACAGGAAATGTCTGATTGCAAAACTCGATACAAAATGTTAAATATATAAACATTTTTCTATTTATGAATCTGAAAATAAGATGTCGGCACTAGTAACATAGAATTTCCCAAAAAATACTGAAATTCGAGTTGGAAAAGATTGTCATATCTCAGTATCGTAGTATTACGCTGAAAGACAAATAATATACCCTGTAAATATAAATATATATAATAAATAATAATATAAATTATTCGCTGAACAAGTGGCCCCCGATCTGAGAAGGCAGTACGAAAATACCAGACTCGAGTTGTTCAGCTATAGCAAATGCTTCATAAATTTAATTTTACATTTTCTAGCATAATGTGTTCTGTATCTGTTTGCATATGTACGACATAACATAACTTCATAAAGTTTGATTTAAAAAGAAATTATCAGCTTACTCATATCCTGACACAAAGGTGTCGCGATAGGCTCACATCGTCCTTTCGGTGAATATTCATCATCATCATATATCAATCCAGTTCCATGATATCCTTGACAATGAGTTATGTCGATTGTTGATGTAAACACGAATAAAATTGTTAATAAAATCCCTCCAGAATGGAGCATGATCAAGTTGAGAGGAAAGCAATGCACCTCGATCAGTCAATATTTTGACAGCAAAGTTTACACTGTAACAGATTTTAACTTAAAAAACTGTGAAATAATACTGTAATAAGAACTTTGTTGTTAGCTTAATGACGGTTTAGGGAATACTGGAATAGCCTAGCTAACTTCTGAACTTACTTTGAAGTAAACATGAAATTGATTTGAACTAATAATAATGAAATTAACCTGGCGTCTCTTTAAATGCAATGACAGCGGTCGACTGGTCGAACCAAACGCACCTCTGCGCACAAACTGAATGTAGGCAGCAAAACGCCGATCTCGCTTTCAACTTGCGGTCTACTACTACTAGCCCGCAATATGCACAATAATTATTCTCCGTCTAGGCCGATATCCTTCACTAACTGACTAATAAATTGCGCTGTTCGTCCTTGCAACGTCATCGACAATCCGTCAAAGATCTACAAACTGAAATGCTGAACACACCTTACAAGCAAACCACTGCATATAGTCTACGACTCTACATCAGTACACTGCCGACGCAAAATTTTAATCCGATATTCGCTACCTTCTACTCCGGCATAGGCAAGCGAAATGATTACCCTTCGCAACTCGCAAGTCTTCACCAAAGTGACTCCACTATCGCGATACCGCCAACTGTTTCACTGAATACCACACGGCTACAGCAGCACAAAACGAAATTATTGCTCAACTAAAATATTTAAACGAGGGTATTATTGCAGTCTTGATGCTTAAAATCTAGATAGCGATTGTTGGTGATCAAACACGTCGGTTATATCATCACCATGTCGCTGTACGAAAAAAATATTCTTTTACACGACATAAACAGGTATAAAGTTGCGACCGCAAAAACTCATTTCGCTGGCGTTATCTTGAAAATCTTAAAACTGATGATTGAATTGCAATGAAGGTTCGCGTAATCAACCGTTCTAATCATATCACTGTCTCAATTTACACGTTCTTCGAATTTTGTATTTATCGTAACAAAGCAACCCAAACCCCTGACCTGGCAATCACCGCACAAAATTTATTAACAATTTCGCAGTAATTTTACCATTCTGCCCTGCATGAAAATTGACTTCCCAACTTTCTTATTAACACAGATTATATATTTAGTCTTATAGCATGATGGTTCAATGTTGCTGAGAAATACTCTTTTAAATAGAAATCAATAAGCCAATAGATCATTTGCTATCTTTGCTACGCAGATTATAAAATGAAAAGTATTTCCCTCGTATATACAAGTGCCAAACCACAACTCTCGCTACAAATGGCAAGTCAAGTCACCCATCCTAATGATTTAAATCAGGGGTGTGCAACCTTTTTCGCGGGCGGGCCAAATATCAATAACTGAGTGAAACCGCGGGCCGCAACGTCATTTAACATAGGCTTTCTATTAGTCGCAGGCACAAAATAGCTCATTTTAGAAATTAATATGTTACCGGAAAGTGCCATATCTGAGGCCATGACTTTTTTTAACATGTGGGAAGTTATCTTGGTGTTTTCGGTAAGATTCATTTCCAAATAATTTTCTGTCAAATCTTATTCTAGGTTAGATGCAGACCAAATCAATTGATAGGCTGGAAAAAAAAAACTCATTTAGTTTTCGTATCTATATAATATTGAATTTTTTTAAACTGCTTTCCAGTTGCATAATCTTCAACTGCCCGTTCTTACAAATTCATTAGCGTATTCTCCGCATTTTCCTTAAATTGTTTACTGCTCAGCAAGGGACAGCTTTGTGAATCGCGTTGTTCGCCTCGCTGTTAGGACGCTGTAAGTCATAGGCATAGATAATAAATTGAACTCGGATATAAGATTTGCAACGCAAAGGAAACCAGATCCAACTAAATTTCAAAAATAGTTTAGATGGCCGTGCACCATTCAAAATTGGCACTTCTCCGCGGGACGCACAATTTTCCATTGCGAGCCGCATTCGGCCCGTGGGCCGCACTTTGCACACCCCTGATTTAAACGACAGAACAGGCGGGCGGAGTGATTTAAACGCTAAACAAAATTTGCATTATGTGCCGTGGATTAGAAGTTTTCGTTTATATAACATAATGACACTTGACGTATAAATTTATTATTAAAACGCGATGATATTTATCGACCTTACGCACATGGGGATACGACATCAACATTCATTCTATTTTTTTCATCACATGAATATGACACTCATATCTCAATTACCAAACCAAGTGAGAACTGAGAATCACAACTATCAGTACAAATTTGAATCCTGCTCGACATTGTCTCGTTTTTTTCGATATTGTTTCTCTTTTTTTGTAACGGTTTTGGTTTTTGGACATTGGAATTTTTGTAGGTAAAGTATATATGTATGTCCAAGAGAAAAAGATGTTTGATAAATTATCTAGTAAATTTAGTTGATATACCAAACCGTTTTTAAATATGTTACGTCTGCATTGTTTATAACATTTTGAATACACGCTATGTTTGGTATTATATATGGCCAAGTCAAAACGAGCTGCTACTGTTCTGACATAATGAAATCAAATCTATAAGCATAAGGTATCTACTTTTCTCCGAATGTGTCGTAGTGCTGCCTCTATTGGCGGTTTTTGAGAAATCGCCCTTTCAAAAACGATATTTTTTTGAAATTCCGAAAAGATCTACAAAAGGGCGTAAAATCATTTTTTGTTATTTTAGGATTTGCCACTTATTCCAAAGAGAAAAATTTCTTCTTTGATGAACTATCCAGTAAATTTAGTAATTGCATATATTTCTTCGACTTCTTTCTATTCTACCTGTATCAAAGTTAGACTTTTATCACGGGTGTCACTGCTGGATAACCAACATTGTTTTTTTCGCGTCACCCTACCTCATGAAATGCCATTTTCACGTTTTTTTCCTAGTTTTTGTTTGCATCAAGCGTATGTTCATTTTGGTGAAAAATAAACTACTGAATACTGACTGACTAGCCTAGACCAGTGGTTCCCAACCTCTTTTTTAATTGGCGGCACACTATTTAGATCTTTAAATATTCGCGCACACCTATCATAAAACACGAACATTTTCCACTCATAAAGAGTGCGATAGTCGAACGCGAAAAAATGGTTAATAGTTACCGAGATTACATCTGTTTTCTCACATTAATATAAACGAGAGCGTCTTCGGAGCACTTCACATTATTTTAAACGTTGCGCGGCCGCACGGGTAATACGTGGTCTTCAAGCGCACCACCGATCACGAGCTTCGGTTTTGCTCGCTCTTCTCCGCTCCACGATACGCCCTAAAATTATCTCATGTATTCTCACTTTTTCACAACCTAATTCATTTTTGTCACAATTTAATATGTTTCTCCAATTGCCAAAATCATTTAATAGTGTTATTGTCGGCACTTGCGAGAGAAATGAAAGAGACAGACAAACTATATTTCATTACAACAATTAATTATTATAGCTAAAAACACTAAATAGGTTTAAAGTTGCTATAAACAATTTTCACCGCTGGACGTATCTTTTCACGTTATGAATTTTATGCAAGGCCCGAGCATAACTTGATGGCAAAGATCATAGCATTTACTATGTAGAAACACTTATTCGACTTTTCAGACCGCAGAAACTATCCGAAAAGGATAACCGTTTTTGTGTCCGGGATATTAAACAATCGTCAATTCCACCACGTTTTCGTGAAGTAGTGCAGTACTAAATTGATGAAGGTTTTATTAAATTCCATTGCATCAGTGTTTGGACTACCACGCGTTTCGCCATATTACTGGCGTGATTTCAGATCGCGAGGGTGGACAAAATAGTATGTTTTCATTGAATCGAATAATTTGAACGAATTGTGGAATATCGGATTGAATTCGGGATTTTATTCCGATTTTTATCTTTTGGATGGGTTCTGACTTCTCTTGTCGTAGTTTGATTCGCATGATGATGAAACACGTCGGCAATAATGGCAATTCTACTAGTCAAACAATAATTTCTTGATAACATTTGCCTCTGCATGCATGCGTGACCGTTTTTCTCGCCTGCAAGCACAAGGCAAATCGCCACCGCCTGCTGCCACCTTTTGATATGCAACAGTACCAAATGATTACTCTGCCGGGCGCTACACCGCATAGACACACAAATCAAAGAACTTCCCACGGCATCATGAGATACTCTTCATGACTGTATTACTGATATTGTTTATTTCAATATAATCATATTTAGTAATTGATTGTATAGTATATAGATAAAATGTGAAATTTCTCCAATCTTCTGTTTACTCATACCATACTATTAGATTACAATTTCAAACAGTGTGAAAAATATTACTTTTTATGAATGTATTATTTATCTTCTAATATTGATTAATTCAATATTATTTTATTTTATGAAAATCTAATAAAAAAAAAAAAAAAACTTCCCACGGCATCCCCGACAATATCTTACGGCACACCAGTGTGCCGCGGCACCCCGGTTGAAAAACACTGGGGCCCGAGACGAATATGAATGTTTACCCGACCATTGACTGCCTAGTTTACATATGTTCAGCCACAGTTGTCCTACTCGATATTGAGCCCTTGTTTATATCCGTAGAGAGAGAGAGAGATTTATTTTTTCGTCAACCAAAAATAACAGTCATCGTAATAATAATAAAAATAACAATAAGAAATAAATTAGTTTGGTATAGACAGGAGAGAGTGATACGACCAGACGGTCATCAAGTCAACTTCCCCCCTTCAAGCTATTATGATCCACAGTTTCAGATGACTAAAATATTGGGGAGGAACATTCTAGAATTTAAAATTATATTCTTAAAATGGAAGAATAAAATTGGGGAGGGGAATGCTAGAGTAAATCATTTTTATTTATTTATGTGGAGCGGGATTTCAAAGTCTGAAGAGATTCCAAAGATTACTGAATGAATTTAAACGCATATGTGATGAATTAGCAGAAATGCTTCATTTCATGGCATAAAGCATTAGCATTAGCGAGATTTCAACCTGGTGCAACAACTAAAACTTCAAAACAACTTGTCAAACACTTTTTTCACTAAGACGAATTTTTAGACATGGTTGAGGACATTGACTCGTTTTTGTGTTTTTGCCAGCTATTTTAGGTATCAGGAATTTAGGCATAAACCAGAGAATTTTATTGTCTTTTGTCTTCTGATGAGCTTCAGTTTAATTGCAGTATTCAATTATGGGTTTTCTATACACACATTATATTCGAACAAAGTGCCTTTGCCAATTTCTCGCAACGAACATGAAAAGAATAATTTTTCGATAAAACTCCAAATACAAGCTATATGACCGCACAAAATTGGGTATCTGTTAGCCAAATAATTTACCACATGATATAGTTGAAGAAATGACGGCTTCTAATTAAATTGAGAAGAACAAGCCAACAACGCCAGACTACATTGTGGACGCATATAGTGGCGCGATATATTTTTTCTCGTTTCCCAAGTGCTCAGTATCAAATACCGCTTTACTTTAGTAGGCTACAACATTTATAAGTCCTAAGGGCTAGAATAAATGATACGACGGCACTTTCCGACTAACAGAACGGCATCTTATAACGTTTAATCTTTGTAGTTTTGATGTCGGCTACTTGATTCACATAGCATCAGCTAGAAGGTAGCTGTAGTTGTATCAAAATATCTCCGATCAACCGAGATAAAATATATGACAAGTACAGTACTTCTTATTTAACTAGTAACTATAGTTCAGCCAGAATTCAGTCTGAAAGATTTCATTCTGAGTAGTAATATTACGTTCTCTATGTACGGTAGTCTACTATGTGGGAGTAATACATAGAGGAATATTTAGGAATTCTTGACTCGCGTCTCTTGGAATATTGCAATCATAATTCGGAATCATTTGCATTGATTTTGTGGTGGCATTGATTCTCCTGAGCTTGAATGCAGAAATGTGTATATCATATTCGTTTAATGTAAGTCATGGCTTGGCGGAGTGGCCATCGTGCTAGCTAAGCGTTAGCAATACGCTCGCCATTGCACATCACCCTGCGTGGTTTCGCAGGTTCGAATCCCTCGTGGAATATTTATGTGCGAGAAGATAGCTGGACCCCCCGCCGCCGTAGGGTCTAGGGTGGTTCACGTAACCGTTGGTCGGTTACAGCTTCCCCACCATCAAGTTCATGCACCTGAAACGAATAACTGACTAATTAACCGTACCGGTAACCGGGCGAGAGGCCCTGGACGGCTCAATCATTTGGCGAATATGATTAAACCGTCGTATGATTAAACCGCCTTTCCTCCTCCCTGGGGGGATAAATATGTAAATCCTATCCCAAGCTTGTCATCGACTTTTTGTATATTTGACTCCTTGCAGCACTAATATTTCTGCACTCATCTGCAGCGTAGATTGACCCTTGACTTAGTCTTAATATTTAGATAGATAGAAGATACTTCTTGTAACAGATAATTTATTTTCTATGGGCATTTGATTATATATGCAGATATGATACAAAATTCTGGTAATGGTAAGGTTTTATATTTTAATTTTTACTCCTGCTATTTGAACTTGTGGGGAATGTGGTTAAAATTATGAAATTCTGAAATTTATGATGACAATTTATACCAGTTCACATTAAAATCTCAATGCGGAAATTCCATTTGACAATGGATATTTTTGGCAAAAAACGATAATTTTATTTTGGAGACTTAGAGAGAGAGAGCGTTTATTTCATTTTGTCTAACCGAGAAAATTATATAATTATGTAGACTAAGTTCTGAAGCTGGATCTTCAGATTTGAAGAAATTTTCGATAACTTATAACATATGGTAAGTGCTTGATTACTGTTTAGGTTGCAATTAAACAAGTCACAAACTGCCACACTAGAAAACATCACAATTCAGCAATATGGGCACCAGGGTTGGCTGGTTGGGGAAAACTATGGTATAAATTCACAGAATCACAGACTACTGCTTTACGAGACTGTATATTCAGATATAACTGTGATTTATTCTTGCATATTTCCAGTTACAAAGTTAAAGCATTGAGGTTAACGTTAACCTATATCAGTATATAATAAACTTTTACAACCATGATTCCATTCAATATCGTCAAGTTTCTCGGCCGATGGTTCATTATAAATTATTACAAAGAACTGTCTGCACTACATCAACATACAATCAGAAGTCAAATGTTCGCATCGGATGTGCATCAGGATTTTGGGGCGACAGTGCAGTTGCTTCTAGACAATTAGTACAGAAAGGAAAGATAGATTATTTAGTATTTGACTATCTGTCGGAAATCACTATGTCACTTTTGACTGCTGCAAAGAGAAAAAATCCAGATTTTGGTTATGCACCGGATTTTGTCGCAGCTGCAATGAAACCAAATCTGAAAAGTATCAGCAAAAATGGAATAAAAGTCATCAGCAATGCAGGAGGAATTAATCCTAAAGCCTGCTCAGCTGAATTGCAAAGAGTTGCGGAACAACAAGGTATGTATTTTTCTCAAATTCTAGTACGGCACAGTTCTCCGATTCTAAGAATAGCTCCCACATTGAAAGAGATCAATTATAACAGTGAGTGCGAACCCCTCCTTTATAAGACAGTCCGGGTCTCCATATCGGCAATCCGGCATTGCGCAATAAATAAATGGAAGCACAATCTAAAATTGTGACCATTGGATACCCAGGAAAAAATAATATGTTTTATCGGAAGAAAAAAAATTTGCATGAAAACAACCGTTTCGTGTCTTGTGCTCCAATAAAAATATTTTCTCCTTCAAAGGTATCAAGCTCGAAATTGCAACTGTGACTGGCGATGATATGATGAGCTTAATGAAGAGTATTCGTGAATCGGTTAAAGAGATGGGAAGTGGAAAAGCACTTCCAGATGCTAGATTTGTCAGCATGAATGCTTATTTTGGTGCAGAACCTATTAAACGTGCATTAGATCTTGGTGCACAAATTGTTGTGACAGGACGATGTGTTGACAGTGCTGTTGTACTGGCTCCTTTAATGCATGAATTCAACTGGTCTCCATCTGATTATGATAGGTATTAATATTATTTTATGTTTTTTATCATCATTTTTTGCTTATTAAAGGGAATTTTCTCAAAGCAAGATTACGCATCCTCACTCCAACTCGATCTCATACTGATGCCCATCTACTCAAAACCCATTAAGTTTACACATTCACAAGTTATTTCAACTGTGAACATAATATGACTGTGACCTGCAATTTGAGCATTTGAACATACAGTAGGAATTATATTCACGAAATTAATTCGTTCCGAAAGTCGTTTCATAAGTAGAAAATTTCGTAAGTAGGAACACATTTTACTCTATAAATGCCCTAATCTGATCTAAGCCCACACAAAACTCGGACATGATATTTTAGTGGGAGGACGGCAGTCGGAGGAGAGAGCGTTTTTTAAATTTTTGGTTTCCTGCCTTTCGTATTTAGAGGCATATTTTCTTACTCGGAGCAGTATTCCTACGTAAATACGTTTCGTAATTTGGAAATTTTGTATTTGAGGTCTTTCATTAGTGGAGGTTCTACTGTAATTGGAACAGAATGCTCATCAACTGTCTGTCATTCACACAGAGTTATTAACTTCAATTTAATATTCATGATTTCTATATAGATTGGCTGCTGGGAGTTTAGCTGGTCATCTCGTTGAGTGTGGCGCTCAATCAACTGGAGGGATTTTCACAGACTGGCAAACTGTTGATGGTTGGGACAATATTGGATTCCCTATTGTAGATTGCAAGGAGGATGGTACATTTACTCTCACTAAACCACCTGGCACTGGTGGTCTAGTCACTCCTGCTACGGTGGCAGAGCAGTTAACATATGAAATTGGTGATCCTTCTGCCTACGTTTTACCTGATGTAACATGTGATTTCCGGAATGTCAATATAACTCCTGTAGAGGAAGGCGAAAGCGTGAAAGTGGTTGGAGCAAAAGGTCGTCCACCAACTGATAGTTTTAAAGTTTGTGCGACATATCTGGATGGAAACCGCATAACTGCAGTTTGCTGTGTAGGAGGGAAACGTGCTATTGCGAAAGGTAACACAAATTTGTGTGCATCTTCATTTTAGAATTTGGAATGTTGAATTTGTGACGAATTTTTGGTTTCCACTCTGTATATACAAAACTATTGCACCTAGAAAGTAAATAAGGCTTTGTATGAGAAGCTGGACTTGAATATTTCTGATTTGTAGTCTACCTCATATTTCCCCTCTTTAGTTTAAGCTGAATAATGGACTGATTAGGATTCAAATTCCGGATCTCTAACTTGATGCAAAAATGTCCTAATAATCAGCCTATGAGCTTGAGTAGATTGGGATTGTTTCAATTAAACATCCTTCGTCAAATATTTCACCCCTTCAATGTGTGTGGGTATGGTTTGACTGGAGGATTAAATCTGGACCGAACGCCAGATTTACAACTAACAATGTATGTTTCTCCTACCTTTGACCCTAAAAATACCTCATGGAAGTACACAATGAAGTCGATGCTTGGATAAACATCCATTAAACAGTCATAATCACAACTCACTGTAAAAATCAATGCTTTATTAACATACAACAATTATTTGTTTTACAGCCCACAAAACAGCGAATGCAATTATAAGCAGGGTGCGTGGAATTTTCAAAGCTTTGGGAATGGCAGATTTCAAACGTGTTTATGTGCAGGCTATTGGTGATGAAGCACCATACGGGAAATATGCAAGAAAATATGGCCTAAATGGAGAGGGTCCGAGAGAGACAGCAATTTGGATGGCTCTGGAGCATGATGACAAGATGGCTCTGCAAATTTTTGCAAATGAAATAGCCCCAGCTGGAACAGGTAAACTATAGAAGCACACAAATTTGGAAATTTTAATTCTCTTGAAAAAGATATATTTTTAAGGATATATATAGCCTCAATAACTATTCTTGCTTTGTCAGAATCATATTTTTTAACAAACAAGCCTCTGAGTTTTCAATTTTTATTCGTAGGTATGGCACCAGGATTGTCTGCAATTATCGGAGGAAGACCAAAACCATCTCCAATTCTCAAATTATTCTCGTTTTTACATCCGAAAAAAGATTTGAACGCATCTGTATATTTGGGGGATAAATTTGCTGAGGAAATCAAATTCAGTGATATGGAATCGTCTGGTGTGGAAACATCTACAGAAGATAACTCTATCATAAAGAATGTACCAACTGGCACGAAAACATACATTCTTGAAGACTTGGCCTACACAAGAAGTGGAGATAAAGGAAATTCAGCCAACATAGGTGTAATAGCCAGGAATCCTTCCTTTGTGACTTATCTAGAGAAGTATCTCACTCAAGAAGCAGTGTTTGAGTATTTTCAACATTTGTTCGATTCGTCTAATATGCCAGAAAACCCTGTGATCAGGTATAAATTACCTGGCATCAATGGCTTTAATTTTGTTCTTACTGATTGTTTAGGAGGGGGTGGTGTAACGTCTCTAAGACCTGATCCCCAAGGTAAAGCACTCGGACAAATGTTGCTTGATTTTGAATTCAATAATATGCCGGATTTGGAATTATAAGTTATAACAAAATTATTTTATGATATTTTGTGTGAAATATGAAGAATTGAATTATATTTCCGATTTTTGAGAAATTTAAATACCCTTTCACATGGTTTGCCATTTTATTATTCATTGGAAAAGTCATATACAATACCGATATCCAAAGCTCAGTGAAGTTTTCTAGTATCAATTCATTCTTGTTTCTGCAAGATGAGGAAAATATGATTTTTTCAATCCTATATCTATTTTATGCTCAAAGTTAACGTCATTCTTGTGTATGATTTATCCACTTGCTTTAGCTTTTCGTTGTGGAAAGTGGTATATCAAGCTATTGTGCTATTATCTAATTCACATTCTGCTTCTACAGATTTTGAATGGCTCAAAACGAGCTATATTGTTGGCTAAAAATTAAAATTAAAATGTTCCATCTAGATTGTTTAATCTGTGCAATAATTTATTTTTATATCTACAAATTTTTGCAGTAAATTAAATAAAACGAAATTCTGAGATATCAGATTTATATCACTGCAGATATTTTGATTGTTTTCGCATTGAGATAGAGCTGTCAGAATAAGACCGCATGACCGCCCAAGAAGGTAGCAGATGTGTGCGCTAAATATACGCTTTTAACATTGCGATAACAAGATGCCTATGATGATAGGTCTTAGTCATTTTGAACATTTTTATTCCGGGTCCATCGTAAAATCAATTAAACCTGTTGACCATAACACCTGATATAATTGATCGTTAAGTTTTTGGTGCGTCACAAGAATTTCAAATATTTTAGTGTGATATTTCTAACACAAACGGCGACATTTTTCTTCAATTGTATCTCCAAAAATTTCGGTAAATATTCTTCATTAATCAAGTAAATAAGCGCTCCTTTGGCGGGTTGTGTGGTCCTCGGTTTCTCGCTTATATATGTGTGCGCCAACAATTTTTTCCGTGCCCGAAGGGAATGTATTATTTATAAGGAAAGTTATTACCCAAATATGCCTATACTATATTGGTCGGCGATTGGCAACTCAACGTAACTAGCTTTGGTTTGGTTAAATGAAAAAATCCTGTACCTAAAATACCTTTTAAACGCGAAAGTTGCTAATATTTCAAATGGGGTTTTTAACATTTGACTAGAAAGTAGTACCACGTTCGAAATCTTTTCTTGTGTTCGTACACATTGATCTATTTCTTAGAAAATATTAAATTAATTATTTAAAATTCATATTTGACGTTTAAGAAGTTGTGGCCAATACATCTCTGAAAACTGACTTCTTCCAACAAATAAATACCCTGTTCCACGAACGCGTTTCATTTGTGTCGCCGTAAAAATCGCCCGCACCGTCTGTCGAAACTTTTAATTTTGATATACCGCGTAAAAATTCTATATCTGCACTGAACTTTTTTTCAAGAGAGGTATTCATTCATTAATGTCATTCATTTATTTCTTGTTCCCTACTAAAGCTAATCCAACTAACATTTTGCTGTGCAGTCTCTAGTAAATAATCAAATACCATAACAATAAATTTAGTATATATATAGATTATAGACAAAAAATTGTTCGTCAAGACACGAAAAACAGTTGAGTGACAAAAAAAATGTAACTACGACTTTTTGACTAGGAATATTTGCCTTTAATACAGTGCAGGATTTGCTAGAATTAATATTTCACTTTTAATATTTTACAAATTCGAGTGAGCTTCATCAGAACCTGGGCAATAATTTATCAATTAAAAGGCATTGCGCTAATTAACAACAATCAAATGCTAGTTTGATACCAAGCGAAAACTCAATCAAAAATACTGATAAACTAACTCAATAGCATGATTGAACCTTGCATAGATATGAAAATAGTTTAAATTTACTTATAGTTTTTTACAGTAATTGAATAATTATTTACCTCCAGGTCTTTAGCGTTTGGTGAACCTTTGTGACGAAACACTGGCTGCAGAAATATTCAAAATGCTTAAGCGAAAATTCTCGCCGCTAATAGAAAAATTCTTCACGCTTAACATCAAATAATCGGAAACATTTGTTCTAACTAGTATATTGCTTGTGGAAAAAATACACAGTGTATATATGACAAAATATTGCCACTGTCGGAAAGACGCACTAACAACCTGCCTGTCCAACTTGGCAAATCAACTTATCTCGTAACTTAATTTGGACAATTAGCCTCCACGTTAAACAAAACGACAATTTCATTCAATGTGTACCTGCTTGTTCATTGATCGCTTTTTATTAAGATTTTGTGCGAACGGTACAAACGTTGACATCGGCTATCTGATCTTCTAGTATAACTTTATCCAGTCAGTAACATAATATATTAGTCTACGAGATAGGAAAATCGAGAAGCCAGGTTGTGTTTATGTGGTGTTATTAGATCGTTTTATCTGGCACAAATCTATGTATTTAGCATGCCTCTAGCAACGATGATTTTTCTCCTTGTCACCTAAGAAATCAAACTGCTTGTTACTTATGAGATTAAACTTATATATAAGGTCACCTTACAACAAATACGGAAGCGGTCAAAGATTCACAATTTGTTTAAACTTGGCCTTAGATAGAATGTTTGGTTTTTAGATCAAGGATTCTTTTGTGCAGACAAAATGAGTCCATCAGTCTGGAATGTTATGAACTTGTTGTCTCAAGTTGAATAAAGTTCGGTATAACCTCATATCAAGATACATCGTACGGTAAGTAAAACTAAAATTATGTGGAAGTTAAATGTAAATCAGCGGCTCAAATCAGTGATCAAATATTCGACCGTTTATACAGGAACTGATGCTTAGGCAAGGTCCATGTATATATATATATACATCAGTGCATTGTCAAACATATAGAGTGGATATTTAGAGCTTATTATTTTTACAGTGATTTAAATACTTCAGTTTCAAAACAAATCCATTCGTACATTTTCTACCTCGAACAAAGCTGAACATAAGCGCGTTAGGAATACGCTCGTCACCGCACCTCTGATAAGTCTGCGCGGGTTCGCTAGGTTCAAAACCCGTGCGGGGATAATTATGTACGAGAAAATTGCTGCACTCCTAACAGTCGTAGGGTGGTTCATGTAACCGCTGGTCGTTTACGGCTTCCGCTACCATTAAGTCCTCGCCATCGTAGGGTGGTTTACATAACCGCAGGTCGGTTGGGGCTTCCTCCACCGTCAAGTCTATGCATCTGAAAACAAATAACTGGCCAATTCCATATCCGACATGAACTGGTAACTGAACGAGATGTCGACTTTCCTCTCATTCTGGATGAATAGCAAATAACTACGAATGTAATGTTCAGAATAGCTGTTATCTTTATGCTTCCTTCTCATTATATTCTATGTTACCCTAGCTGTAGTCATCCACGTTAGCGGAGCTGAATGGTAAGGCCATATAATGTGGGTCGGGGATAATGTCGCTATTACCCAGTAGTCATCCACGTTAGCGGGGCTGGATATACAAAGATGTAGAACTATCATTGTAAATATGTCTAGCATTCGTAGTTACCGTATTAAGATGTACTAATCATTGCCTATTGCATGAGAGCGATACTTTTGTAATTTATTGTCATGCGATTACTGCACCAAGACATTATCACATGCGATTACCCAATAAATATTAAACGTGATTCGTGCAAATAAAATGTTTATTACAGAAATTGCATAATAATTATGGTAAGAAGAATTGAGCGTTGAAGAATTTTTTTAAAATCATGCTCGACGGAGGTTTACAGAATTGTTAGACAATTTTATTGTTTTTTTTTTCAATATTTTTTATTATCTAATTCTACATAATAATTTACAATAATTAACTTTATTTTTAGCGTTATACAACATATGTGACAGTATATATACATTGGGCCAGGAGAATGAAAGATCTTCATTGGTCTTTAATATTGACTTACACAAAAACAATGTTACCAAAGTCACTGTGCTATACAATTTTCCAATATTGTTTTAATAACTAAATTGTTTTAATAATTAAAAGCTGGTGTTGACGTCGCTTGTAAAATATAAATCTTTCTTTCATTCATTCACAAGAGACCCCACCCAGTTGGGAATAATCTGCAGTTTGTCGCACTCGAGTGAAGAGGAAATGAACAAAATGGAACTCAATTTGTCATTATACTCAGAAGAAATTTGAATCCCCATCAAAGATTGGTATTACTTAGTTGATATCGAGATACTGTTACCGTGTATCCCCAAAAATAAAACCTAGCTTGAAAATAAAACCTAGCCTGAAAAATGATTTTAATATAAGCACTTACCTAAAAATAAGACCTAGTTGATAATGATTTTTTTATATAAAAATGTGTTATATTTATAAGTAAATGGATATCGATTCTCGCATTTTTTATATTTGGAAATCTCGTAATTCTTTACTTTGTAATTTTGTTTTTGATAAATGAAAATTAAAGACATCCCGCCAAAATAAGCCCTGATGTTATTTTTCGAGATAAAATTGAAATAAGACCCTATCTTATTTTTGGGGAAACAAGGTACGTGTCCCAGGCTTGAAGAAGTGGGTCCTATTCTAATCTCAATCTATCTCAGTACTTATGATTGTGTCAAAATAGTATTACAATTGTCTTAGATCAATAAAGATAACCAAAAAAACAAATCTAAAATTAAATTCAGTCACTTAAAACCGATTATGTGTTTCAGTCATAGCACTTGAGCTTTCCAAGGGTAAAATGAGCAGCTTCCCATGCTTCACCAACATCCCCGAATCTCAGTTGCATTATGGGTAGTAGAGTTCTGTTTGTAATGGTGCCTTCGTCCTCTCTATGTTTGCTATCGTTGATATTGCAGTAACAACCTGGACAAGTATCTGAAAAATGAAAGTTGTAAGATCTGGAGAATGTCATGGCATATAGAATTGATTGATTTAGAAATAAAAACAGTGTCTGAATTGAACGACATCTATCTGATGGTATAAAAAGGGCAATGTCAAAACATCATACCTCAGAATTTAGCCATCGACAAGGTATGCGAATGAATAGCAACTCACGTACCGTCTCATTAATAAACTGATATCTAGCGATATTATAGCTACGAATTCTGATACGAAGAAGTTTTTTGGGCAATAACGCCTGCACGCACAGGTGGTTGATGAAGTGACCACCTCGTCCACATGGGTACCGGTTTGTTATAAATAAACAACAGAACAATTATATGGACACAAAGGTCTAATGCGAAGTTAAGAGGTTAATTTCGGAAGAAAATACCGTATTTGCAACGATAACTCGACCGTTTATTACAAATTTTACTTTTACTTGACATTTACTTGATCCATGCGGCGCCAAACGTAGGCCCACGAACATAACAATCGGTACCGGTAAGGCCTAGCAGCGAGGTTGCAAAACGAAACCAAAGACGACCGTCACGTATGCGGTCACGCTTGACAGAATAACAGCAGTGTGCGGGTAAATTGAACGCAAACAGCCTAATTTCAGTAAAATGTCGGATATCAGAAAAAACTTTAAAAAATAAAAGAAATAGCCTCCTGGCGACTTCTCCCGTCTTTAAGTACTAAATATTGGAAATCGTCCATTAGTTACGGAAAAAAACGAGTTTTCCGCGCCAAACGTCGCCCAACAACAGCGAATCGCAAAACGATCCACATGAACACTCGGTGTACAATAAATTTCTTTTTCAGATACTATCATATTGAAGTGTATTGTACAACTTAGTACAAGTATAATATATTATGTAATTGTGAGGTCTTGAAATCTACAAATTACAAATCAGATTAATTAAACGGAAATCATACTGTTTGTCTTCGAGCAAGCACAGCTATACTCTTCAACTCCATCATCCCATCTCGTTTCCTTAGTGCCCAATCTGGAAACCCACCATCCGTACTTTAGAGATGAGTGATAGCATTCATACTGTGATTTAAATTTGAAACACTTTATAAATTCAATAGGTTGGTTGGCTATCTCGATTATCAATTACGAGATTTTGAACTGGTGGGAAAAATTTGGTAAAAACTCATTGAGACCAATGATCATCTAACACTAAAATATTCTATGTCAGTAGATCAGCGGCTACAGAAAGTACTCAACGGCGTCATTGATCGTTTTAAGAATATTTTCCCGTTCTCGGGGTTTTTCGACTCAAATAAATTCGAGTAGGCTCAAGCATATTATGATAGATAGCTTTTACATTACTTTTCCGTTATCTTCCGAACTTCAACAAGTGTTAACCAAAAAGGGATTATACTATTAGATTGAATTTTGTTTTCTATTCTAGCTAATTCGTATGGCAGCAAAACACAAATAACTATATTCGATTTGCCGTCATGGCCTTGCCTATTTTGTATGTAATTACTTTATGTATACAACAATAAGATGGTAGCCATACATACCGTATCAGTTGGGTTTCAGTGATAAAATGGTCATATAGTACAGTAAACAAGATTTCATATTAATTCTATAACATAGTACGTCTCTTGACACCGCCCACGGAGAAGCAACAGATTTCTTTCTATATTATACACTTACTTTTATATATTGTGAACAGTATTTTGATGACTCGATTACAGCTTCAATCTGTTGCAAATTTGCCTCATAAGTGATATTTTTAGAATAACAGCCTGCTGGATCGCACCCACTCACATAAATTGTTTCTTCTGAGTCATGGCCTATTTCCGTCACTCCTTAAATTTCAGTAAATTGTGAAAATTTTATATAACTGTGTTATGGTTATCCACCAAATGCCATATAAGGTTGTATATTGAATGTTTTCTTATAATATGGTTGAATATTAGCATATAAATTATGTTAAATTGTTTGTATTCCTTATTATCGATCGACGAATACGCAAAATCGATAGTTACTCCCAGCATGAGATCCTTTTCACGCAAAATTTCAAGTATGCAGTGTATATCGACTATTGTAAGCTAAAAACTTTTTAATATCATATTTAAAATTTCGTAAACGTCTACACGATTCATTTGCAAGTGAAATTGTAATGTATCCAATGAATGTCTGATGTTGTTATTTTTAAGAAATATTGCCATTCAACTATTCGGTTTGTATTTTCTAAGCTAAACCATAACCCAATTTAACAACCGCTGGTTATCACGTTAAGTAAGAAGATTGTGACTCAAATATGAGCAGTTGAGATTCCATGACTATCTAATGCGTCAGTTCAATTCTTCCAGCATCTTTGACTTTTGGTAAAAAAGTATGCAGGTAAATATAGCGAATAACATGCAAGTATTCGTTTGAACACAACAAAGAAAAATATATATATATATATTGCAACTTCGTAATTTTTGATCATATTCACCTTTAGTGCGTTGCATATCACATCTTACTATAAATGGTTCAACGTTTCCAGGATTTGGAGAGATTTTATAGTACCCGCTTGTAAATCCAATAACGTTTCTTAGGTCCGTGCATTTTGCATATGTCACCTCTGCGAGAAAAAAGAAATGCAAAAAAGATAGATCATAAAAATTGATAGTTAGAAGAACGGATAATTCTACGCCGTTAAGGAGTACCCTCAGTGAAATGAATTATTTCATGTTTTTAGCATAGCTTTGAATAAAATATTATGCTTTTCGGAGCTGTAATGTTAGATTCTGGTTCGAAATTTACTCGACCTAATTGACAATTACCTTGAGTTCAAAATTATATATGTTTAAGTTTTGCCTCTGTGACATACATACCAAATCAGGGCATTGTTAATTGAAGCAGTATAGGAATGCAGTATAATAATATTCTTTGGTGTGATTCACCTGTGCAGTTTATTCCGTCTCCCGTCCAGCCTTCCTTGCAAAAACAGCCATATCCAAAGTTGGTACCCACGCATACGCCACCCAGCGGATGACATACATTTTCACCCTTGTTGCATCCAGTTGTTGTCTGACCCGATGATGTCGGAGAACCAATTAATTCTGTATATATATATACCATATTAAATGCATGAAAATTAAGAAATGGATGCTGATTATAACAAACAAAATAAATCTTAAAATTCACTCTAATTTTGATAATAGCAATCTTGATACAAACCTTTTAAAAACGAGAAGTTGTCTTCAATTCCGTGTACCTGTAAACAGCAAAACAATAATTAAAATTTAAATAATCCTAACACCAGCAAAGAATAGTCATTTTATAATAAAGCTGTCTGGCCCAGGAAAATAGCAATAGTTGTTGATTATTGATATCCGCCAATAGCATACCTTTCCGAATAGAACGGCCGCCAATAATATTGCTATAAACCCCGCCAGAAACGAGATGACTACCATCACAAAAAAAGCAGTCATTTTCTCTGAAATAAAAGAAGAGAACAATGATCAAATAAATGAACACAAAGGTCAAATGTCAAAAAAGGGTTCGCATGATTTAAAATAAAACAGCAAAGTTTCGGATATCAGGACCCGTAGGCCTCGAAAAGTTCAAAATAAATAAAATAATGATCATAGCTTTCTAACGACCGCGCCCATCTTCTGGTACTGAAAATAGTGATTGGTTAATAGCGATTGGTTCAGATGGTGCGCGAAAGGGGATTTTTTCACACTAACAAGACTGACAACACCAGTAACAATTGATCAGCAAAACGATATGTAGCCTACATTTCGTGTCGAAAATACCATTTATGTATTTGTTTTGTCGTGAATGAAGCACATAGGCCGAATGAAAAATCTTACTCTCTTTTTTAGAATTGAATCCATGTTTGATACTACTATAAAACCGACTCCTTGTGCTCTGTCGGTCACTCTCATTCATTTGAGCAGGTAATTCTGGTATCGACGGAGGAATGGAAAGTTGGGGACTTACACGGGATAGTCTATGTTGCTGAACCTCACTAGCGAATTCGTAAGTCTCTCCTCCTGGATTGCCTGATAAAAATGCATAATTTAGAAATGTAAAAGTTGCAATACAGCGGAAACAATTAAAAAGTAAGAACAAGTTTTCAAACTTGACTGGATATTGAAAACCATCATGTATATATAATATATATATACTAACTTCTAGCTCTTGGAACAACGGTACTGTAATACGGCCTCACATTCACAGATAGCGGCGTACTAGTCCTCCTCGAGGTCGGAAGTGGAATCGGTAGATTCGGCACACTGAGGCTTCGGTCAAACGCATTGTTGTTTGGAATGATATCGGTAGCCAAGCTATAACTATCTGTAGAAGGATCCGACGAATTTACACTCCCATTCATTAGAGTATAGGCCCCACATTGATGATCCCCAATAAAACTGCTTCCGTGTCTTTTACACAAGTTTGATGATTCATCTCGGACACACATAGAAACTTCGTATTGGTTTTCTGCCTCCATTCCAGGTAGCGACGTTTGAGGCATTTTAGTTAAATATATGCATAAATAATTGCAAACCTGAATAATGCATAAAAAACCTTATTTGAAAAATATGAATCATACATAACTAACGTGCTCTCTTCAATTTATCTTCTGCGAAGTTAATAGAATGGAAAGCTGAGTATGCTCTAGGCCAGGGTAAGTTTTGAGCTCCAACAACATTAATTTTCTATTTAAATGCTTTGCGCTTTAGCATCGCAGAAAAAGGAATGGGTGAGAAATTAACTTCACTCACTTGAACTGTGGCTAATCTCATCGATAACGATAAGTTCGTGTCATTAGTATTCACGTTTTCATTACTTAAAAATGAAATTGGTTGCTAGAAGCCTACATATTCATTTGAGTTATATGTACGGACCCCGATATGTCACTCCAAATTCTTCTGGTTTTGGCTGTTAAAAATCGGACAAAGCTCCATTTGTTCGGCAATTTGCTGATACATTTAATTGACTATTACTTAAGCGCGATGACTGGTGCAGACGTTGGGTCTATGTTGCCATTGCAGGTTAAATAAAGATCTTGCGCTCCAGAAGTACGTGTACCAATATGGAGGTAACTAATTTTGTTCGCATACTTTACATCAAGTTGTGTAAAGGGACTGAAACCCATGGACACGGGGTATATTTATCTGGTTAACACAGACAGTCCCTGGACTCGTAATAGAACTAAAATAAGGAAAATCAAAATAAAATTATGGCCTAACCTGATACGCACACTACGGTAGTATCGAAGATCTTGCTAGAATTTTTTTTTCGACTTATCGTTGACGCCCACAGCCACACAGGTGAATACTAAAAATCTACAATTTATAACACTTCGTGTATCCATCGGCTAAATTAAAAAGAATGTCAGAAATTTAGTTTTCAGCGAGATTGCAGTAAAACGTCGTTCCAAGAGAATCTGCGAAATCGTCTGGCTGCTTCGCAAAAGTCACTTCATCAAAGATAGCAAGACAGCCGAAAATGTGAGTGAATCCACTTTTTTGAACTATATATATGTAAGCGTTCAATAAACGCCAATCAGCATTTTAAATTTTATTTTCTATCTAAAGGAAGTCATCATACTTTTAATGACGTATTTATTTATGTGTAGGTGTATTCATGTGAGATTTGCGAGTCATTCATAGTGTACATTCGACCTATTTAATATACTACAATAAAAATACCGCAAATTTATAAATATTTAAAGGTAATTAAACCAAACATTCTGAAGCAAATATCTTTATTCTTGATATTCACTGTGTATATGTAATGCAACTTGTATGTCGTTTGTCGTTTGCCAACCTACACTGGGGGCTTACTGCAAGGTATTATTATTTGAAATGAATTTTATTATCAACTTTACTTTTTAAATTTTGCTCGTTGCATGGTATAATTAATTAAAAAGATTTTATTTAACAAATTTAATTAAACGGAATTTTTTTTTGTGCATGTAAACTACTGAAACGCACTATGTAGATTAGTTTAGGCCAGGCCTGCACAACTCAAATTACCACGAGGGCCGCAAACTTTCCCACATACATATTTCACAAGATAAACTACAAATCAAAATAATATTGTAAAACAGTTAAATTTAATGAAACACTTTCATTACTGGGGAGCTTAAAAATATGAAGAATCTTATTTTCCTGAGTAAAAACAAGATACAGTATTTTTGCATATGAGATGGCAAATATGTATTTAGTGGTTCATCTACCTTGAAAACCTACCCTTCATTTTCAATATTTCTTTTTTATTAGAATTAGGTATTGCGTGTTGCAGTATAAATGACTGCAGAAAAATATTTTACTCGGGTTCAGAGTTTTAAAATCGTCATAAATTTGTGTAGGACAATTTATTTAGTCATATCTACCATTATTGGATATTTCCCTTGTAGGCTAGAGAAAATATCCGTTTAGTAGCAATAGATCTTCCTCTGTTATACTTTTCTGAATATCGAGATATCTAAATCAGGGTTTCTCAAACTGGGGGGCGAGGGGTCGAGCGACGAATTTTGGGGTCGCAAGGGGCACACCAATTCCACACAAAGTTCGATATTTATCGAAACTAGTGCAAAACATAAATCTCACGATTTCGAATATGATCGAGTAGCGCGCGCTTGCATAACAATGCCGGCTTTGATTGTTAGACCAGAGAAGTGGCGTGTTCCAAATCACCCGCGGACCACACAGAAGTATCTAGCGGGCCGCATGCGGAGTTTCTAAAGCTGTCAAGCATAGCATACATTGATTGTAAATGTGGATTCGTTTTAAATCAATGCTACACAATATCACCACGTTTATTCATGCGTGGAAACGGTAGATCTGGTTCGTCAACATCCAGGAATTTGCACAGAGGATTCCATCCATCCTTCAAATTGAAGATTGGACGTCTATCTTTGATTGCATTCTGAAAGTTCATGCTACAGTAAGATAAAGTAGATTTATACAGTGGTGGGATTCAGCCGGTTCGCACCGGTTTTATCACGTCTTCCGTAAATCGTGTGTCTCAAGTATGCACTGAGATGCCTGAAAATTTATCACATCAAATAGCATGTATCCAAAAATGTCCAAATGTTATTAATGTAATGTTAATAAGTTAAATAAATATAAGAAACAACCAGATAAAAGAACCGTGTGTATTTTGTGTTTGAATTATGCTGTCAGACTTGTTATTGTATTCAGGCGATGATAATTTCTGAGTTTTTTTTTCCTTAAAAAAATACCAAGAAAGAAACGTTCAAGTATAATGGCACAAAGGTCGCGCATCGGTACCCAAGCAGCGAGTTTGCAGTAAATATCAGAGGACAAGTGTGACCAGGGCCGGATTCGTCAATAGGCAAGGTAGGATGAATGCCTACTGGCCTCGACAATACATTTTAAATTATCGTTTATTTTTGGGCCTTTTTACAAATTTCGAAGGTTCGTTCTGAAAAAAAACCGTTTTAAAATTTTTATAAGACTGTTTTTTGTTCGGTTTGTTTTTTAATCTGTTGAATGATAATTTAGATTAAAATGATTAAATACGGTTCAATAAATGAAAATATCTAAATTAAAAAAACCTTACCCCTTCTACCTTAAAACGGAATACTGTACAAAATACCTGTACTGAACTTTACTTATAGCCCACTATATAAATATATATTCTAAAATAAAAATACAAGCGGCGAGATGTTTAGGCTTAGTGTAGACATTCAATTCATCTCATGTTAGTATATCTCAACGTTGGACACATTACAACAAATAATAGAGAAAATGCTGTTCATAATGGAGTGATGTTTACCTACGAAAAAATAGCAGCGAAGTTACTGAAGCTTCCAAGCAAAGTATGGCTACTGAAATATACATTTCCGTATACATTGATTGGAAATGTGGATTCATCGAATGTTTCTACGTTTATTCATGTGCGGAAACGGTAGGATACATCTGATGCTTCAACACCCAGGAATTTGCACAGAAAATTCCATCCATACTTGTGCTTGAAGATTAGAAGTCTATCTTCGGCATTCTGAAAAGTTCTCATTACAATGATACGAAGTAGATTTATACGTTTGCTGAAAATTGTATTATGAACCGTTCAAAATACCCGTAATAAGAATATACTTTATATACCTGTGGAATATCCTGGTTGTTGTAGAGTTAAGAGGTTCTACAGGTCCTATTTCTGATTATTGGGCTGTCTTGTCAATCTACTTCCGTAGCTAACTCTCGACACAGTAGTAACGCACACATAAACACATCCAACTTGTATGAAAGAACTTGTAATGAAAGTATATTTACAGTATATACAAGTCACAGTCCAGTAAAATTCCACAATCAGGTTAAAAGTTCCACAGTAGATAGATAAATTTCCACAGCAAGTATAACGGCAGTGTAACACGGTGAATGTAAAAACTTGATATCTGTATGTAAATGTATGGTGTGTATTGTATGATGTGGTTACAATATATTTGTGTCTCCAACCCAACAACAGTACTTAAATTCAGCTACAAGACACAAAAACAAGAAAATACGATTAGCCTCATATGCAACTCAATTAGAACCTAAATTACTTAGTATTCCTAAACTACAAACTTACCTAAATATCTTAGCAATTCTAAATTAGCATAATTAAATCCCTACAATTTGCAAATCAATGCCGCAAAGTAACCGCAGCACCTAACAGAGAAATTCATGTGACCGGGCCTCATTGCACTGTCTCCCACACTAATAAATAGGACATTTAGTATAATACAACAAGAATAACAAGGGCATGAATACAAATCAGCTGATATAAGAGAGTATTGCACCATCATTGCCAAGACTTCAAACTTTCTCTCGGTCAGTGACGCTTAATATAAACAAGAGAGCTATGCTCAAATATATGGACACGTAGAGTCACATAATTTTGATGACGTCATAGCGAAAAAAAAAGTAATAGCCTTCTGGAGAAAATTTTTATCTTTAACCACTGAAAATTTCAAAGCAATTGGTCCAGTATTCGAAGAGAAAAGCGACTTTTTAAAAACGTGTCAAAGAACAAGAACAACAACAACAACAACAACAACATAATATTGAAACGATCGTTATGTCCACTACGTGTCCAATAAACAAATAAATAAACGAGAGCAAGTCTGAACATGTTTATCGGGACCAGAATAACTAAAACTAATAGGTTAATTCACGAAAGTTAAATTTCTGCCTGTAACATTCCGGCCTCTAAGTAACTCTGGGAAAACAGAGTTAATTATAAATAATTCAAATTACAGGCAACAGGAAATTTCAACTTCAATATTAAACATAATAAAACATGAAATATTCACTAATAATTGAAATTATTAAACAGCTTCAAGATGACACAATTTGCGAATATCACGAACATATGAAGACTTTGCAGTCCTGACTCGAACACGTCGAACCATACCAAATTGATCTGGATACGTTTCCTCGATGATTGCCATTGGCCACGAACCTCTCGGTGTATCTTCGTAAACTACCAGAACCAAGTCTCCAACAGAAAAGTTCTTTGCTGGTTGATGCCACTTTTGCTTCGATTGAAGAATTTGCAGATATTCTTTTGTCCACCTTGACCAAAATTGATTTGCCAGTAACTGCACCAATTTCCAAGACTTTCGATATCCATCTGCTTTAACAAAAACATCTGATGGATAATCAGGATCGATACGACCAGTTAATAGCATAGCTGGTGTTAATGCACAAAGATCTTTGCAATCGTCTCCAACAGGTGTAATCGGTCGATTGTTCAGAATTCTCCACTTTGAGAAATGTGTAAAACATAGCATCATCCAGTTGTCTTTCCCCTGCAAGTGCAGTCAAAATTTTTCTCACAGACCGAATCATTCTCTCCCAACACCCACCCCAGTGACTCGCAGCAGGAGGGTTAAATTTCCATTTGATTCCCTTTCGACTAAGGTTTTCATGCACAGACTGATTCCAACGTTTCAGTCCTTCCTTTAACTCTTTATTCGCAGAAGTAAAATTTGACCCGTTGTCAGAAATCAACTCCAATACAGGACCTCTTCTTGCTACAAATCTTTCCAGTGCGTTGATAAAGTCAGAGGTATTCAAACTGTTCACGACCTCAATATGAATTGCTCGACTTGCCATGCATGAAAATATCACAGCCCATCGCTTTACATCACTTCGACCAGATTTGATGAGAAAATATCCCATAAGATCCACACCGGTCACACTAAATGGTGGGTTTCCTGGTTTAACTCTCAATTCAGGCAGTGGTGCCATGATTTGCGAACCTGGTTTAGCTCGCCTCTTCTTGCATTTCAAACATTGACGAAGAACACGTTTGACCGCTGAATGACCTTTGATGATCCAGAACCGCTGTCTAATAACAGATAAGACATGCAGTGTTCCACTATGTCCCTCCAGTAAATGATAATGATTGATAATGAGATCAGTCACATGATGATTGTATGGCAAGATGACTTGATGCTTGCTTTCATCAGGTAAAGTAGATCGCTGTAGTCTACCTCCAACACATATTAAGCCATCAATCAAACAAGGTGTTAGAGCTCGCAATGGTGAATTCTTGTCTAACTTGAACACATCTTCTGAAAACATTTCCATCTGCACAAGATGTAATATGTCATGAGTCGCAGCATTTATTTCATCCACAGTTAAACCTTCCTTACAAAATTCAGGTTTATCAGCATGACCAAATTTCCATAATATACATTTCTTGAAACGTGTCAACCATGCAACTGACTTCTGTAATTTTCTCCAAGATGAATATCTCTTCAATAACGTGAAAAAGACTGGTGTTTTCTCAATCGTTTCCTGTGTTATAGCAAACATCTGGTGTGTTTTCTTGATTTCACAATTGTCTTCACTCATTGCCATTGGCAAAACTTTTGGTCTTTCTGGCCAATAATCTTCACTCTTTCCTAAAAATTCAGGACCCTGGAACCACAAATCACACTTGCTTAACTTCTCAGGCATGACTCCTCTTGATGCCAAGTCCGCTGGATTTTCTTTAGTGCCAACATATCTCCATTGCTTTGGTGTAGAATGCTCATGTATTACAGAAAGTCTATTTCCAACAAATACTTTAAATCTTGTTTTGACATTATTGATGTATTGCAGCACTGATGTACTATCAGACCAAAATGTGACTTCATCAAATTTATATTTTGACTCTTTTTGAATCATTGCACTTAGTTTCACAGCAATGACAGCAGCAGACAACTCAAGTCTAGGAATTGAAATGGACTTCAGTGGTGCAACTCGCGATTTTCCAGCAATGAACTCACAATGTATATTGCCATCCTTGCTTTCAACTCGAACATAACTCACAACTCCCAGACCAACTTCAGAGGCGTCACAAAAAGTATGCAACTGCATTGTACAATCACCATATTTGGAGCCTTTGAACCATCTTGGCACAGAAACTTTTCTAAATTCAGGAAGTTGAACCATCCACTTTTTCCATAAATCAATAGCTTTATCAGGTAACTGTTGATCCCAGGTAAAATTCTCTGCACATAATTGTTGCAGTAATCTCTTCATAGGTAATAGAAAGGGACCCAAAATACCAAGAGGATCAAAAATCTGTGCTTGCATCGCTAACAATCCACGTCTTGTATATGGTTTTTGCTCAATATTGACTTCGAAACGAAATGCATCAGTAGATACATCCCACAGTAAACCCAATGCCTTCTGTGACATATTTTCTTCAAAATTAAAACTTATTGTAGTAGGTGATCTATCTGCTTCAGAGATAGTTTCCAAAACTTCAGGTTGAGAACTCAAAAACTTAGTAAGATGAAATCCCGAACCATCAAGAAGACAGGACAAATCCTTTATACGATGAACTGCATCTTCCACGGTTGGCTCTGACCGAAGCAAATCATCGACGTAAAAATTTTCATTAATTGCACTTAAAGTTTCCTTGTCCATGTGATCTCGATTGTCGACAGCAACTCTCCTCAGGGCATAACAGCATACACTAGGAGCCCAAGAGCCACCAAAAATGTGAACATTCCAACGATACTCTGCAACTGGTTGATTGTAATCTCCATCTTGCCACCAAAGGAACCGCAGAGAATCTCTGTCTTCCGGTGCAACCAAAACTTGATGATACATTGCAGAAATATCACCAATGATCAGAACTTTCTCTTCGCGACATCTTGTAAGGACACCAAACAAACTGCTTGTTTCCGGTGGTCCGCTTAAAACATTGTCATTCAATGATATATCGTTACACTTGGCAGACGCGTCAAAAACAATTCGAAATTTTCCTCCAACCCCATGGTGAGGAATATACCATGTATTTTTCTTGTGTATCAAATCTTGGTCTTCAATTTTACTAGCATATCCTTTAGAGATGTATTCATCCATCTTGGCTTTATATTTTTCATAATATCCAGAATCTTTGACACAACGTCTCTGTAAATTCTCAAATCTTCGTTCAGCAACTTGCTTATTATCAGGCAACTCGATATTAGATGACCTCCATGGAATCTTGACTTGATATCTTCCATTCACTTTACAAATTGAATCATTCATGATCTTTAAAGCCTGTTTGTCTTCAATAGATGGTAAAGTGTCAAATCCACTGACATTAGAATCCTTTAATTCATTCCGAAAAGCTTGCTCCATCTGAACATGCAATTCTTCATTATCCAAATGAATCCAATCAAGATGTTTTACACTTGGTTGATGAAATTTACCATCTGGCCCGAATAATGCCCATCCAAGACCAGTATGCACAGCAAATGGCTCTGAATTACTCCCACGTCGCATTCCATAACACGCATGAGCTTCAGGCACATCTACACCAATCAGGACTTCAACTTTTGCATTCTTTGCATTTGGAAAATTGATATCTTTCAAGTATTCGTATTTCGCCATCGCACTATTAGACGGTATGTTGCATTCCAAATCCGAGGGAAGATCGTCCAACACTCGAACTCCATGCATCTGAATAATCCTAGTTTCATTGAGTCCTTGAATATTCAGTGACACTTCAGGACTTGATTTATGTTCAATTTTTCCACCCAACGTCTTAATTACGAGTGGGTCGCTGTTGCCTTGTAAACCAAGTTTCTTCATAAGCTCAGTTTTGATAATGCTAACATTACTGCCATCATCAATGAATCCATATGTGTCGTATGATTGATTATCGGTTCCCCATACTCGCACAGGAACCACCTTTCTTCTTATAAAGGTGGCAGGTTTAACTTCAGTAGCACACAACTGAGTCGAAGTTACACCGGCCTCATTGGCGGTCGTAGCTCCGGCCTCATTAGACCTCACATCTTGAGGTGATTGCACATCTGTACTACCATTTGGTTTCACTGAATCAGGCTTCTTATTAACATGCAACAGTGTGTGATGTCTTCTATTGCAACCTGGTGCTCTACAATGATAATTTGACTTGCACTGGCTTGCAAAATGATCTGGAAGCAAACAATTGAAACACAACTTGTTCCTTGGAAACAATCTCGAACATCTCTTTGGCTTTCCTTTTCTTAAATTCTTCACACCTCCACAACTGATGATCAGATTTGCACACAACGCACTCTCGTAGTGGTTTTCTCAACGTGGCATTACTCAACTTAGGATCAGCTGTGGGTGCTTTAGAAGATGACTCTTCAGAAATAAGAAATGATGACACACTGCGGTTGCCCCGCTGACTCGGACTGTCAACATATTTCTTTCCTTTATGTGTCTCAAGTGCAAGCTTACCAAATCCAGATCTATTCACATTTGAAACTGTCTCCATAAATGTAAGAAGAGTATCAAAATTGACAATATCTCCATTGGTGTACTTCTCATTAGCAATGTGAGCAAATTTCCATAAATGTTGTATTGGAAATCTCTTTACAATCTTTCTTAATGTAGTTAAATCATCCAAACTACATCTGGCATCATATTCCTTGAATACAATGAGGCAATTCCGTGCCTGGGTGACCAATTCATCCCATGCATTAACATCATTTGCCTTTATTGAGGGACCTTCAGTAAGTAATTGCAATGTGCATCAATTATGAGATGCCTCTGACCATAATTTCGATGCAAAATACTTCGTGCCAGTTCATAACCTCTTTCTGCAGGTAAAGAACCACATGACAATATTGCTTCTTTAGCAGAACCTTCACAATTGGAAATCAAACAATTCAATTTTTGAGCAACATCCAATTGACTCGAACCAATAAAAGTATTGAACTCTCGAACAAACTCTGTATATTTAAGAATTTCTCCTTTAAATGTTGTCATCTTAATATGAGGGAACATCAAACCTTGCTTAATGATATTTGCTACATTCAGCATTCCTCCCTGTAAAGCTTGCGTCAGCTGCGCCATTGCATGAACAGTGTGATCCGGCATACCATATTCCATCTTAGCATGGCTTCTTATAGTACCCGGTGACTCAATCTTAATTTCATGGGCTGCTGACCTGTTTACAGGTTCAACATTCGGCACTTCAGTTTGAACATTTCCAACTTCAGTGGGAATCAAGCGAATGAGATGCTGATTTGTACTGGCATCAAATCTATGATCATGCATAATATCACTCACCAAATTCTTCGCAGGTGATGGAACTTGATTCTCATTTGATATGAATGGAACGTTCGGATCCAACATACATCCTTTGTCATCATTTGCCATAGGAGTAAAAATTTGCCGCAAGATTCTATTTGCTTTCTCTGGATCAAAGTCCGACACATTTGATGGTTTCATAGGAGGCGGAAGTGACGTATCAGCCACATCATCTTGACTTAATAACTTCAAATGATCAGTAATCGGTGTTGACTTGACAACTTTCTCAGAACTAGATTGAGCCTCAAATCCATAAAATGTTGACCCGTCAATAACTGAACCTTGTCTTGAATGGCTAGCACTTGACATCATATCATACTCAATTTGAGCTTCTTCAGCATCTGCTTCAGCTGCTAAAGTCTGAGAATCGAGTTCAAATTGCTTACGTTTCAGCTCAGTTTGAGACTCTAACTCCAGTTGTTTACGTTTCAGCTCTGATTGTTTAAGGATTTGTTGCTTTCTTAGATTTGCAAGTCGCAATCTCTTCTCTGCCTTTGCTCTTTCAGACATACATGACTTAGTAGTTGATCCAGAAACAGTTGACATCTTCACTTGACTTTAAACTTTCGAGACAACAGTCGAGACTTATATTGTAACTTAATGTAGAGTTAAGAGGTTCTACAGGTCCTATTTCTGATTATTGGGCTGTCTTGTCAATCTACTTCCGTAGCTAACTCTCGACACAGTAGTAACGCACACATAAACACATCCAACTTGTATGAAAGAACTTGTAATGAAAGTATATTTACAGTATATACAAGTCACAGTCCAGTAAAATTCCACAATCAGGTTAAAAGTTCCACAGTAGATAGATAAATTTCCACAGCAAGTATAACGGCAGTGTAACACAGTGAATGTAAAAACTTGATGTCTGTATGTAAATGTATGGTGTGTATTGTATGATGTGGTTACAATATATTTGTGTCTCCAACCCAACAACAGTACTTAAATTTAGCTACAAGACACAAAAACAAGAAAATACGATTAGCCTCATATGCAACTCAATTAGAACCTAAATTACTTAATATTCCTAAACTACAAACTTACCTAAATATCTTAGCAATTCTAAATTAGCATAATTAAATCCCTACAATTTGCAACTCAATGCCGCAAAGTAATCGCAGCACCTAACAGAGAAATTCATGTGACCGGGCCTCATTGCACTGTCTCCCACACTAATAAATAGGACATTTAGTATAATACAACAAGAATAACAAGGGCATGAATACAAATCAGCTGATATAAGAGAGTATTGCACCATCATTGCCAAGACTTCAAACTTTCTCTCGGTCAGTGACGCTTAATATAAACAAGAGAGCTATGCTCAAATATATGGACACGTAGAGTCACATAATTTTGATGACGTCATAGCGAAAAAAAAAGTAATAGCCTTCTGGAGAAAATTTTTATCTTTAACCACTGAAAATTTCAAAGCAATTGGTCCAGTATTCGAAGAGAAAAGCGACTTTTTAAAAACGTGTCAAAGAACAAGAACAACAACAACAACAACAACATAATATTGAAACGATCGTTATGTCCACTACGTGTCCAATAAACAAATAAATAAACGAGAGCAAGTCTGAACATGTTTATCGGGACCAGAATAACTAAAACTAATAGGTTAATTCACGAAAGTTAAATTTCTGCCTGTAACAGTTGTGCCTTCTGAAAGCTCCCAGCAATCTGTTGGTCGTCAAACTCCCAATGACGTCTAAGCAGTGAGAGATACTCAAACCAAGTTGATTTTCTCAAACCTAGTTGAGTTTTCGGATGAATGTAATATTCTGTGGCATAGTTCTGAGTTAATGTCATTATTTGAGAAGACAAGCTAAGTGATTTGAAGTCATTAATGAAGACCTTCACATAAGCCATGTAATATTGGTAATGCGCCAGGTCCACATATCGGAGATATTTGATCCTAGTTGTGATCCTTTCTTATTAACATGACGTTGCAACCAAAACTTCATTACAAGTGAAAAGCTTATTGTTCAGATCAAAAGTATATAAAACAAGAAGATACGTTATTAAAAAGGTTTAAAAAGAACTCGTTTATTTACGAATTGATTTCAACTGGATACTTCTATTCTTTATTTATCCGTGGGTGAGTTCATTTAGAAAAATAATAATTTTTATGAAACATTCAAGAAAAGTAATTATTCCAACTAAACTAAATAATATTACAACCATTTTCGGTCTATATACAGAGGTATTTGATTCTAGCGCAACGTCAGGCTTGGCTTTTTCCGACCTTTATTTATAAATGTTATCCACCACTCGGTGAAAATAATGTCAAAGGAAATGACATATTCTCGTTTTCATGCTTTGTGTGATTTTTCCAACTTTCAAGCCATTTTTCTTCGTTTCGAGTCATAAATGTCAGCTAAAATTAGGAAGAATACTTGACCTCACGATAAAAATTATTAGAATTCTTGTAACGAAGTGGTAAATCAGAATTAGAAATTCTGAATAAGAAAAGCATATACTTGCATTATTCATAGTTTTGGTTAGATTGCGTCATGTCTGTGAAGCAGCATAGTCATTTTGACTTTGTTTACAAATTTTCTGATACATTTGATAATAAAGAAAATTTAAATATTGTGAACCAATTTTTATAGCTTAGAAACTAGAAAATCCCAACAGTTGATAGTAACTCGGCGAGAAGCCTCTAATATCTACTTTCAACTTTTAATTTTCTCACGTAGGGTGGTTATTAAATGACTAAAGTATATTCAAAAACTAATTTAAATATCATCCTAGTAACGTTGATGGTTGTCAGCTTAATGGTTGTTGTTGAGTGATGGTTGTTGTCGAGAGAAGACTTTTCTTCGCAAATAATGGACCTATTGATTTTAAATTTTCATTAGTTAACTATAGAAGTCTATGAAATGTATTCAAAGTCTTCCGATTTCTATAGAGTCCAAATTTCATTCAGTATGTATATTCAGGTGTATTCATAATTGGTCCAAATTGAAAACAAGAAAATTTTAATTTTCCAAAATACTTTCAGTAAATTGTCGTTTTCTGTGTGAATAATCAATTTCACTTCGAAAGATGTAAAAAATGTATTACATATAAATAAAAAAAAAACTTACAAAATAACACAATTATTGTTAAGTGTTCGCGGGCCGCATTGGAAGTTGTTTGGGGCGGCATAAAGTTTGACACCCCTGTTCTAAATAACTGAGCCAAAATCGAAAGATATCAACAAACATCATGGTACCAAAGTTAAAATTGTTTAACCGTATCATCACATCCTGGAATGCGTACTGATGCAATCTTTTTGCTCTCTAGCTTAACCATATCTTTGAATTCCGTATCATCAATATGGACATTAATTTTCACAATAGCTGTCAAGTTGCATCCTGCATTGAGAATCCTGACCGAGATATGCGTATCACGACTTCGTAAAGCGTGTGTACCAAGTATGCACTGAGATGCCCGAAAATCAATCACATAAAATTGGAAGTATATATTTAAGAATGTCCAAATGTTGTTATGGTATGAATGTACTGTCAATTAGTTAGGTTATAGCATAAACAACCCAGTTTTAACCCATTTCAGTTAAAATTACAAAAACAAAGTTAATTTTTCCCAAAATTAAACAAAGACTTTCGTAGGAATCAAATTACACCACTTTTAGGAACATAACAAATTGCGTCCTGTCACTATCAAATTAAAATTTATATTCTTAAGACCGTTAGGCACTGATTGAAATAATTATATCGAAGTTTTCATCCGTACGTCGTACATAATTACCCATAATAAAATAATGAGAGTTTCTGTTTACAAGGACATCACCTATTCAATATTATTCGCTATTCTATTAAGTATACTATATATATAGCGTAAAATATCTTTCAATGTCAAGCTAGTCTTGATAAAGTTTTACGACTGTATTCTGTTTCTGTGTATTGTGGAAATCTATGAATACAAGCCTACCGGATACGCCCAGGATCTCCGCTGATAGTTGAGGCCTTCACTCAGGCTATCAGTTAACATCCGGTCGTTACCATCGCCGGTCCTTATGATTTTGTTTAATGCGTCAATACAGTAGGGTATGTAATCTTCGGTATTCAAAATTGCTCCAGTAACACCAATTTTAAAATCTGGTGATAATAAAATAATATCTAAATACAGACCGATTTCTATTCTTTCTTGTTTAAACATACTTTTTGAAAAACTAATATACGAAAGAATGATGAAATTTATCAATAAACATAATATATTAAATAAGTCTCAATTTGGATTTAGGGGAAACCATTCAACAAACCATGCTATTTTAGACATGATGTCATACATCTGTGACAAATTAGAAAATAATGAGATTGTTTGTTCTGTTTTCATTGATTTAAAGAAAGCGTTTGATACAGTTGACCACAAAATTTTGCTTTACAAACTATTTAATTATGGATTTCGTGGACCCGCCCAATCACTTTTAAAGAGCTACCTAACAAACCGAGTACAATTTGTAAAAATTGGCGAAGTAACATCTAAAACTTTACCAATAGTTTGCGGCGTCCACAGGGATCATGCTTAGGCCCAATCTTTTTCTTAATATATATTAATGATCTCACCAACTGCTCAAATCTTTTAACGAAACTATTCGCCGACGACACCGGTCTTCTTTCCAGTCTTGAATCAATTCCAACTTCAGAGAATAATGTAAACTATGAAATGGTGAAGGTACGTGATTGGATGGTTTCAGATAAACTGATAATTAATTTTGAAAAATCAAAATCTATGATATTTACTCCCAAAAGCATCAGATAAACCATGACTTGCCAATAAAAAATTGATGGTAACAAATTAGAAAATGTGCTATCATACAAATATCTAAGAATTTTTATCGATTCTGGTCTTAAATGGGACAAAAATATTGAGAACGTGGTGGAAAAAATAACCAGAGCAGTCGGCATCACCTACATTCTATAAGCTCGAACAATACATATCTACGTCAACTATGCGCTCTGTGTATTTTTCACCATAATTTTTCAATCTTATGTTCAATATAGATTATAGAATCTCAGCATGGGGAGCTGCTGCACAAAAATATTTAAGACAAATTAATGTTTCACAAAACCGAATTGCTAGATCTCTTTGCAATGCAGCACCTAGAACTAAGATTAATCAGCTTTATTCGACACTCGACATTCTGAAATTGACAGACTTATTCAATTTTGAAATTGCAAAACCAATGCATCAACACCAAAATAAATCCCTACCTGAAGCATTCGATAAAGATTTCACTAATCAGTGTAACACCCACACATATTACACCCAATCTTCTACGCGTGAAAATTATTCTGTGCCTAGATATTCTACTGCAAGAACACAAAACTCAATCAAGTACACGGGTACCAAAATATGAAACAACATTCCACATGAAATAAAATCACATGGCTACACGACCTTCAAGAATACATATAAAAAATATTTAATCGAAAACTACAGGTAGTGTTTATAAACTGCAGTTTTGCTGACAGTGTCATACGGTACCGGTACGGTACCGTGGTAGCCTACTGTCTTCTGTGTCATATAAACGATAGCGGTTAGCTTCACTGCCGTGCCGTGATATAGCTTCCGAGTAACCTAATATGGTATTCTTTTTCTTACTCAAATATTCCCAAACTTGTTTGTCCCTATGATTCAGATTCTGAATGCGTGTGCGGTCGCTCAGCAACCTAAAATTTTTTCCAGTTCGTTGATGAATGATTGACCGCCGTAGCTAACCAACCGAAACTAAAAAGTGGCTGGAGTCGCATCCGATCTCGATATATGCGCCTAACCTCGAACTTGGGCCAACTTCTATTTTCTGGGCAAAATTCTATTTTTTCCCTAAAAGTTGTACATGGGGTATGTATAAATTGTGCATTAGAATTCGTACATGGAGGTTGCTTAGTTTAATTTTTCTCATCAAATATAATGATCGCTCGATTTAATGTTGCATATGACAATAGATAACAATTTAATCGCTGCAATTGTACAGAAGCACTGCTGTATGATATGGTGGATTATTTTTAATATTGCTGTATATCAATTAGATTTTCCCGAATTTTATTTTTACCTCCTCTCCCAAAATCATATATGATGATTAATATCAACCCTGTTGGTTAATCATTGAATGGATAAGTTTCTCTTCGTGTTTATTGCTTTCATTTATTTATTTCAATTTTTATTATTGACTCGTTTTTAATCTTGGTGTCGCAGATTCATGATGACCATTTCTGGTCCTTCGCGACTACCAGTTACTGTAACGCATAATTATTTTTTCCTATTTTGAATTTGTGTTGTGATTTCTTGCATGATGAAATAAAGTTATTGTCTATCCATAGGAACTTGCGTATCTAAAACGGCAGCGTGATTAAGTGAGCGGGTTACCGAAACTGACAGTTTGTTTTAAGCACTGCGCGTTACGTGACATTCACGCGTGAGTGATATACTGAAGCTAATAATCGAAATAAGATTACTTAAAATCCATAAGGCTTCCCCAATTTATGGTGTACCGCGGTGATGGAGGGCGAAAGAGTAGTTGTTCGAAAGAGTAGTTTATTCAGCAGGGGTTAGCGTTCTCGGAATTTTGATTTTCGGGTTTACGATAAATTGGCGAAAATACGACTAAATTCGAAGTTTTTCAACAATCGGCGCGTATTTTCGCTGCTGCCATGGAAACGAAACACTAATTCGGATTGTCACTGAAACCCACAATACTAGGGGGATAGGATAACCCACTTGAGAAATTTCATTCAGAACTGTCCAGCCTTCAGACGCTACAGCAAGCCATAAATACAGACAAATTTAAAAGGCGACCTGATAATAAGGGTCTCCTAGAGCGGAGATCCAAAATCAAATAGAGATTTTCTAACGTATCTTCATTCACGTGGGCATTGGCGCTGGAAGGGTGAACGGGTGACTTGCAAGTCTGAGACGGTCTACAAATTAGCAATATATATTCATTATATTTGCTATATATAAGGTAATTGTAAGCAACAAATAGACAAAAGAACCTTGTGTTTTTTGTTTTTGAATTATGCTGTTATACTTGTTATTGTATTTAGGCGATGATAATTTCTGAATTTAAATAAAAAAAAAATAACCAGGCTCAATTATAATGGCATGGAGGTCGCGAATCGGTACCATCAGTCTCAGATAAGCAGCGAGGTTGCTCGAAAGATCGAAGAACAAGCCGTAACCAGGGCCGAATTCATCATTACGCAGGGCAGGCTGAATGCTCGGGGCATTCTACATTCTATTTGTTCACATTCTAAAAACAAGTAAATTCAATGTACAATAAAAATATGTCCACCCCCAATGGGATATTTTAGAAAATCGTTACTAAATTACCTAGGAATGCCCCTTTTCACGTTTTATTTATGTCTTTTGAACTGATATGGATGCGCATTAACTTCTACATTTTGAAAATAAGTATATTCAATGTACTTTAACGTACAATAAAAATATTACTACTATTAATGTAGGATATTTGGTACTCCAGTAGAATGTGAACCAAGATGGCGGACACCGGAAGGTAGTATCTGTACCATGTTAGAGTTAGGCCATAATTTCGAGTACAAATACTATGATAGTCACTTGACTAGTCCTCGAACTCGTAATAGAACTAAAATAGAGAAAATTGGAATAAAATTATGGCTAACCCTAACCTGGTACACATACTACGTTCCGGTGTCAGCCATCTTGGTTCACACACTTCGGGAGTACCGAAGAACATGTGAACTTCAGACCATACGAAGTGTACCTATGGATCGTTATGTTGTTATATATGTTGTTGATAGTGGCATTCTTTTACTCTTTTTTGTCATTGTGGATATGTTCTGAAAGGTCGCCTTTCTCTTTAATTACTAGACCAATTGCTTTGAAATTTTCAGTGGTGACGAATATTATTGTTGCTAATAGCCATTACTTTCGTTTATTTCAAAAAATCTGTGGGCATTATAGGGTTCGTTTTTTTGTCTGCGATGGCGTCACCAAAATTAAAAATTGTTCGCGTTGGTTGCTTTCTGGTGGTTTGGTGAAGTCGTGAAGACTGCGGTACCGGCAGACTACTGTGAAAGATTGCCGTACTACTTTGTATTGGTTTTCGTGTCCATATATTTAAGTATCGCTCTCAGCATGTAACAAGAAATATATATATATTTATCACAATTGAATAAAACGAACTTTGTGAGTTGAAACGTTTGACTCATCATTGTTTGCTATTTCACCAGCGATCATTTTCGAAGTTCAAATCGTTGACTTTAAGTAGGTAGTTTGCATGAACTGTTTCGGTTGAAATAGTAGTTTTGTCACGTGCACGTATGAGAAAAAAATTTGATTTGTCGTTTCCTTTAAAGATCGTTTCAGTGCAGTAACGTTGAAAACCTTTTCGCTTATATTTTCAGTCAATGTGAAGAATCAGACTTTCTCCAATCTAGCTAGTAGTAAGTAGTAGCAAAGCAGCAAGAGTGCAAGGATTAGGGAAAGGCTGTGCGTCTAACGCAGATGGGAATTTTCGTGCAAATTATTTACCTCATTCGCAGAAACAGTGAATATAATATATAGAATAATTGAGATGAAAATCCTAATATGTGGATTCAGTAAAACCGGGAGCAAGACGGCCGATGAAGCTCTTCGGCAATTGGGGTACAAAGTTGCTGATCCTACCTTATCCTGTTTCACTTTTGGGAATGAGTGGAATAAGATTTTCGATGGGAAGGCAATTCCAAGTGATTTGAGGAGAATGTATAACAAATATGATGTAATAAGTGGCATACCCGTGTACTTTTACTGGAGAGAATTTCTCGAAGCCTTTCCAGATTTGAAGGTAATAGAAAATTGAATACCTAAAATTAAAGTTTAAACACTACAACCAAAATCATGAAAAATCAAAGCCTGTGTCAGGTAGGGATGGACTTTTTCGAATGCTTGATGATTTCAGAATCGAATCGAATATTTTTTTCGAATCGAATCTCGAATATTTAGGGAGTCAATGAGAGATATGTAATTGTATGCGACTTTTTTATTGTAATTGGTTCTGTAAACAAATGAATTACTGAAAACATAGAAATACATCACTAAGACAGATTGCTGAGCGTTCACAAACAATGAAAAACACTTATTTGTCAATAACTCACTACAGAAAATAGTCATATGTCAGAATTGCATTGAAAAACCATTGGCGGAAAGGAAAAAAAAACAAGATGGCGGCGATTCGGAAATTTGCTCTGAACCGATTTAAATAATTTACTATTCGAATCGAAGTGCCCAGCCCTCGTATCAAGTCCAATATTGGGTAAAATTCGCGTTTTTTTCCAAATAGGTCAATGCAATATTATAGTTTGAAGGTGGATAGCAATAGCAAGTGACAAATACCAAATTGCAATAGTTCATTATGTCCAATACTTCTAAACTACAGTTATGGTTATCGTGCTTCGCCATCTTACATGCAGTTGATAATTGTGATCACTGAGCTGATACTATGATGCCAGCAGTTTGTTAGACATATTACACTTGTGTCATACTTCACACTTCGTGCCACATGTGACAGGTTGTCGCAGTAATGGTTTCCGTTTCCGCTGTATGGCTTGCGTTGCATTAATTAACACAATTCACTTTCTATGGAGTGCTTTGTGCTTATGCTAAGTTATTGACTTATAATCCAATCTCAAAATTTCTAATTTTCAGTTGATATTTTTCACCCGGGACGAAGAAAGATGGTTAGACAGCTGGAAACACCAGGTCGATGTTGTGAATCAGGGTGTATTATCGTTTCCATTGTCAGTATTTTCACCCAAAGCAAAACAGTGGATTGCATTTATCAATAACTGTCGTGAGTAGCTTGAGTTTGTCGAGTCTAATGGACCTTTCCCCGACATCAAAACATCCGTATTTTTAACCAATCACAAGCGAGCAGATGTAAACAAACATTCCCGCTGAAAAGTCGCTCAGACAACTTTAGACGCGTTCCGCACAGGTTGCTGGCGGTTTAGGCAGATATTTGTCCCTTTTTTTCTCCACAGGGCTGCGAGAATTAGAAAGCTGTAATACTGTATGTTACTTGTTGCAAATCACGTTCACGAAATCTATACTATACTAAAAGGCTGTACCCGTTGCAGGCACCTTGCAGGTTACGGTACTGTAGCCTACAGGTCACAACTGCTTTTTCCGAACCAAAAAAATAGTAGACAGTCATGCTGATGCAATCAGGGTACCGGTAGCCTAACGTATATCAGTACGGGAGAATTTGTCTTCGATACGATGTTGCATTTTTATCAATCAGAATCTATAAATGAATTATTTTGGTAGACTAACTATGTGTAAACGCTGTGCATATATGGTATTTGCCGGTCTGACAACCTGTCCGGTACCCCCTGTCGTTCAAATGGAGTAAGATTTGTGCCTTTTCCGAAGCCACATAATTGACTGACAAAAAGCAATGAGGTGGATAAAGGAATGCAACAGACCTCACAGTATATTCAATCTAGGAAAAATCACCAGAAATACCTTCGTGTGTACCAAGGTAGCCTACGCCAACATAAATAATGTTTTCGATTCATGATATATTCAATATGTTAATTCTTATATGAAATAAATTTTCATACAAGCAATGCGTTCCATCATGCATTTTCATGGAGGCAAGGGACCAACTGATGAATACCCTGACCCTATATCAGATTCTTGTCGCCCAACAGAAAAGCACCATCGAATTGTGAAGTAAGGATTACTTATACCATAAGTCAACTTCGGATCATAATTTCACATGATTTGTCACCATTTGATACAGAGACATGTGAATCTGACGAAAGTGAGAAAGGATTGTCAGGGATCCAACCAGATCTGCCCCAGACTCTTTAGTTGAAACTACCTTAAGTGCCGCTGATGAAAAAGACAGCGCTTTGTCAGACAGCAGAAAAATGCAAGCAAGCATCATCATCATCATCATTTTATTTTGGTTCTCTGGCATAAAACAACACAAAAAGTCAACATACAAACAAAAGTGCAGGAGAAAGTGGAAGTCGAGCATAACTTAAAATAGATATTTTAAAAAGTACGCGACTATCTACCAAAAAAAGAAATAATAATAATAAAAGGGCACGAAAGAATTAACAAGATTCAGAATCGGAACTGCAAAGTCACACCAAGCTGCTCCTGAAAACAGAAGTTGGCCCTGCACTTGGTAGTAACAACTGTGGTGTGTGATGAATATCCTTATTTTGTTAGGTTGTTTTGCATTTACCACTGTCATATAAATCACAACTTGTTCATAATTACCTGATAACTTTAGAACCGAACCAAGTGGTGGGTGTTTGCCCATCTGACCATGGGCTGACTATATAACAATGAGGTAGTGCCCAGTGAGAGCAATTCTTCCATATTATCAAGGGATGAAACCAGGCAGCTTTGATAAAATACCTCAGACGCTCCATTGCTTTCATATTTTTTGTTTGTTGTGCCCAAAAGCATATATCTGGTGTGTATTTTTATACTATACAACACAATATCTGTAAAACTGTATAATTTGTAGTTATTTTCTTGGATTTACTTGCTTGTTCCTTCATCATATATTTTTTATAATCTGTTATATCCCATTTCTACACTGACTGAATAAACTATATCGTAAAACCTATCACATAACCGACTGTTTTTGGTTGAACCGGTATGATTGGAACTCCGGCTCGATCTAACTTTGTGGGATTAGCACCAACTACAGACGACAAAACTGTTGGATCTATTTTGTTCCCTCCATATAGGTTGTTACCAATGCTGGGGAAGGCTTGGCTCAGCGGAGAATCTTTTAATCCTCTCAATTTCATCTGTTGGATAGTCTTGGTTAGTCCATTTAAACCATGTTCATCACTATAACATTATTGGTCTTATAATTTTATGTGGTATGTAATCGATCATAATACCTCAATAAACCTGTTGAATCTAATCTTTCAATAGTATATTTGCACCCATCTTACTGAGCTAATAAATTTGTGTTTCTATGATAGGACATAAACGTAAGTGCCCTCACTGTGCCTAGCATGTACAAATTGCATCAGAGACTTGGTGACCATCCAGCGACACCACTATTTGAAGATGATGTGGTGGCAGAGACTCCTGAACTTATCTATAGCACTTGGCTTTGAAATCTAGCGTTGAACCAAGATTGACGACTGAACCATCATGAATGCATCTGAAAAAAATATTCACCTGTTCAGAATTACAGATTTCTGTAGTTTGTGCAATGTTTCCAAGAATGTATCTAAAAGACTTTTCAAACTGTCCCTGCATTTCATTTGTTTCTATACTAAACCCACCAATTCAGCCCTAACTTGGACGCTATCTATCAGTCTATGAACTATGGGATACGGTATGGTACCGGTAGTCACGCAGGTCTCCCAGTCCTATCACCACCCTCTGACATTCTTCAACCATATAAGTTTAAATATCACCTTTCAATGAAAAGTTTTGTATCCTTCTCCTGCTGGGGGAAAGAAAAGTTCCTGGAGAACCAAGTTATAGAAAATTCATCTCTGAGTGATTCCATTTTTGTATGTTAAATAAGCTTTTAGAACTAAGTTAGGTACGTTAACGACAATGTGAAGGCGGAATAACGTTAATATTAGATCACTTGACAATATGTTATAACTTTAGAAGCACGAAAATACCGCCATCACCAGTGAAATGCCATTCGAAGGCTTTAAAACGAGCAACGTACCACTCTATCGCCCTACGCAAGCCTGAATATTTGCAATGTTTGTCTGAGCGACCAAAATCAAAACAATAAAGGTCAAAGGTCGGGGAAAGGTCCATGGAGACAATTTTTCCAATAATGTTCGAAATAATATTCATTAATATTTATTTTAATAAATGTCACGATTCCGTTTAATTTAATTTGAAATATAATAGTGTGGTGTGACAAAATGTCACAACAGTGCTCGTATGATATGTATTATGCGTAACAATAGAGCCAGATACTGCGTAACATAGTAAAAAACGTAAAAAGATAAAATGAATTCATTGATTCATATACATAGCATTTAAAATAAGAAACAACAAAAACATTAATAATAAATACAATATGTAAAATATTCAATCATATATTAGATATATATTAGATATGTTCAACACAATTCTCATAAAAAAAACATAAAGTAACCAAATATACGTTTCAAGCGCGCAAAAATTTCATTTTTTTTTTTTTTTTTTTTTTCATTTTTTCCAATTTTGTTCGTCAATGTTTACATTCGGTTTGTGATAAAATAAACTACTGACTGACTGACATCTTTCTCTGCGCTTGACTACGTGGTCTTTGTAAAGATACAGCAATTCTCTCGCACATAACTATCCCTCACGGGATTCGGATTCGGTGATTCTTGAGACGGCATTGCTGAGTTTATGAACGTCGTGATTTTTTTTTTATGTAAATGGCAAGCCTGGTGGCGACCGCTCGCCATAAAATACACGTTAAAACGTTTTATATTCATTCATTTGTTCAAAAAATCTGTTAAGCGTGATCATGCATCAGGTACAAACCTTTTTTTAAGTGAAAAAACATGTTGATCCATCGTATCGACCAACGTGGTCAGAATATCTTTCTCCCCGTAAACGATACTTGAAGTTGGAAGATCGACTAATGTTGAATGCTTTCAGGAGGCACAACAAAGATATTCTACAGGTATAAAAATAAATTTATCATGTTGACTGTTGAATATAGTAAACGACTGAGATTGCTGACATTTATAACCTTTGACCTGTTCCAACTTCAGTTCAGGCCGAGAAATCTTAGGCGTCAACCGCGACAGCTCTTTTTGCATCATCGAATGCGGAAGTTGCAATAGGTTACGAAAGTCGGTAAACGCCCAATTCATAGAATAGGACGATATTTGTATTCCATATTGTCCAGTAATAAAAAAAACTTGACAAATGTGCGATACCAATCGTGATACGTATGGAAGATATTTGTTAGCTCTTACATCATCGGTTTTACGTTTTCCTCAGAATTGTTTGAAAATATTGTAATATTTGGCTAGCCATCAAGACCATTATTTGCTCTAAATCAGCCAAATTTTGACAAGACAGGTTATAGATTTGAAGTGCTAACATCAGGTCATCGGGTACGTGTCATGTGATCTGGTCATAGGTCATTTAATGACTTCACCAGGGATATCAATTTACTAACAAATACCGAAGGTCCCATTGCAATCAAAAATATAATCTTTGTTTTCTATTTATTGAGTCAATTTTGTAGAATTTTACAATACGATCGGCTCCGGTCAAGTTTTCACTTGTTATTTAGAATGCACCGAAAGATAGAACTTTGGTATGCAGCGTAAAAGATGGATGGACTCCTTTGTGCGACTTTTTAAAGCTTGACAAACCAAATTTACCTTTTCCGCACGTCAATAAGAGAGGAAACATTTGGGCACAGAGATTTAAAAGCGACCCAAAAGTACAAGGAATGTTTTACGAGATGTATATTTCAATTGCTGTAATGATTTTGTTGGTTCCAGCATTAGTGCTACTACTTTAACAAAGCTGAACGTTCCATTGGAACAAAAAATCTTCCATTTGTTTCGATGTTAAGAAATCGAATGTCCAAGTAGAAATGCATCGCCAAATCTTTCCTTATGAAACTGTCGTTTTCATTTTATTCGGATTATATTTCAGTTACTCTTAAAATCCAATTACTGCAATATTCAGAAAGCTTGACTTGTGATGTATGATGTATATATTTGAGATGTGCAAAATTTAATCGTCGTATATAGTTTTTACTTGTGTTTTTGATCAATAAGCTATTGTACGCATCAAACAGTGAATTTACTGTCGCCATTTCCGACAATCTAAATATAGTATTGTTAATAACGCTATTGTCGTCAGCGCATAAAAAGCACTACCAGCTTCTGAAAGTATACCAGCTATCGCCAGGGGGAAACTACGCCGGAACAAGAGGTATTGAATGAAGTGAGACTAAAATGTACCACACTTCAACATATTTTCTATGTGGCTCTCCCTCCTACGAACAATACTTTCAAGACAATGTAGCATCGGGCTACGCACGAGGAGTACGCTGGTCACCGCACCTCTGATCAACCTGGCTGAATTCACAGGATTGAATCGATTGGCAATAGTTATGTGCGAGACAATAATTACCTTGCCGCCGCAGGGTGATTCACCGCGCCACCCAGTCCACGCCTATGAAGCAAAAAACTGGCAAACTAATCCCAAAACGGACAAGGGGCTCGCCATTTGATCAAGCCTGAAATAAATGTGTAAATCCTATGTATGCGGGGTAAATTATGTGCGAGAGGATTGCTGGACTCCCTGCCGCCACAGGGAGGTTCCCACAACCGCTGGTCGGTTACGGATTAGAAGATTAAGCCGACTTATCGACTTTCCTCTCCCTGGATAAATCTGTAATTCCTACCATATCCACACCCAAGACACTTAAATATTAGTAGTAATCTCAGCATTTCCCCAAAATAAATCCCCATTTTGATACAAATTTAATGACATAGTATCAATCCCAGACAGTTTCAAACATAATCCAAGTTCTTAAAACAACCAAAGTTTGAGAGTAAGATATATAAAATAAATTAGAAATAGTCCATGCTTGACAAGGAAGCTTTTGTAGGCAGCACTGGATTGAGCCATTGACATTTGTCAGCATATGATAGCTTTTTCTAAGCTAATAGTTGAATGAAACAAGAGAATTAAAGAGTTATCGTCACACTTCAGGCCCTTCTCCTCCTGGAACCAGCTGAGAATTTTAAATACAAGTTGCATTACGAGAGATTATATCAAATTTCTTATTATAGCGTACAAACATGATGTAGCAACAGAGGGTAGAAATGAAAACAGAGAAACGTGTGGGTACTACATATAAAATATTACACCGCTAATGCACATATGCAACAGGGCAGGGTTTCCCAGACTGGGGTCTGTGATGAATGCACAAAAGCCGAGAGTTCCCGTGAAGTCGTATCTACGAGTTTGCTTGTCACAAATTTGTAGTCTCAAAGTCTCCGAGAATCGATAAATTATGTAGTGAAAAGCAAACACATCCATCGCATTAATGTTGTTTGTATTGTTGTGTTGTAAATGAAACATTATCATTTATCGTTGGTTTTGCACAGAAATTGATACAGCATAGGATGGGGTGCATCATCACTAAGATCCACAAATAGTGGTTCCCGGTTCAAAAAGTTTGCGAAACCCTGCAACAGGGTGTCGTCTAATTTGCTGACAATAAATCCCACCACCATGACTACAGAGTCTGGTAATATTTGTACCAGACTGCAAACTTGAGTTACCAAAGATTAATTTGGACTCAAGAATTTTGAATCCAATTCCAGGTTTTAGTAAATTTACAGTTTAGATGGCTTGGACCAGGGGTGTGCAACCTGCGGGCCGAATGCGGCCCACAAGGAAAAATTGTGCCCGCAAAACATGTTTTTAAATTAGTTTAATTTGGGTTGTGTGGGTAATTCCAATCCCTTTGCGTTGCTTAGCCTATTCCTGAGTCCAATTCATTAACTATGCATATGACGTTAATTGATAGATAGATAGTTTATTTCGAAAACTCCATAACAAACATAAATTAAAAATGTAGAATTCTGGAGGGCAAGCAAAACCTATAAAAAAGTTTAAGACATGAGAAGTATCTCATGTGCCTGCCCACCAGCACGCACACAAGCCCAGCAAACACAAGCCCAGTTAAATGAGGCTTGGGCCAAACTTAAACAAAATACACGATAGTATTGAACTTTCGGGCTGTGGTACTCACGTTGATAATGACCAATACCTACAACCTCGAGCAAAGATAATGTGGGGAGTGGAATGTAATAAATTTGCGATGATAGTCATACTCATGAAGCCATGAAAGCTTTGAGAAAAACCAAGCCATCAACTACACTGATTGCTAGATTGGGCATTGCGGAAAAGGAAAGTGGTTTAATATACAAACAAACGCAAAACCATGGCGGCAAATTGCCCTAACAGTTAGCTCAGGCGAGGCGACCAACGCATGTCACAAGATCAATAACCAAAATTTTCGTGCCTGCAACTACAAGAAAGCATATGTAAAATAACAGTGCGGCCTGCGGTTTCACTAAGTTATTTGGTTCCATTACATTTGAACCCACGTACATTTGAACCCATGACAATTGCACCTGTATGCTATTGCACCTATGGAATTTTTTTTGTTTCACGGATAGTTAAACCCATACTAACCCTAACCCATGGGTTTTAGCACCCGCATATAGATTGAACCCGTGGATATACGCATGGGTTCAAATGTACATGGGTTCAAATGTACGGTCACCAAGTTATTTGTATCTGGCCCTCCTGTATTAAAGGTTGCACACCCCTGGCTTAGACCATAAAAAATTCAGCATATGAAAACAAAATGCCCTTTTTGGTTTCTGTTGGAACTTTTACCTCAATTACCATTATTATCAAAATCCAGCAACCATTCATCAACACAGACTATTGTATTGAATCACATCAAATTTGTTACATATTAAGTTAACCAAAGCAAGATGTCTACTCTTACCATTGTTATATTATTTCCATTTAATAATATTTGATCAAGTTTAGTAATTCTTCTTCCTTCAGGTGTTGATTCAAATTCAGTCACATCTTCTAAAACCATATCTGTTTTACACTAATGATAGGAAAATTTCGATTTGTATAATGTGGGAAAATATAATACTATTACCAAACTATGATAACTAAATGGAAAATAACATTCGCATATTATGCAACATCAAAAACTTTCTGTATGAAGATTAAATCTGAATCAAAAAGAGATTCCATTGATTCAGGATAGGATTTTCATACTTATCCTGATGGAGAGGAACGCCAATATAATAGCTTAAATATATTGCAAATTACAGTCTCTTATCTGCTTACCAGTATATGTCGGATTTGGGAATATTTAATCAGTTCTGCAGTTGTTCGTTTCAGATGCATGAACTTGTATTTACAAAAACAGCGGTTAAGGACTACAAAGGTAATGACAAACTTACGGTTACAAAACGGTTTATTCAGACTACGAAGTGATAGATAGAGCTTAGCATAGTTTCGTTATAAAAACAATATAGGCCTACTATATACAAGTATTTGCTTTTCTTTTGTAGATGCAGCGCACATTTTGGGCATTACCTACAGTATTCAGATATATACTACTGATCCATGTGCATAAGATATATAGAATGATTGAATAGCCATTCCTAAGTCTATACCAGTTGTGTTAAAATATCAAATTCTATTTGAAAAGCGTCAACCTGTGCGAAAGATTTATACTTTTTTTTAAAATTTGACCTCCCATAATCTGTAATAGTGTAATCCTACATATAACCACACATGTTGTGAAATAATTCAGTAATTAGATTGTTTGGGTCTTGAACCAAAATCAAGATTGAAATCAATGTAAGGCATGTGTAAGAAGATGGAATTGCGTAACGTATTATTGTGAAGGATACTGACAAAGTCGTCGAAACCAAGTAAGGTTCCAACAATTTCTTTTTCACTCTTCATGATGATGTGAATCTTGGACCCAATGCATTTGTCCACGAGTTCTGAAACAAGTTAAGCTGTTTTTAGGAAGTGTTAAAATTATTGCCATCATCACTCTGATTACTGGATTATCCTACGTCTGTACGTGGGTTTGCAGATTTAAAATCTTGTGAGCATGAATATGTGCTGAAGCAGAGTTTACCGAAAGGTGTGAGTTGCTGAGTTCTCCACAAAATTAACAAAATTGTGTTATAGACTCTACATAACTAAAATATGATTGAATATTTGATTTGTCTGATTATATATGATTTGTCATTAAGCCGTCTTTCATTTTGATCGCACACCACTCTCAGACTCTCACAAATGCCGTCTAACTTAGAGTTCCAAGGAATACTTGAATAGGTAACGGTACTCACCAAGTGGCAACAGCTGCGAAGTCGTCATTCTTATCTCTAACAACAAGGCACAGCAATGTAGAAAGTATTTTCCGAAGCCTGGACAAGCAAAACGACAATAATCAACCTCTGTCTGCTGGTCTGTCCAGTCTGTCTGTGAAGCTAACAACGAACCCAAAATATATCAGACTCAATGAGTGAGCTGCCGGAGCTGGAGTCATATTTTAACCAGCGAGGTGTGTAAACTTCTGACTTCCAGTCGTCGGAGTCGTAGTTCATAATACAGAAATGGGAATTTAACTAAAAGGCATTTAGTTAACTTTTAAATTTACAACTCAAATTTGAGAATCAAAGTAATGTGTCTCAAATCAGTCTCGCTTGGAGTCGGGAGCTGATTTGCAAATCGAATTTACAATCAAAGCTACAAACAAGCCTCATTTGTGTATGATGTCAATTTTTTCGATATTCAAATTAATTTTGAATAGCTTCCTAACAAGTATGCATACATGAAAATATGCCATGCATGCAAACTGCATCGACTCTTCGACGCCATTTGCATTGCATTCACCGACGCTTGACTATGAAAATTGTTTCTCTTATTTTACCACCCGACGTTTGAAACGGACATAATTTGAATAAAAGATGTTGCAAAAAGAAGTCTTCAGATGCATTCACGCAAGTAAAATATACTTTTCATTTTTCACACACTGTCATAATTAGACGAATTACTTAGTAAACGGAAAACGAAATGTAACAAACATTATTTGCCCTCCCATAGTAACATTTTTTCCAAACTTAATACCAGATTAATAAATATAATGCCAAACGGTTTATTGCTGGAGATTAATTTCTAAATTGAGAAGTCTGAATTATCATTGATAGAATGCATAAAAAGGTGGGATATATCTACTTTTTTCACCTGTTACACATTTGGGCAAATTAAAGTTCAGATTATTTCAATTATCAGATGTCAGTATAGACCTTTCCCCGAGCATCGACTTCCTTGTTTACCTTGTGACATTGGCCAATCAGCAAGATTCAAAAAGTGACGTAACAATGCTCCCTTTTCGCATCGGCTCAGACACTTTTCTCACTCAGACAGATTTTCAAGCGTGGTCGTAAACATTACCTCTTTTTTTGCGTTTTTGAACTCTATTCGTTAGTTTTTTGTTGTGTTTCGGAAACTTGAGTATAAATCAGATAATTCAATGATTACTCTGTCTTCCTAGGAGTTTTAATTCAATTGCAGTAGTGAAAAATTAGTGTAGAGATAGCTATGATAGACTAGGCTAAAATTCTTTACCGGTACTTTTAAAAAACAGATTGTTGTATGCGATGAATCATAATGATGGTTTGAAACACATACCCCATTTACAGGCGCCAACTCGCAAAAGCACTCTTAAAATAGCCCCGAAAATTTTGCAATGGTAAAGTATAGGAAGAATTTTTCGGGGGTCAAAGGTCGGGGAAAGGTCCATTAAGGCAGTATGATACTGTAATAGCAGTTATTTTCCATGGGAAATATATTGCTTATCGAGGGTGAATGATAGTTTTTATTATTATTATTCATATATAGCCATTGGATATAGACAATGATATACATATATATACGAAGTCGTGAATACTCCGGCAACGGTAGTCTACTGTGAAAAATTGCAATACCTGTACTCAACGACTAACATACCCCTGTACTACAACGTTTGACCTTCGTGTCCATATATATATTTGAAAATCGCTCTCTTGGTTTGAAAGAAAGACAACCATTTAAACAACATGGCGGACTAGTTTTTACTATTCTACATCATTTTAGCTTATGAAGCCATTGCGTAAAATGTATTAGGTAGGTTGTCAAAATGGTATAATATTCGAAACCGAGCAAGATTGAAACAGAAATAATAAAACTAATCAGTTAGTTAGAGTGTTAGACCATCATCTGAATGTACCATTTGATGATTTAAACAAAGCTTCAATAAGTGCCATGTGGAATTGAAATTAGCACACAGCAAACAACCCTAGCCATTCGGACAACATCGGCGCAACAACTGAATCACCCTACTTCTCTGAATGAGTTTATTATACCAATTTATGACTTAATAACACTTAAGATACTTAATTACAATTACCTCATCTATTAAATTGAATATGCACCACTAAATACACAGAAGCCTTCAACGACAAACAGGTGATCTCTTAAACCGAGCTTATCTTTACCTGCCTGTTGCTTATGATGAAATCTCAATATGATGAAATCTCGATTACAATAATGACGAAAGAAATGTTATTCAGGAGTTTCAAGTATGGGATTCATTGTATGATATTACTTTGAATGAAAATCTATTTTCAGATTTCTAGTGGAATATCATTGTGATGCATTCGCTGACGTTCTCATAATTATTAGCTGTTTTCGCTATTTGGAAGTGGTATGGCATTAATAACACGCAATGCATTTGTATACGCATACTACAATATCTCATTAATTTTACTATTTACTTTAAAGTGCGCGACAAATACAAGAGCAATAAAAATAATCACAAGACAAAAGCAATCACAGTGATTATTGACGAAAACAAATTCACCCAGAATAAAAACTCCACGTTTTCGGCTTCCGGGTTACTCTTGCTTTAGATTACGTTGAGGAGCTTGCGTTTTTCGCGTTCTTTGTTGACTTGCGTTTCGTATTTGGTTAGATTGTAGTTATTCCTTAGGAGTCCGTTAGAAGTTTTTTTCAAATTGTTTGAAAATGGGAATCCTGCGTTGGTGAGACACTTATTTTTTGTATTCTTCGATGGGTTTAGATCCGCGATACATTGTGTCTTTTTGGTTTTAGGTTTCTTCCGCTGCTCCAAGTTGCAATTTTGTTCATGGGTACTCACGGTAAGTGGACTGACTCTTTGTCATATATTCAGAAGATTTTTCACTTCGCTTGTGCTTCAAAACAATTCTTTATCTTAAGGTGATGACCAGCAGAGAGTAGCCGATTCGAAAGATGAAGAAAGTGGGAAAGCCGAGGGCAGACATTCAATATCACACCAGCGCATCGCATCTGCTTGTGCGAATGTAATCTGCCTAAATGGCGGTACGTGCTACGCTACCGGGAGCCTTCAGTCTAATGTGGCAAGGTAGGTTGACTGAACGGTTTGTAACATTCTTATAATGGTCAATTATAGTAGTTATTTTATTGTTTTACACTGAACTGGTAACAGCACCTCGTTGTCGCTTCTTGAAGACCTAACAAGGTCCCTCGCGTTAGTATATATATTTTGCTTCTGTACCATTTTTTTGTGCCTTTTTTTGTGACGACGAATGACTGATTGATCCCGAGTTATTTTTAGGTATCAATGTCGGTGCATGCTTCCTTTCCATGGGACTCATTGTGAGCATGGCCAGAGATCCATTGTTATTCCAAACACGAATCGATGCTACCCGAGTCCGTGTTTGAATGGAGGGTCTTGCTATACTTCGGGAAATGCGTATGTAGAAAACTTAAAAAAAAATTCCTTTTGATGCTGTATGTCAAATCTTGTTTTATTCGTCCAATTTCTATTTTAGATACACCTGTCGTTGTGCTGGCTCATGGAGCGGCACTCATTGTGAAACTCGGTTGTATGTGAATCCTATAGATGCGCGCAACACTCCGTGTACACAGGGCTTCAACCCTTGTAATAACATGTGTGAATGTGTAAATTCTTGCCGACATTCTTCTGGTTATTATTGCCGAAGCGCAAATGGCTATCTGGGAAAGAATTGCACCATTCGTGAGTATCTCTATTGCGTGCAGTAGTATTTAGGACTCAGATTATAGGAGTAATCTGGTTTTTATTTATGTCCAGCTCCTCCAAACATTCAATGCTTGGCCAACCAAATCATCGTTACCGTGGACGATGCCTTCGTCCGTGAGTACGACTTAGGAATCGGGAACAGCAGGTTGTATCTTGGTCGAAATGGGGGCGGAGTTGTCGGTCAAGATTGCTACGCAGTAACCAGCAGCGGCATATCTCACACCTTCACTATACCTCTGCCTTTTGGAAAATGCGGCACATCTGTACAGGCAATCGGAGGCAAAACTGTCGCCAACAACGTAATCTGGTTAAACCGCTTCACCAATGCGGCATATGACATGCCTGTTCCGGTTATTAATTTCGAGTGCACGTACACTAAAGAATATATTATCGTGACATCACTCCAGCCCGCGTAAGTTATTCTTAATTCTGCAGAATGCTCAAATTGTTCGAGGTAATATTGTTTTGCGTATTTTCAGAATCGACCAACCACCCACTCTGCGGGGAACCGGATTCACTCGTGTTCGAGGAACCATAGAGCTTTGCAAAGTGTCTTCATCTTGTCCTAACACGTGTCCGACAAATTTTGCAGTAAGGGAAGCTGCAGTTTACACAGTGGGAGAAATGATTCATCTGAATATCAGGGGCGATCAAAGCATACAGGTCCGTGAATCTGTGGACTTTTCTGGTTTCTGGTTTCATATTGATTGTCCAATTGGAATGTTTTGTACATTGCAGGGAATCGTTGCATTGAAAACTCTTTACCTCTCTTGTGACGCAAATCCAAGCAATGCACTAGTAAGGCTTGTAACAAATGGCTGCCCAGGAGGTTCACAGAATTACATGCCAACTCGAGTGACTTACAGTGGACGATCTTCTTCAGTCTGTGCCTCGTTTCAAGTACCGAGATTGCAAGGTTGTCCGGTCTTCTATATACACGCTGAATTGGAAACCTGCATTCCTTCAGTGGTAAATACTAATATTATAAATCCTAATTTTTCTTGAACCTTGCTATAGCACGAACCTCGTTTTTCCTACAGGGATGTACTTACAATCCGAGTACCTGCGGTCAGCAGATTATGCCCGGGCGTCGACGAAGAGATTTGAATGACACTGAACATAAAGATACGAATGTTTTTGGCCCGATTTACGTCATTACCGGAGAGCGTGGCATTCCTTACGAAACCTTGTTTCCTAACACCACTATCGTATCGTCTCCTGCTCAGATTTTGGAACCGAAGCCAGCTTCTGAAATTATTAAAGGTTTGTGTTGTCTTCGTATGTAACTTGCATCGTGTTAAAAGACTTTTCCATTTAGTAAAAATTCTTTATTTGTCATTTTCAGATTCGAAGTCTTTCATGCTCATCGTTGGCTTATCTTTGCTCTGCTTCCTTGTGGTCTTGAGCATCTCCGCCTTGGTTATCTACCGTTCTCGATACTCAAAATGATCTTTTATTTGTTTTAATTGTAATTTCGAATTTTGTGTTTCAAAGTTATAATAAAAACATCGTCGTTTTTGCATATTGTGTCTATTCTCACTGTGACCACTGCCGTAATGCGCAACCCGAGCGAGATTTTGCGGCAAGGATTGTGTCTTTGTATGCCAGTTAGTTCGCCGGGGCGCAACGTTACTAATTTTAGGGATTCTCTTCAACCTCCGATTTAGGTAAAGAAGTGCAGTTTTGGACTTGTTGCCGTGACAAAATTGTGCAAATGGTTTATACCGGCTTGTTCTGATTAAACACGGTTAAACTCGACACTTGGAATGAATCGAATAATTTTTAATCGGTACCACTATCCTGGAGCTTCAGACTGGTTTATGACGTCAGATTTCTGATACCATGACCTTTTATGACATAACATTACTTACTGCTATTGACCTACGTATCTTACCTGTAGCTAAAAATCTTAGTATTTCACGCAATTCACTGCATATCTCATTCTTTTATAACCGCGGAAATCATATGACGTCATGATACATTGCTTGTGACGTCATTGCTAAAGAGGGCCCTCACAAGTGGCATAGCCTCTGCATTGTCTGAATTTTGGCTCTGAGAACATGCAATCTGTGTGATAATAAAGTACGCCATCTGTCGCCAAAAAATTGAGTCCATTATGATTTTTCTGACATTATAATTGTAGCACAGGGGTGGGCAAATTACGGCCCGCTGGAGTGTTTCATCCGGCCCACTTGTGCCTGCTGAAATCATGATTATATATTGTTTTTATGGATATAAATTCCCGTTTAAAAAATCGATGAAATAACGGATCGTCGGCTAAAGTAAATACCATAATTCCTCCCGTATCATCAGCACTGAATATAATGTACAAAACCATCGATCCGAATTATTTATGTCATTCAAAAACTCTAGCTCCCGGTATATCAGCATTTGGGCCTGCAAATTTTTGCGTGCTTTCCTGAATGCCGCGAAACGAATAAGACAATGGGTGGAAAATCCATAGGGGAGTATGAACCATCCATACTCGGTGAACAAAATTAAGTTAAATCGGTAATTGTTTTCTTCACCCTAACGTGGGTATTTAAAACGTGAAAATCGGCAAACTATATTTCGGCGAACTATACCTCGCAAGTATTCCGCATGACAAGTGCCACGAGGACGTCGAAAAATGTTTTCCACCGGAACTGTGCATAAATTGTAAAAAACTTCTTATTGTGTGATAATCTGAGACTTACGCTAAATACAAACTAAATATTGTATATACTAAATCCAATTTTCGACTGAAAATGAGGAAGTGAATATTGTAAGACGAAGCGGTGTCTAAATATATATTGAAATAAAATATAACGGAAAACATCATAAATATTGTTTTAGGAGTGCCTCGACAGATTAAAGATTATTTTAGACGAAGTAAAGACGAAGCTGCTCCCAAACATTTGTTGGTACGGCGCCAGATTGTCGCATTATCCCAGGAGTTGTAATGATTTGACTTTAATTGAATTAAATTACTGTAATAAATTGTACACATAAGATTTCATGGTCGACCCTTGGATTTTGCGATCAAATCAATTCTCATCATAATCAGGCAGTGATCACCGCAATCATTCTATTTGTTTTTTTAATACATTTGTTTGTAAGTTGCTGTTTTGTTGTAGTTTTGGGTCGATGATAACGTAAAAGTATTTTACGTGGGCGACGGTACAAAAAAGTTTGAGAACCACTGTAGTACATCAGCTACACTACTTAAGTTATTCTGTCTGTATTCATGTCACTTGCTGATCTTTTAATGGTGTTTACTCTTATTGAATGACCTATTTATCAAATAATATATAATGACCTAGAGTGTTACATTGTGCTGTCTTTAATATCAAACGGTAATATGGCTGTTGAGATTTTTTCTCTGCGCAGCTGCCGTAATTTGCCAACCCCTGTAATGAAGTCCCATTAATTAATTTTGATAATATCGATATTTCATCCTCCGGACCAGTAACCAAGTCTATTATCCGCATCCGGCCCACTCGTAAAAGTAATTGCCCACCCCTGGTGTAGCAGCATCTGTATAGACGCAACTCTGCGTAGCTATGGCTGGTAAGAGATTGCAACCGTTTTTCTCATTACTTATCGTAGGCAGCACGGTATTTCTTCACTTCACTTACGATGCAATCGTCTTAGGATCTAGTAAGGAGGGAACACACAATCAATTACGGACACGACTGAAATCTGCAGAACCGACCACAAAACTGAGTTTACGATTTAATTAGGAGCTAGGTTTGGAAAATAAAATAATCAATGCAATATCCCGAGACAACCAGGTCTTTTTTTACCAGAGTTTCGTATTTGTAATCCAACCCACAATGCAATATCCCAAGACAACGCATTGCCCAAGTTTTTGTAATGAGCCTATCGAATCAGTCCTCTTGCAGATTGCGATCTCATAGAAAAGATGTTCCGAATAGAATTTCTGACTAGCCCATCACATCAATCAATGGACGAAAACTGTTTAAAGCTAAACCAACAAAAGGACAAATTATGTGCAAAAACAACAATGTTTTTTATTTGTAATTCAAATACAAGTAAAACAATTTAAAATTATTTGGAGTACCGAGAGCGGTAAACAATTAATCCTGAAATGCTTAGTATGACGAGGAAGCAGAGCAAAGACAAGCCGACGATGAGCAGGAGAGATGTGGAATCTAAAAAATAAAAATCTGGTTACAAAATTGATCTCTATTTACGCAACGAGAGAAGAATATACAAACAAACCTTGAACAATCTCGGAAGCTGGCTTCGGTTCCAAAAACTGAGCTGGAGACGATACGATAGTGGTGTTCGGGAACAAGGTTTCGTAGGGAACGCCGCGCTCTCCGGACAGAACATAAATTGGGCCGAAAACATTTGTATCTTTATGTTCAGTTTCGTTTAAATCTCTTCGTCGACGACCGGGCATAATTTGCTGACCGCAAGTACTAGGATTATAAGTACAGCCCTGCAATAAAAACAAGATTCAAGTTCTCCAAGCAAGGTTCACTAGGAAAATTTAAGCTATATAAATATTTACCACTGAAGGAATGCAGGTTTCCAATTCTGCGTGTATATAGAAGACCGGACAACCTTGCAATCTCGGTACTTGAAACGAGGCACAGACTGAAGAAGATCGTCCACTGTAGGTCACTCGAGTTGGCATGTAATTCTGTGAGCCTCCTGGGCAGCCATTTGTTATAAGCCTTACTATTGCATTGCTTGGACTTGCGTCACAAGAGAGGTAAAGTGTTTTCAATGCGACGATTCCCTGTAACCAAAAAAGGTTCGACCGGAGATTAGAATTTAACTAAATTAACAACCAGGAATTACACTTCAAGATTTACGGACCTGTATGCTTTGATCCCCCCTGATATTCAGATGAATCATTTCTCCGACTGTATAAACTGCAGCTTCCCTTACTGCAAAATTTGTCGGACAAGTGTTAGGACAAGATGACGACACTTTGCAAAGTTCTATAGTTCCTCTCACGCGAGTGAATCCGGTTTCCCGGAGAGTGGGTGGTTGGTCGATTCTGAAAATATCCAAAATGAGATTTCTTCGGAACAATGCAGCATTATGCAAACTATGAAAACTTACGCGGGCTGGAGCGACGTCACGATAATATATTCTTTAGTGTATGTGCACTCGAAATTAATAACTGGAACAGGCATGTCATACGCTGCATTGGTGAAGCGGTTTAACCAGATTACGTTGTTGGCGACGGTTTTGCCTCCGATTGCCTGTACAGATGTGCCGCATTTTCCAAAAGGCAGAGGTATGGTGAAGGTGTGAGATATGCCGCTGCTGGTTATTGCGTAGCAATCTTGACCGACAATTCCGCCCCCATTTCGACCAAGATACAACCTGCTGTTCCCGATTCCCAAATCGTACTCACGGACAAAGGCATCGTCCACGGTAACGATGATTTGACTGGCCAAGCATTGAATGTTTGGAGGAGCTGGATAAACAAATACAGATTAATAGAATATGCCAGAGATACCACTGATACTACTGGACGTAACAGATACTCACGAATCGTGCAATTCTTTCCCAAATAGCCATTTGCGCTTCGGCAATAATAACCAGAAGAATGTCGGCAGGAATTTACACATTCGCACATGTTATTACAAGGGTTGAAGCCCTGTGTACACGGAGTGTTGCGCACCACTGCAGGATTCACATACAACGGTGTTTCACAATGAGTGCCCCTCCAGGAGCCAGCACAACGGCATGTGTATCTATAACAAAAACGCAACGAGGTAAAGATTTGTAAACAGACCATTACCAAGCTGAATTATTGAATTTTTCTTCATACCCCTTTCCTGAAGTATAGCAAGACCCTCCATTCATGCACGGATTCGGATAGCAGTGATTAGTACTTGGAATTACGATGGATCTCTGGCCATGCTCACAGTGAGTACCATGAAATGGAAGTATGCACCGACATTGATACCTGAAAACAAATTCACGTGTGTTACAGACAACATTGAGCCAACAACATCATGAGTCATTCAGCGATCTCACCTGGCTGTATTAGGTTGATTGCTGCCAGTAGAATAACATGTACCGCCATTCATGCAAACCACGTTTGAACAAGCAGACGCGGCGTGGAAATGTGGCACGAAAGACCTGCCACCCACCGTCTCATTTCCTTGGTCGTTCGAATCAGCCCCTTCCGCAGGCGCATCATCACCTAACGTTGGAAAGGCAAAGTAGATAAAAAACAAACCGAAGAAAACGGGCGTATCAGTCATGGAAAATATAATCAACTTACCGCGGGTACCAACAAACAAAATCGCAACTTGGAGCAGCGGAAGAAACCTAAAATCAAAAAACAAATTACACCGCGATCTAAAACTCAATAGAACATACAAACTATAGTTCTCTTACCAACGCAAGGATGCCATTTTCGAACACTTTGAAAAAAAATTCAGCAACGTTCTAAATTAATTGGAAAACTTTAACCCAACTACAGAACACAGATCAACAAATAATGCGAAACAACGCGAACTCCTCAACGTAATCTAAAGCAAGAGTAACCCGGACGCCGAAAACAGGGAGTTTATATTCTGGGTGAATTTGTTTTCATCAATAATCATTGTGATTGTTTTTGTCGTGTAATCATTTTGTGAAAATTGTTGCGTACCTGAAAATAAATTTCAAAACAAATCAGATTTGTAGAATCAAATATTCTGCATTGCATGTTGATGCGTTTAACATGTAATTACACGTATGAACCTACGAAGCAGACTGACAGATGCGGATTTCGAATCTTTCAATTTGTACTTGTGTTAGTTCTTGTGTTAATTGGCACAATGTCGTCAAACGTCCGCTGCCTGATCCACATTGTCCCTAAATCGATGGTGTTATACGGAATATTGTTCTTTCCGTGCTGAAAATAATTAGCAATGCGTCGTCAAAAACTTGAAATTCGGTTGTGGGGTTCAACGGCTTCTCTTTTGAATCGAACCCACTGACAACAGGTTCCTCCATTTCAAAAATTGATGTATGAGTCCTTGTGCATCCTACAGAACGGGTAATTACCACAGCATTCCAAAAAACGGAACCCCCTCAATCTAGCTATTGGTTATATTCCCTCATTTTGGCTTGGTGATTCCATTAAACCTAGCATTCTGTGCGGTGATGTGTAGTCCATATAGTATTCTAGCAATTTTGTTGAAATAACATAACGCATTTTTGATGTAAAATGACTTTATTCACGATTATAATATCATAGACATTTCGTTTGATTTTGCCATGATCTGAAAGTTGAAGATCATGACATTGCTACTCTGGCTATTTTTATATAATATGTTTTCATGAACAACCCATCAGATTTAAAACTATGTTTTCCCACAAAATTGAACGGCGCTTTCAGAGTATTATTTGTTCCCCAAATTTCAATTTCCGTATGGACTTTTCCCCGAGCATCGGCTTCCATGTTTACTTACCCCTCCATTGGCCAAACAGCAAGATGCAAAAAGTGACGTAACAATGCTCCCACACTTTTCTCACTCAGATTTTCAGGCGTGGTCATAAACATTACCTCGTTTTCGCGTTTTCGAACTCTATTTTTTACCGGTATTTTTAAAAAACAGTTTGTTGTATGCGATGAATCATAATGATGGTTTGAAACACATACCCCATTTTACAGGCGCCAACTCGCAAAAGCACTCTTAAAATAGCCCCGAAAATTTTGCAATGATAAAGTGTAGGAAGAATTTTTCGGGGGTCAAAGGTCGGGGAAAAGTCCATTATACGGCTTTAAATACTTTTTTCTTGAAACAAAAATCGATCGTGCGCCTTATAATCTGGCGCTCTTAATGTAATACAGGCCTATGGATCAGGTAGTGCTTTATTACCTTCACTCAAAAACAGTACCAGTTCCTGTTGCGCATTATGTATGAATGAAAATCTAACCCAAATCTAAACAATTTATTGACGGTGCGCCTTATGCTCCGTAAAATACAGTAGCTTCATTCAGTATTTCTGATTCTGGTTTAATCGAAATACTATTTCATATTCTTACTTTTTTCACTCGTTTGATATGCAATGCAATTCCTATTCCATGGCATATTTTATTCAATATGACCAAAAGGGCGGAAAATGATATTTACGAAAATTTATATGAATGTAGAAATTGAAAATCTGTTTATCTGGCCCTAAAGAATCTCTTTGTGGTGAGAAAGGAATAATATTGATTACGCAGCAGAGGACGTTGCAACCTGTTGTTTTCAAGAGCCACATTCGAACATGTGATGGAATGGAACCGATAGCCTATTCGTGTAGTCGATGAAATATGATTTTTTTGCTTGCGAGAATATTCGCCAAGGTAGGTCAATTATACCCAATAAGGCAAGGGTCACCACGCCAGATCCGGCCCGTGGTGTCCTTTCATTTGGCCCACAATAACATGAAAAAATGGCGCATTATTTTCCAAGGAATGTTTCCCCGAGCATCGACTTCCTTGTTGATTTCGTAACATAGGCCAATCAGCAAGATGCAAAACGTGACCTAACAATAGACCTTTTCGCTCCGCTCCAGATTTTCAGTTGTGGTTTCATATAATATCTCGTTTTCGCGATTTTGAATGCTATTCGTAAGTTTTTGATCGTGACTCAGAATGTTCAGTATGAATCAAATAAGTCAATCAGTATTTTTCCTTCGTAGGAGTTGTAGTTTAATTGCAGTAATCAAAAATTGTCTAGAAATAGCAGTGATAAAATAGGCTAAAATTCTATACCGCACGCAGCGATTCTGCGAAGGATGCACTCGTACAATCGTGGCGCGGAACTGTTGCTGTGTACGTTTCTCGTGCTAAAATAAACGTCGAACGTGCATTTTGCGCTAATAGTACAAGTCCCATTAACTTTTGTACTGCTTACATGCGGATATTCATGACAGCAATTGTTATGTTAACAGCTAACCTCAGGATAGTTGTTAGACATATTGTATTTGTTTTGCTATGATGTTCTTGATCTATATTCTGCAATAAGAAGATAACTTTTCTGCGCTTTAAAAGTACTAACTGAGTGGATCACTTACTCATTGCCATAGTCAGATAGGGTTAACGCTTTCGCTTCCACGGGCCACTATAGTGGCCGAAGCAGCTGACTCCCTTTCTTGCACAATATCTCGACGTTGGATGGATCAATTTCAACAATATTCACATCGACAGAAATTGCAATCAATTGCCTTGCTAAATGACGAATAAAAATACATAATTGCTATTTGAAAATTTTGTGTAAATGAGCAAAATAGACCGGAGAATTTTGCAAAAAAATCGATATTGGTTATGCCTGATTCATACGCGATTATATCTTAATGTATGTAAGATAGAGCAAAGTACTCGCTAAAAAATTGTGCACTGTTTAAATATCTTTCCATCTATTCTAAACTAAATATTACATCTTTATTTGTCGCTGAGTTATAGTCAATTAAGTTTGCCATTTTTGGATGTCATTGGTATCTTCATGGTTTCATACGATTAAATTGCGTTGGTTAGGAGTCGCGTCGACGCACGATCGCTGATTACGGTGACGTCGTTGATGACGTGACTGACGTTAATACGCAGCGCACGATTATGGCGATATGGTGGCGCCAGCAGAGAGAACAAAGCAATGGGCAAAGAGTTGCGTCAACGCAATAATGATGTTAAACGACAAATGGCGATTATTTTTTGGTCCTGATGCGGTGACCAATTGTATATTGTACCAACACCAGAAAATATAAAACGTACAAAAATAAAAGAAACTTGGGTGAATGAAAATAAACAGGAAATTTAGGTGAAGGAACAGTAGACAACGATATGGGGCTGTCAACGATTATGTATTTTTATGCAATATAACTTGTACTTTGTACATGGTGCGGGGCAAAGAGCAACACCATAACCCCTCCAAAAATATTTGGTTCTTGTTTGTCGATATTGTCGATCTGAACATTGAAATCATGATATATCGAAGAGTTGGCCAGCGAGATTTTAACAAGTCAAGGCATATATCGAGGATAAAATCTTTCAATTTCTTTCCATCTTTCCGGACTCCATTATACAGAATATGTGCATTTACCACGCCAATGTTATTATAATTTTTTCAATCGAGCCTTATAGAACACAAATAAAATGATCATTAGATAGCTCTGAAAAAACTAAACAACTTTCATAATTTTTTTTTGTGGTTAAAACGGTTCTAAAAATATAGCCATTTGGAAACATGACTCTCAAACTTTGGAAAAATGTTGAATATGGCTTGGCAGCGAAAGCGTTAAGTAAACAACGCAAATTGAGAGTGACGCTATGAGAATGCTCTTGATTTTATAGGAGCTCAGAGTCTATAGCCTATATATGGCCATCATTGATAGCTATACAAATATTGAATTCAGTATCAGGACTTGTAAATATTTCCTAAGCAAATTTTCATATCATTGACTTATACTGTTTCATTCACCGTTCTCGATATATACTAATGATGACATAGGTTCGGGACATAAACCCGCCATCTGTAGACTGTCGGAAGCCATGTATCATTGTTGAAAACAAAATAATAGCAACAATGGGTACTCCCGAATGTCAACCAAGATGGCGGACACATGAATGTAGTATGTGTACCAGGTCAGGATTAGGTCATAATTTTATTCCAATTTTTCTTATTTAGGTTTTATTACGAGTTCAGTTCAGGGATTAGCCAAGTGACTCCCGTAGTATTTGCAACTGAAATTATGGCCTAACCCCAACCTACACATACTACGTTTCGGTGTCCGCTATCTTGGTTCACATACTTCGGGTGTACCCAACAATGGACGATGCGATAAAACACGAGGAACGATGGCCGCGATTGCTTGATGAAAGTGAAGTTCCCTTTGTTGTATTATTATTGTTAGAGTATTGTTGTAGAGTTGTATTATTATTGTTCTGTTATTTTTTTTAATGAAGGAGAGGCTAACTCAAAATTTTTCAACGCAAACAAAATAACGCGATCCCTAATTTTAACGTGCGTTGGGACTCTTAACTTCGCCTCCACTTAATAATTATGATAACGAAATACTTTAATGAAACATTAACAAAACATGAAATAATGGCGTTGCGCAATGTTGCTAAACATATCTCGACACTCGAGCTTGCGTGGGCCGAAAATCCAGGCACAAAATGGTGGAGCTCGAATATCGGCAACTAATATTATAAAAACACTGCAAGTTATTTCAGTGGTGATTCATCGACAATGCGATGTGTTTAACAAACAACATGATATGATTCTTGATATTGCCATTTCTCCTATTAATTAAAATTTACTTTTAAAATTGCTAATACGCAATCGTGGTATGCCTAACATTTGCTTTTAGTACGTATAACCTACGACATCTGTGAGGATACGCAGACAGGGTGAAATAGTAAGGTTTGGGTGAGTGGACTATTGTACGCTACAGCAGAATATTGATACAACGATATTCAACAATGCCACGTAAGATTTCGTTTTATTTTGTTTAGTTTGAAACTTTTAGGGTGAACATAAACACGAAAACTTACCAAAAGCGTGCTTTGTGAAAATAATTGAGATATTTTCGGTTTATATCTTAGCGCATTCGGGTCTCAGCGAGATGCTAGTTATCTCACAATCACTAGTTTTTCAAACTTGAATGGTCGCTAAAACATTCTAATTGCGATGAGTCTGCCAGTCATATTTCGCTCTACTCCAACACTATATATGTTTACTTTAATTGACGACGTATGCCACTGCAAAAGAGAAATTAATATTTGCCTAATCACTGAATGTTTAGTTTCTGTGACAAATGACTCCTGCCATAGCCATGATCAGAAAAACTGCTCAACTGATAAAATACCATTCCAGAATAAAGTATGTTTTCTCTACCTCATTTCGTTTTTATACTTTTGGTTTGTATTTTGAAATTTAGATTTGGTGGAAAAGAAACCTCCTTTCGTTCAGTCAGACTCTGTACAGAACTGCCATAATTGTGAGACAGTATTCATAGACTCAAGGTAGGAGCATATTTCTTATATTAAGATACTGATATTGTATTGTAGGTTATATCATCAGCTGTACTGCCAGGCAGATGAACTCTTATTTAATTTTTATATTAATTCCGTGAGGTGTTCATTTACACATTTATCTCTTGATGATTTTTCATTATTTTGGTTTTAGGCAAATATGGATACTTTTCAATTTGTTTCATTAAAATAAAATTAGATATTCAAGCAGTCATATCATCATTCGGAAAAATATAACTATATATTAAATCACTTTCCAATCCGTGATTGAATTAAAATAATGACAAATGTATTTTTGAAATAACATAGCTATTCATTATCGAGGTATTTTTTGATATTTTAGGATTAACTGCAGGGCTTGTGGTTATGTTTTTTGCGATGAATGTAGTAAAAATCGAATTTGCCTCCCATATCTTCCCGACGAAAAGCCTAAAAACGTTTGCGACAGCTGCCTAAAAAAAATTCAGGTAAAATATGCTTCATTTGCTTAAAAACGCTTCTAGTTTTAGCATATAGTTCGATTTTCTACAATTTTCTCAATTCTTTCTTTCTCTTCACTTTATTTGCTTTCTCGTGCACGCAAATGACGTACGCGTTCGCCACAGGGACTGGGTATTCAAAGTCATCAATGGCCATTATACACAACACAAAGCAATCTGCAATACGAGGCTGAAATTGGATACTCGGCACCAAGATGCTGCCGATGTACAGAGAAATTTAAAGGAATAGTTCAGTGAGTAAAATTAAAACAAATAAAAGAGAATTAATTGAATATTAGCATATTAGAAATAGCTTGAGAGACAAAGAAGAAAAGAGATACCTCGAGTAAACATTTTTATTGTTTTTTATCGCTACTGAATGACTAGTCTAATTATGATACATTTGCTTGATAACTTTTCTTTGACATATACTGTGATATGAAGACTCGGAACTGACTCGAGATGGACAGAGACAAAAATATCAGATTACTTTACGATACGTAATTCTTATTCTTAAAATATCCAATTCTTAAAACCACTTGGCTTATATCGGACATGACTTGGCGAAAATGGAATGCCATTTAGCAAGACCGAGTAAATCTAATTTTGATCAGAAGAATACGACTCGGACTTTATATAACAATTGAGATATAAAACCTAATGATTGAAACTTATTTCTGTCCTTGCTTTAAAAACATCCTCAAATTTTATTTTTGTCAGCTTTTGTAACAAATGCAAGAGAGCTTTTTGCGCCGAATGCTTGGGTGCCGGAGTTCATCACAAGAATAAAGCTAATATTTGTGAAAATTGCAAAGGTGAATCCGAAATGTTATTTTGAATTTTTATGTTGGGTTGAATTAGTATTGCAAATCGAATGCCTGGGGTAAAAAATCGATAAACTGGCTGGTTATTGAATGTTGGATGACCAGTAAAACATTACTGTTAGTTAAAGAAGGAAACGAATGTTTCTGAGAATTGTAATGTTTTTAAGCATAATAGTAATCTTATTTAAAACATACTATACCTTGTCTTTTACCTAACGATTTTACACAATATCATTAGGATTAGAATTTTTCATATGAAAAACCAAGTAAACAAAAATAATCGTCGCTCCAGAAGTGTGTGTAACAATATGGAGATAACTAATTTTGTTCGCATACTTTACACCAAGTTGTGTAAAGGGACTGAAACTTATGGACAGAGGGTATAATAACTTGGCTAACACAGACAGTTCCCGAACTCGTAATACAACTAAAATGTGGAGAATTAGAATAAAATTATGGCTTAACACTAACATAGTACACAAACTGCGAGCGTACCAAATACTCAGCATAGTAAATACATAAACATTGACGACGTAGTTTTTCAGCATGTTTACTATCGATTTTTGAATCTAATTTGGATATGTTGAACACAAACTTCCATTTTCAGTTGAGGAGAGCAATATAGAAATCTCAACCGCAAGCAGTACAGGTATTGAAAAAACAACTTTGCTCTTTTTTAATTTAAAATATGAGAAGTGCTTCAATCCCCTTGACTATACGTCAAAAATATTGGGTAGTCAGTAAAGAGACTGCATTAAAGTTGATTTATTATATTTTAAGAAGAAAAACAGATTAGCCTCTCCAATATGTGATGCAATTTTGTTACTGCGCCATTGCTATTTACCACCAGCTGATTCAACGATTTAGCTTGAGAAGTATGAGCAGAGCGACAGTAATTTATTATTTTAACAACGGTATCCTAGAAAAATGCTCGCGTTCATTTGGTTCTTCAGTGTGTATACGTATTATAAATACAGTTTTTTTTTTTAAATTTAATGTTTCTACTTTGCAATCTAATGCACTGATTCGTCTCTTTAAAGCCGCAGTGCTTCAATATTTTTTGTCAAGTTTCTCCTTTTGCTTATTTTGGAACTCTTTATCCGCCCCCTCCTGCATGTAACTATCTTAAACTTTTCTAGCGTTGTGCGCAAGTCGCACTCTTGTTTTTGTTCAAGTTTATTATGTGTTCGTGAATAAATATTATAGTAATAAAAGAAAAAAGAAAAACATTATTAGTAATATTACAACGAATACTAGGCACAATCCCTGCTCACTTTTCCCGTTGGGAGATATTCCTCCCATGTTGGGATACGTTTCTTTGGAAAGTAACTATCTCTGTACATACAGGCTCGAACGATTCGACGAATGATTGCAGTTGCTGTGTTATTGAATGTTGCAGCTTTGATTGTTGTGACCTTGACTGTTGTGACCTTGAATGTTGTGAACTTGAATGTTGTGACCTTGACTGTTGTGACCTTGACTGTTGTGGAGACATTGATTTGGACTTTACCGGGGGGATATTTTGCTGCCTTTGTCGATTAATGTGAGTAGCATTTGCCGTAACTTATTTGAATAGAAGATGATAGTCTTCACTTAGCAAACAAATGAGTGTCAAACTTGACAAACAACCACGACCTTTCATCCGATCATTCCATGTCGTGTATATAATTAGATTACGAGGTATTTTAAAGTGGGCCTTTGAAATAGATTATTCAATTTATTACATCCTGGTGTAGCCTTAACTTTCCAGCTAAAAAAAAATCAGATTTTAAACCCAAAATATATCGATATATGTATGGTTCATGTCATAACGATATCAGCCATAATTACCAATTAATCAGGTTCCCGTACAATTATTTAACATACTCGAGAAATCGGAATGCATAAAAAATTTAACATAAAATGGATAAATTATTGACTAGTGAATTAGTAAAATAGTGAATTGAGAGAGTAACTTTTTACCATTGGGTCATGCCTAATTTTACTAATAAAAATGTATGTTTCCAGCTGTTCCGCTCTCGAAGAAGAATAAGAGAAAATAGTCGAGGACTTCATGACCCTTTTCGGAATTGAAAACATGCAAATCTAACCGAAACTATGTAACGCAAACTGAAAAATGCATATCATTATGTAATTTATATATTCGTTTTTAAAATTACCTAAATTTGATTTGCTTACTCATTCAATTATTTAATTAGATGTTTTCTGCTCATCTCCAATTCAATTAAACGATTGGAGGCTAGTTTTGACGAAATTATTTTACACTGACCATCACAGCGGAAGCAATATTCTCCATTTCTTTGATTTATGCAACAAATCTATTACTTAGTATTTTTCGTTTATTCGTATTGAAGATTTAGCATTACGAAATATAATTTATAAAATTGAGTTGAACGTAAATTTCCTGAAAATTTTAGATTTCAGGTGAAAGATTTTGCCAATAATTGTAACGTAACTTGTAGGAATCTTGCAGAATGGGAGTAAATACGGAAGGAATAAGAATATAGAAATGAACTCAGTAGGTCTTCAATTTAATTGAGAAATGAGGATTAGAACACAGATGGTCTAAAGAATTTTGAACTTGTTTCATAAACTATTAATACAAACTCTAAAAAACCGGTGAATCATCCAATCAATCGAACAAATTATTGTCGTGTTTGTCAACAGCTTCATAAAATCAACATGTTCTCGACTGATTCTCTGGCATGTTTAGATTGAGAAATGTGAATCAATAAATATTGAAATTCTCAATAGAAATCTACTAAACGTCCAATAGTTTGTCAAGAGTTGCTCGGGTCTATTTCTATTAAAATCAATGTAAGAAATTTCTTCGCTTCGTATTGGATATTCATTTCTTGTCAAATTGCGAATAAAAAATGAGTATTTTATTATGATGTTCAAGGAAATTTGTACTGTTCGTCCATTCTATGAAATTGCTTGTAGACATTTATGCCGTTACCGTGACTGTTTTTCTAGACTTGTGCGGTATTGGATCAAAATGGTCGTTCATTCCTTGTGGCAAACAACACACATAATGTATCAAAAATAACGCAAGACATTTAATGTTTTCACATAGCGTCAGGTTTTTGTTGAATTTCTAAATGTATATGGTTTTCATTTAAAACACACATCTACAAAAACACCGAAAAACGTCAACATCAAACTTCTCGATAGTTGATAACTCTATTGGTCATTGGATACAAGTAATTCTACATTCTTCCATCAATACATATACAATCCTCCGAGTGAGTTCGGCATGCATTTCCGCCATCTTATCAAGCCAAATAAATACAAAAGGGTGGTCCAAGGTTGCGAGGTTGAAGGGCCGCAAAAACTTTTAACTTCTTTTTAAATTATTCATTTTAAGTGAAATATAAAAAGCCTCAAGTTATTTTTAAATTGCTTCCCGAGAAGCACCGTGGTATTTTTTGTATCTTTTCTCGTGTTTGGTTTTGTAATGTTGATTAATTAAAATTATATTCTTCAGTGACAGCTATTACTTGAAAGCACAGTTGACACAGTTGGGGTTTACCGCTGTTGTGCGCAATGAAATACGCTTCCAACCAGTCTTCCTCTGTCTTCGAAACTCATTTTATGGTGAATTGTTATATTTGACTATTATATTAACTTGCAGCGCGAGTGGGCCTAGCGCCGTCGTCAAAGAACAACCAAGTCCGCCTAAGTTGGAATTTCGAGACCCAGCTAAAAATCCTCGATCGCGCTGCGCTAAGTCAGCTCTGCGTTTCGTTATTGCTGTCACATGGCCCAAGTTTGAAAATGGAGAAGTGTTTTACTAAAATAAAGGCACAAAACGTCTCTCCAGATAAGAAGTTGCTTGATGCAAGCATAAGGTGCAAAGTTGAGACGAAAAGCGCGACTCATCTCATCGGCTGGGTCCTGCACAAGACATTCCATTCTCCTTGTACTTTATTCCCATGTCAGCATCGTCTTGACTCTTAGAGATACAACATTGATATTTCGTGATCATCACTTCCGACGTTGGGATTAGGAAAAGGGTTTCTCGGGATCTCAACCCCAGTTAGAATAGCTAAAAAATGTTTTGCTAAAAATGCGTCCGCACGAAATGTGTTCGCGGGCTACATGCGGCCCTCGTACCTGAGAGCAGTTGTACTGATTAGTAGGAAGCCTTCAAGATAAATATTTCGATGTAACAATCATTCGGACGTGTACGTTTACGAGTTGAGATGAGTTTGAATTATCTCGGAGGAGGGCAGCCGACAAGATGGCTTAATCATATGGCGAACCACGGCCTCTCGTCCGGTTACCAGTCCATGTCGGGTATAGGATTAGTTAGCCAGTTGTTTCAGATGCATTGTACTTTATGGTGGAGGGAGCCGTAACCGACCAGCGGTTACGTGAACCCTCTACGGTGAAGGGAATCCAGTAATCCTCTCGCACATAATTATCCTTGACAGGATACCCACACAGAGGTGCGGTGGTGAGCGTTTAGCGCGACCGCTGAGCCAAATGACCTTTGTATGTTTTTAAACAAACATGCATGTGTCATTTAATACTAATTACTGTTCGTCGGTTTTGAGCCCTGCCTACGTATAGGAATAAACTCATCGCACGCCATGACCTATTTCCACTTGTATCGCGTTACAAGCGGAAATTATTTAAAATTAGGAAATACTCTGACCCCTGTTAACCCGCAAAATTTCCGTAAGTAATTTGAATAGGTTGCCCTATGGTGTCCAGTAAAAATTGAAACTACATAAAAAAATTACAAAGTTACCAACTTTTCAACGTTATCACATCTTTATATTTGCACAGATATATATATATTGCCACCTAAAGGTAGAAAATATTTTGAGTAAAAAAACTGTAGGATTTTAGTTTGTTTTGCAACGTGATAACCAGGCCAGTAAATCGCAGTTTTACAAAAAAGAGTCAAATAAAAATTCTAATTACGGCTAAATGTCATTAGCATTACTTTTTTTTTTAAGTCCGGGAATATTGTACGCAGGGGGTCAGTCAACGCATAAAAACACAACTAAATTGATAGAGCCGCTGATAAAATCAGTGTTTGCATGATCAAACATGAAACGCAAAAGATGTGGTGTCTACCGGTGAAGGCAAATGCCGCTTTGGTACACTGTTGCCATATCAGTACTGGAGCCAGTTAAATGAGAATGCAAAGTCAGGTTTCGGTGTTAATGACTATCATCATGAAAACTGGGATAATTCTATTGTGGATGTTTGGTGAGTAGTCTCATTTATAGGATTAAAACAATATTGTACATAAATACTACGTCGTCTATTGAATATTATTTTAGTTTTCGTTATAACTGGGAAATAATATGCTAACAAATATAAAATATTCAAGATTTTAAAGAATTTTTTTCTCCTGCATTCAGCAATTTTTGGTCGCAAATGGATTCAAGGTAAAAAGTTGTACTATTTTTCTTCGTAATTTTTTTTATTTAATTTTAGAATAAGTAATCATCAATTTATTGTTATGTACATTTTATCTTCATACACGCTTTTAATTCCATTTAAACAGCATATACAACAAATGTGAGTTCAGAATGTGTTCCTACCGTGACAACGAGAAGATCACAAAATGGAACAATAAAATCTCCCAGATATCCAGATATGTTCACAGAAAACGATTGTTCGCATTGGGCCATACCACATGGAGCTGAAGTGAATTCGTCTCTGATTATTTATATCAAAGAAAATGAATTATTAACTGCTAACAAACTCAACAGGAAGTTCCTTACCGGAAACTTGGTAGTGGGGGGTATGTATATAGTGAAATATTCACTTTGCGGGATTGGAAAGTAGAAATACCTGAATTTCGGTTATGAATAAGTTGGAAGCTGTGTGCTATTTTTGATGCCCTATTGGGAATATTAATATTTAGACAACTTTCTTCCGTACATATACATCCTTGCTTGATTTCCTGAAACTAAAAACATATAAATTCCGCACTGTTGCATATCTATATATTTGTAAATTATCGCGAGTGAATTTAAAATTGGGTTCTGCAGGTATAATAAGTAATTAAAAATTCTATGGATCAAACTAAAATCAAATCCAGAATCAGCTTAATATATTTTTCCTAAAACTGCTGATACAATGTTTTTTTTTCTTATTTTTTTGTGTATCTTCGATAATGGAAATTATGATATTCTTAAAGGCGAAAATATGGCTATTTTTACGGAGGGCACTTGTGTAATAGTTCTGCAAAATGGCTTGCATTGTCAAAATGTTGAACAAATCAAAACACCAATAAACTGCAAACAGAAAGTTGTATTATTCCAAGAAAATAAAGATAGTTCATTGGAAATTGTGTTTACACCAAACGGACTGGCTGATTGGATGGGTGGACGGTATTTTAAACTGGAGTATGAATATGTTCCATGTGTGGAAGACTATAATAAAATTGGTGAATAAGATTGATATTATGTATTTCAAACCTATTATATTGTAGCATCTCAATTGAAAATTGCGCATGGCATCATGTTTATTATACATATGATTTTATAATGTATATTTTAAAATAAAAGGCAGCTGTTTTATTTCAGAGAGAGACATTGCAAAATTTCAAGCGGCAAACAAAAATACTGGATCAGGACCCGAGGGGACGCTGCATGGAGTCAATGATCATTCTACCTTATATTTAACTTCAATGATAGTGTTGTCCGTAGTTGCGGGATTGGAAGGAATGATATTGTTAATATTTCTGATACGTAGGTGAGAAAACAATGTGTTTATCTTATTTCAATATTTGAGCGCGATAAAATTGCTTCATTTCCGGTTAATGACTCTCTCCTGTATATTAGGAAACTAGATGCTTATATGCCGGATTTGAGGATTTGATTAGAAGTAGCTCTCTTTTAGAGGTTCATGCTCTAATTGCTTTTTTCGTAATTTTCATTAATTATCATGGAATTTAGAACCTTAGATATGGAAAGGAATAAAATAGCACGCGGGCAACTTTGTACTTTCTAATATATATGTTGCTTACAATTTTTGTATCTTCTCTCTCACATTAGACAAGATTTTTATATCTATCCCGAGGGAGAGGAAAGCCTGAGGACGACTCAATGATATAGCGGACCACGGCCTCTCGTCCGGTTATTTATTTCAGATACATTGGTTTGATGGTGGTGACAGTCGTAACCGACCATAGGAGTTCAGCAATCCTCTGTTTATTATCTCCTCCGTGGAATTCGAACGCTTGTATCATCAGAGGTGCGATGAGAAGCGTATTCCTAAGTCTTGGAACGACGCGTCATGCCACTGAGCATATAAAATACACATAAAAATAGAAACTAGATAGCGATTGGAGACCGCCGACTTATCGATCTTGCGGTTTCGATTTTTTTTTTTGCTCTGACTCAATAGCGACACCGCGTGTCCCATCACTAATCAATTAATAACTCATTAAATATAGGACGTTATTCATCCAAAATCAATCAAGACTTCTGGTTCGAGATATGATGATTGCACATGCAAAACTTGGAGATGATTTAACCTCGCTTTCGTGAGATATTGCGTAACATACGGAAGTGAAACAAACAGACAAATACCTATCAACATATATATATATACCGATCGAGTTCGATAAGTAATTAGAAGAAGTATCGAAGATACGAATCGGATTTTTTTGTTTGCCTTTAGATATAAAAGAACGACAATTTCGTATCAGAAGACTTCAAACGTAGAATTCGACACATCACCAGGACGAAGATCAAATATTGTTATTTTTCACGACAATCACATTGAAAAGATATAACACACCTTTGAGAATGTCGAATTGATGTAAAGAAGACTCAGAATTCAAATTTGGTTGAGAAATCCCCAAACTCATTTGAGTATTAGAGAATGTATTCAAATAATCTCTAACTAAACTAAAACAAAATATGAGCATAACACTGGATATTGAGAGGGACAAATCCAATCAATTTTGGATTGAATTTAAGCCATCGGGTAGGAATCAAACTTTAGTTTCAGAATCGCAAATAGTAGTCACTGCTTAATTCAGGACCTAATTTAAAAAGTATAAAATTTTACATTCATACATGCACATACATTTTGCTATAATAACATGTTTTTAGTTATTTTGTCCGAAATGTTTTTCAAATGATGAGATTGCAAAATGCTTAAAGACAAATTACACATCAAAAAAGTGAATGTTTTTTTAACGCCGATTTTGGTAGATCGCAACTGTAAGTTATAGTTAGCAGAAACACGGAAAACGAGCAAGTAATCAGCCGAGATATGCATGGAATTCTGTGCGAGTGAAAAATGTGTTTGATCGGTTGCTAGAATTTGAATTCACCGTTGATGCTATTAGCCAATACTGCGGAAGTAAAAGAGGAAGTCGATGAAGTCCGATAAACAAATCATACAACGAACTTATGGTAATTTTGCACGACGTTTACAGTTACTGTATAATCGCAGTTTGGTAGATGTTTCATTGTTGTCCAAGGCAGAATTCTCGGTATCAGCTAGTTATATACCTGTAGATAATAGCGTGTCGTATTGTCTTAGTCAATATAGTTCTGATTCAAATTCATGTAGCTTATATTACTTGAATGATGGCAACGTTAGGTTAACAAATTGATTTCGAGTGAATAAAGGTAACCATTGTTTACTGAACGTTTAAAAAAATTACGCGAGCACAAAAATGAAACACTGCTGAAGAAGATAATATTATGAGAGCATTAATCATAATCGTCATCAGTATAATAATCAACGTGCACTGGATTTAATTCACACAAAATTTCCAAAAATAATAGAGCAGTTAATCAATTTATTAAAAAAACAAGGCATTTTTAAAAAAAATTTTCATCAAACAGTTTTAATACCAATTTTTGTTTACAATAACTCAAAAGATATAAATATTGCGTGCAGACTTGATCATGCCAGGGACGGTATGGCATTTGCGGTTTACGTGCAGTGTAAACTTCCGATTATTATTCTCTGCGATGATTGGCGGTTTAATATAGAGATTTTATTATTAACTATAGACTATAGACTATATTAGAAGAACATCGATATAAAATAGCATAATGTTAATATTCGTTTTTTCACAATAATTCACGAAAAAGTTGAAACTTTAATTAACGCTTAATTGTATCGCTCTGAACAGGACAATATACAGGCAGAATGTAAGACATTATTAGAATATATAATATCTTACTTGATTATGTTATTTTGACAAACACTTTGAAAAACGTTGGTAACTGTACCGTTACTTAGTTTTTGAAGAAAATATTTATCCAGGCACTAGAAAGTTTTTTGATTATTTCGGCGTCTCCTACACACATTTATGGGGAAATTGAGTCACTGTGCTTCTTGGAAAAATAACCGATATGACCTAAAATTGACTGTATTTCAATTACTCATTGTAGTGTATCACAGGCAGTATCACTCACCACGTATGTACATACGCATTCAGTGTACCTGCAGTTCGAAGCAACTGACTCATTAAACGTCTTCAATAAATTGAGACATGCTTGCGAAAATAGAGCAGTTCAGTATAAAGCATTACGGAAGGCCAGTGCAAATTAGGATCTCGACGGAAATTATACTATCTAATGTTACAATAAACAGCGTGCTTATTCTGAAGAATATGTTGTTGGCAAACGATCATTAGTGAACTGACTACAGCAGCAAAGTGTCTCAGATTTACTTTCAATACAATTTCAATCAAGTAAACTCGCAGTAATAAGCTAACAACCGCCAAAGTGAAAATTTAGCAAGGAAAGGTTGCGAGTTAGAAAATCTTGTTAGTTTGATTAAATTCGATTCTCCCATTTTGCCATTGTCAACCCAAGCCATAACACAGTCTGTGAATTGTCAGATAAGTTTATTCCGTGATCGAAACATGAATTTGATACTATTATCATAACACTACAAAGAGAATTAATGGGATTTTATGCTAGCTGGGATTTTATGTACTATGCAAAGCAAAAATAGTCAGTTATATTGAATGGAAGATATTGGATTAAACACATGACAAGCCCACTTATGAAAATGTTGCCGCTATTTGTATTATCACAAAGTTTATCTATATTTTAGTTTCATCGATATTCACACAGATGGTCAAAAATTCTAAACATAACATTACATTTGACAGTATTTGTAAATAGGGAATACAACATTTGATAATTTGATAATAGAGTTTTAATAAAGACATTGAAATAGTTTTAAATAAACAACTTCGACTTATTTGACAAAGAAAAACATTTTAAAATCTTATGAAGAACCGGAACTAAAATTCGCTTTAGTAGATTGCACATCTTCACAATGAAAGCCAGATAAAATGACTAATTCGGAATCTTCGGTAACTGTGTATTCTTATTTATTTGTGAAACCTAATAGAGGGGAAGAGAAAACAAAAATTGAAATTGCACAACGACAAGCTATCCAAAATAGTATTTGAATGCGTTTAAACTTTTTAATTTATGTTTTAGTTGTACTTAAAAGTGCCATTTTGAGCATAATGATGAACTTCCAAATATTTTCGATGCTGATCTTCGTTCAAGTTCTTATTCAAAGTAAGATTTTTTTATTTATCGATTGACACTATTTGAAGTTTTAAACAGTTATATAATTTTTCTGAAATGCCTGATATTCCGACTTGTCATTAAGATTCAACTGCATGTCCGAGACGAAAATCACGTAATGAACCAACTGGTGGAGATGATGATTCTTCAAATAGTGATGTAGCTACAATGTCTCCTCCTCCAGAAGTTTTCTTCAACTGCAACTTTTCCGATGTCAAAAGCATGAAATTGCAAGCTGCTGTTTACAATTTAACTAATGCAACTGATCTTTTATGCAACGCGAACATTGATATGACAGGTTGATTGATATGATATGAATCGGATCTATAGTTAATAACCTTAATATTAAGTCTGGAGTAATCTAGAAAGCAGTTAATTAGGTCGTTCTTAGGCCCATGAGGTAATATCACGAGTTCTTTTGTACTATTTACTGCTTCATGATAATTTTCATTTGTGTACCTAGTTTGGGCTTTATGTGCTTGCATTTTGCCTGTTGACTGAACAATAGACATTCAAAAATATGAAAAAAATATAACTTATACAGGACATGAAGTTTAATATTCTAAAATTTTTGTTATTGCTGAAATCAATTTATTTGTTAATCTGGAATATATTTCACATTGCTGTGTTTCAGATTTGCTAAACGCTACTGTATCACGAGAAAATCGAACTCGGATGTGTAATTATCTTGGCGGCATGTTTTGTGCAAACTGCTCCATTGATTCGTCCCATCATGTCAACGTTGCCAACGTTTCAATATCTTGCATTAATGGTGAGTTAATTTACAATGGACCCAATATTAATGCATGAATAATAAAAATCAAATAAGTCATGTTAAAATCGACTGTTAAACAATTAAAACAGATAAACATTTTCCCAAAACTGTATCTCATATATAATTATTAATATTCATTTTATACGAAACAACTTTGCACTTCTTGTAGGGAAAAAGAATGAATCAAAAAATTGTGAGGCATTAAATTAACTGAATTTTGAAGTTACCAACTGCCTAAATGCTTAAATTGAAGTTAAGTTATTCATTTTTATCGGCTCCCGCGACTAGATGTCGAAAACACGGTGTTGTTGATTACAATGGCGTCTCAATTAAGTATATAAATTTCATGACGCATAATCGGGCTTTCCACATTACCGCTTCACTATCCATGTGCATCTGAATGGTCATTTGACTGGTTAGCTCAATTTAGATTAGTAGCCTGGCAAAAATACTGGATGTTTGAGTCTATCTAGTGGGTTTTCTATATATGGGTATTATCAAAATTATTTGTTATGCTGGTGCTTCGATTCATCAATGAAGTCTCTCCATAAAAATATACTATTTAGTTTACTATTAAAACCTTTCAGATGCTCAAACAACATCCCTTCCAACTACAACAATCATCACTACTAATAAAGGTTAGTAATATAAATATAAATAAGAAAAGAGTGAAAGCGTAAAATATGTTGGCATATTTCTGTTTTTTTCTATATGGCGTCGTAGAAGAAAAATTTATTAAAAACATTCAACATTATTTCAACGATGGTCACTCCCGCCTTAAATAAGAATAACTATACCAGTCTAATATATTACCACAACTTAAGGATAATTCGATGCTTTTAATGATTCAATTTACGTCCACGTTGTTTTTGAGTGATTGTACCTTCGGTAAAAGTTGGGCTAGGTTTGGAACCTGGAACAGCGAGTTTTCTGGTTTTCAGCACTATTTTTTGTGCTTATTAGAAACAACCTCAAAATCTACTACACAAATGGCAACTGAGACAAATTTTATGTTAGATACAACGACCATCAACGACAGAAAAGTGTTAGGAACAAAGGAAATAGCAATAATTGGAGGAATAACCGGTCTTGTTTGCCTTCTGTTGATCATCTTGCTTGTTGTTTTATTATGCAGGAAGTAAGTATTTATTAGTATTATAATATTCCAATTATTACATGCGCGTGAAACATAAAAATATTTGTCTTCACCTATCTACAAGAAAGGCGGAATGTTTGTAAACGACGTAGAATTATAATAAGTGAATACAATTGATTGGAGTAATATTGCGAAAATATCTTAACTTTTGTGCTTTTGATGATTGATAAAAGTACTTCAAAATTTTATGTCAGAAGAGGTAGGAAATATAAACTTTAATAATTCAATTTGTGTTTTTATAATGCATGATAGGTAAACCAGTTAAATTTAACTATAGTTATTGTTCCAGATCTAATATAAACCTTCACTGTTCATGAAATAAAATCAGTGCTAATTGTGCTCCTGATTTTGGGTTAAATTGAATTTTTGCTCATAATTCCTACTTCTAAAAAATTTTAATAATCATCGTCATATATTCCGAGTAACGTTATTTTTTATTTTGCTTTTCGAGTGTTGGTAATGGTACGTGGAGGGTAAAACTTGTGTTAAGTTCATTTATATCACTGAACTTTTCAGAAGACGTGCAGATATTGACAAGGATAGCAAAGAATCCGTGATGCACGTAGAAGCAGAAGAAACCGGCGAGCTGTACACTGTTGTCAAGAAAACAAAAACAAAAAGTCAAATCAAAGAAAATGTTTTATACGAAGCAAATTCTGAACCCGACACAGTCGGCGACATTGAACTTTATGCCATTGTAGACAAGAAAGGACCAAAAAAAGATGTAAGTGAAACGAATATAACAGGAAATATATTGTACGATGGAAATACAGACGCACAACCTGGCGAGGGGGATTTATACACAGTTGTCGATAAGAAAAACAAGAAGAACAACTCCGATAAAACCACCAGTGCGGGAACAGGAGGCGATGTTTACTCTGTGGTTGACAAAAAGAAAAATTAAAAATTCATTTTTAAAAAGATCAAAAAATTTATACGAATCTGTTTAGAGACACAATTTTCAATTTCTAAGCAGAGTGTTTGCAACAGAATAAAGAATAAAATATGCTTGATACCCTTTTCTTTGAAATTGATTATTGTGAGTCAAATATGATTTTAATTTCTTATTTTAATTTTATATATATCATTTAGCAGACGTAATCACAAAAATATTTATATCCATTCAGACTTAATATCGTTCAGGATATAATATATAATAAATACAATTTTGCATAATACAGATTTGTAATATTAACTTGCAGCACGCATAGTCTAGTCCTAGTGCTTCTGCTCTAGATGTCACCTTTCCCATCGAAAAGTTTAGATGATTAAGTCTCGGTAATATGTTTCTCTACTTCTACCATTTTTTTTCATAAAAAAACGAGTCAAAAAATTATAAAAATCAAAGTTGAAAAATTAAAATGATGTAAATACTATTATACCATATTTTATTGTAATAAAATAATAATAAGACGCTTAAATATATGTTTTTGAAAGTTACGTAAGATCCAAAATTGGGGGTCATTTGTTCAAAACGTCTTATCGACTTTAATCATAGCCTAAAAATAATATCCCACTTTGAATTGAGACCAATTTAGCCTTCAACTTCGAAAAGATCATCCAAAGGAAAACGTAAAAATATTTTTATGACAAATGTGTATTCTGAATTCGTATATTGTTGTACTTGATTGCATCAAACTGCAATGGAATTACATGCTATGCAATACATGTATACAGGGGTGGTCGTCACGTCTTGATCTCGAGTAGTCGATAGCGTCTAATGTTCGGTGAATAATTTGAATTTAATATTATGCCCCAAAAAGTTGCCTTGAACCAGTTTCATGCAGCGCCTGTTGTGTGTTTTTAAACAGGAAGAATACAGTACTGTACATGCGCGAAATATGATATACACATACACTATTTGAGTCTGGGAAAGTCCGAGATAGAGCATATTATTGTGCGTAACAAATACAAGTTTCGCTGATGCCAAGGTTCTGGCAGGAATGAACGTGCCGAATATTGTGTGTCTTGACTGACAAACAATCCTACAATAACTTTTGCAGTATGTGAAAGTTATTGTCTTACTCCAAGAGCAGTGTGTTTAATTTTAAAATTAATTTCTACTCGCAACGGCAGCAGTGACATCAGAATGCCAAATTTTTTCTAATTCCGAGCGAGCGAAGAATTGGACTCGGAGGAAATTGTAAATTAGACACTGAAGTTTGATCAGTCATGTAACATTTATAGTTTGAAAATATATATTTTTTGCTGTTTAGATAATACATAAATACTAATACAAGTTTCCAAGATTTACGACTAAAAATTAGACAGACTGTAGATCCGAATTGTACTATTTGAATACATCTTAAATAGATGATCGAAAGCAGGTTGGCCACCCCTGCTATACATGTTTAATTCAATGCGACATCCATTGTGATTCTGGTCTTAAACTGATAGAGGTTTGTAAAATCTTCGTCACCTTTCATTGCCATTGATCACGAAAACAGCCCTTCTACCGGCATTATAATGTACTAAGCGTAAGATGTATTAGTCGAGTCAGCCATTTGCTGTAAATATTAATACAATACATACCTCGGTAGGTTTGTGAAGTCAGAACACAACAACAGCTAAAAAAATGGATTCGAAATTGAAATGAACAACAACAGACTGGTGAAATTAAGCAGATCTATACTGAGGCAAGACGCGAAAGGTCAGAGGTCATTTAAAATTATTCCCAGGAACTAACATAAACAGTAAAATTACATTGATTTTCAAAGAATAAATTAATAATATAAATAATATGAATGTGGCCTCCTAGCTTCTTTATATCCTGAAAACTCGAAATTTATCGGGTCATTAGTTGCGAGAAGAGCAATTTTTCACAAAAACAACAATCACAAATTCAACAGCAACAACCGCAACAAACATTTAAGCGGAATAATTCATATTAAATTCTAAATAATCCACAAATACACTTCTTGTCCAATGAGGCCAAATTTAACGCAATACGAAAAATTTAGTCTTACCTGCGTATGCCAACCTTGACTTTAGAATACAAAAATGAAACCTTGTGATAATTTTGGTAATTATTTGGTGGGTAAAAAATGTGCGCACGGTCTCGCCATATATTTTCCTACCAAAAATATTACATAGGAAACTGCACATATCCGGAAACTGATTTCGTTTCCTATTTTTGGCCTATAGTAGTTGAACTGTATTTTGCATAATCACTCAGGCAATGAATAATACGGTGACATCTTGAAATATTTTTCGTCAGACGTAATTGAACCCCATTGATAATCTTTACTTTGAAAAATCGAACATGCTTGATTTTGTTAAAAAATACGTCATTTTAAGAACATTTTTGCTTCGCTTGAAAATATGAGAATAATAACCGACAAACTGACTCACTCAATAGACAATAGACTCAATAGTTTTTTTTGACTATATATCGCTGAATACGTGATTTACGGGCAAACAATAGTTTACAAATTGGTCGAGTGATGAATTATCCGAAGCTGTGCCTTTACTTATACTATATATCTATACTTTTTTCGTCCTAGTCCTGATAGAACACCTCATCACTGTTATGATTACTAACCTTCAGGCACAATATGACTTGCGATAAAACTTGTAATACATTAATATTTTGTGAAGCTCCTAAAAATTTCGTTACGAGCAAAGCTATTAGTATGTCGACGATAAAAGAAAGCCAATCAATTCAGGATTCTTTTCTGATTATATCGAATCCAGGATTTGAATTATATCAGATTCCAAACTTGCGATTGTAATGTCAATCTACTGCGTTGAGAACAAGGGGATAGCATATTGATTGAGAATTCCATTCAGTTTCGCAGTCTATTTATTACATTTACCGGTACATCACGCTGGTATTTTTATTGCGTGCAGAAATATAATCATGTTTTATAAATGGAAAATATACGACAATATGTGGATGTAAATTGCATTAGATTTATTACAGAATTCATTATCATAAAATCTTGTCGTCAATTTGTCCTCTTGTCGTCATGGTATAAGCTGGTTAATTAAGAGCTTCAGCCATCCTATATGAACTATATGAAAGACTTACTCGATTCGTTGTAGTTAACTCATTATTCCAAATTTTAATAAATTTTCAAACTAGAAAAAAAAACATGTTGCTATATCCTGTAAATACTGCGTAGTTGCATTACTCGTGAGTCATTTTATACCGCAACAAGACAAATGCGCAGTCATACACTTGACTCATACAATAATATCCGTTGATATGATATTGTTTTTGCTTGTATACTACCAGTTATCAGGCTACCATTAAAATACAGGCGAACCAATTAAAATGAAATATTTATACACTCCACTCTGAGCAGGCGTTATTCGAATGAAGCAAGACAGCAATGCTCAAAGGTATGGACACGATGACCAAAACGAAGTAGTAGGGATATGCAATCTTTTACAGTATACTACTACTGGTACCGCAGTTTCACGACTTTGCCTGACCCTGATATTGTAACGAACGCAAACGTGGAACTGCCACAAGGTACGCAGGAATTTCGGGAATAAATAGAAGTAATATCCCTTCAGCGACAAGAACAATTATTAACAACTTTATAAGTCCAATGGCAATTCATGTCCAATAAAGATGATATGTTTTGTAACCATAGCTGGAGAAATATATACGTCAACGTGGATTCACGGAACAAAGTATTCCAGCGAGACTTTAATAGCGTGTTAGAATAAGAGAGAACTGGCAGAATGTATAATACTGTCATAAAACTTTTAATTGCACTTTTAAAGTTATTTTTAAAGTATATATCAGACTAATATCTGTCCATGTCCCTGTTTTTCGTAGGCTTAAATTACAAGGAGTTAAAAATTAAGACAATGGCAATAAAGCATATGGTGTTGTTCTACACATTCCACACAGTCAACTGTAAAAAAATCTGTGATTTTGGTAAAGTAACTTTGACCTGCATTTCAACCTGAGTACTCTTTTTTTGCAATGCAATTTTTTTCAAGACGTGTGCAAAATTTGTCTGCAAATTTCCGAAACTGTACAATTTTATTGATCTTGTGAATATTTTAATCAAAATTCGTAACGTAGTGTAACTTAGGGGAAATCTTTTCCATTGATAATAGATTTTGTGTCTATGTAAGCTATTCCTGTTCACCAGAAACTTTCTTATCAATGTGTGGGAAAAACCAACTTCATGTATACTGGTCAGAGATAATAGCTTTTGTGTCTATGTAAGCTTCATTCCCATCATAAATGGACTCATGTGACCTCCACCCATTGCATCTTTATTTGAAAAAATGTATGAGGGCTATGTAAAACTGATTTTGTTTTGTTGCAGCAATATGTTTTTGGACAGTGTATTTAGGAACAATACATGCATATTGCATATACGCAAAATAGCAGGAAAAATACAGAAAAAAGGCACTAAATAAAAACTACGTTGAAGAAGCAGAAATCATTGAATGTGAATGTGAACAAACATGAAAACAAATTGTTGGAAGCTAGAAAAGGGTAAAAAAAAATTCGTAATCGCTCTGTACTTAGGATATAGATTTTCAGTCTCAAAGAAACATACATATGGTGAGTATGAAAAGATTACTTGAACGCTAAAGTTGCAGTTGTAAAAAAATCAGAAGTAGTTATATACCATAAAACAGTTGCTGAAGGAAAATTCCAAGACATCACTCCCCCCCACCCCAAAGAAAAAGAATCGTCGATAAGAATGCCTCAGCCGAGTTGGAATAGCCCATACAGAAAAAAAATATGACGGCTATGAAAAAAAAAGCTAAAATAAAAATGAAGTGTAGATAGAAGATTATTTAATCGTTATTACTGTATTCGATTGGTATAATGTCCTTAGCATACACGAATACGTCAGACTTATGTCCAAATATTCAAAATCCAGATGAGAAGTCAGTTATATAACGTACAGTACATATCGTCGATGTATGTTCGAAACTTCCAATGCAAATAATTGGAAGAATTTCGATCAATTATTTTTTTAAAACGGCCCTTAATCGCAACTTTCGCTCCGTACAAGTCGATGTACAAGCTTTCACGATGCGACAAGAGGCCAAAAGTTTTGTCCCCCTAGAGTGGCCAGCCATGTAAGAGTGACGTAAAAAGTTACATTTTATGAACAATATTTACAGTGTTACAAAAGAAAAAGGGAGAAACAATAAACATCGTGCCAAAACTAAATTTAACCGCAATCTCAACAGATTCCTTAGGCTATTTTCTAGTTTTGGCTTTAGTTTGATGGTGGCAGCATCCGACGCGTCAGCATGAATCACCCAACAGGCCGGATTTGACCTACGGGCCATAGTCTGCCCATGTCAGGGCTAGGCCATTGCGCTCCTCTGTATATTTATACGTATATATATCTATAAATATGGCATAATTATGAATGTCCTGACTCAAATTGTAAATAGTAAATTCCGAATATGAAGTGTATGTGGCGTGCTCCAAATTCCATATTTATATTCCATAATTCCCAGTCTCCTACTTTAGCATTTCAAAAGTTCAATTCGCATGCTCATCCATTCATTGTAAGTAACTGGGTGAATTCTGAAATATATTGCAATGATAGGTTTCAGGAAGTAGTTTTTCACGATTGTGTTTTTGTCCGAATTCCCCGGGAAAATCTAAAATAAATAATTGATTACATTTATTATCATAAAATGTTATTTCAATGCTGATAATAATTAGAGCTCTTTATAAGAAGTTTTCAAGTTTTTATACCAATACATACAGTGGTTCACATAAGGTGGCGCTCCCCACAAAGGGTGGCGTGAAAATAATCAAAAATAGAAATATTCGTTAAATTAGATCTTGCCCGTTTTATTTTGGTTATCTGCATTTGTACACTTTCGAAATTTTTTTATTATTCTCTTTCCATCCACGTATTTTTGCATGAAACATGCCTTCATTGCCTACTACTATCTACGCCTTACTATCTATTATTTGTTCCACACAAGTCTGTATGAAACAAGCGTTGATGTATTTCCAAAAATCAAATAAAGTAATATAATTATGTACCTTGACAGTCCCATTCTCTTCATACATACGAAGTTCCGTGGAATCATTTCCATACGAAATTTTGTAAGTTTTTACAAATTGGTTGCAGCAATCGGATCTTCTTCCTTGCGTTGCTATGCCGAAAATTCTTGTTGGGTTTTTCAAATCAACCTGTAGCCAGTCAGTTGGGTTGTTCGGCGTGTCTAAAAAAATATTATAGAGATTCAAAATAATTCTGAAAATAAATTAGAACGAATGTAAAAAAAATCAATTGAGGTGTTAAATATAAAAAATAGAGCACTCACTGTGTCCTGCGCACCAAGCTACCGATGAGTTGAGAGGAGCGTTTGTTACCCAGCAGTCTTGATGAAAAGATGATGCCGTAATGCTTGATATGGGAATTTCTCCAGATGCAATTCCAGCGTAGCAAGCTGAATATAAAAGAAAATACAAAGACGATGCCTAAATATACGAACACGAAAACCAAATAAAATGAGAACAGGGAGGCCAAAGAATTGGAATAAATAAAAGTAATAGTTTCCGAACTCATCTTAATAAGTCTTAAAAAAGATTTCGTTTCATACCAAAAATTAAGACTTACTCGGTCTTCCAGTCGTCGCCAAATTCGTGGTTGACGAAGTCAGAGCAACAGCCGTGGAAATAGCCTCAGCTTTACTGGTAGCAGCATTATTAGCGCTTCCTTTGATTGTGGGAGTGGTCAGTGAGGGCAACTTAACTGTATTGTGATCATTACGAATAAGCTCTGCCTTTATTTCCACGTTTTCAGTGTCAAAATCTTCATTCAAGATAGAGATGATTCTATTTCTTAATTCTTTTTCCAGATCTAAAAATAATTTGATTAAACGTTGAGATTACTAAATAAAAAATCAAACTGTCCGCATTTCAGAATAAGACATTTACACGTTATGCAATTTACATTAGGCTGAAAAACGACAAACTTCAATATCTCATTATATGTTTATTTTATAAAAGTTTGTCATATGTTTATTCTTCAAAATATGTTCTCTCTAAATTAGATCAATCAATTCGTGAAGTTCATACATTGAATAAATTAGACAGAAAATACAATATTTCATAACTTTTACTCTATAAAATCTGAACTATGCACACATATATTATATCATACCTAATAATACACTATGCTGAAATATATATATATCATCATAGTACAGTAATTAAATTTTGTGTGACGTGATTCCATTAATTACTGGGTGACACGCAACATGCAGTAGAAGTGATATTTGATTGAAGAACGCTAATGAGTAACGTTGATGAAATAATGTATGGACTGTTATATTTTTTTCATAATCATAATGCTGCCATGTAGGTTTGTTCACTATTCTGGCCAGTCTTGTAAATTATTCAATCACAACGAAAGCAAAATTATCTGAATAAAAATCGATAAATGATGAAATAAAAGCTAACAATATTTATGTAAAAAAAATAGACTTTGCCTACCTTTCAAATTTGTAGACTGAAAAATAAAAATATCACAATAAATAAATTATATTGAATTATTATTTCAACAAACGTATGAAGTAATAAATTTTTATCTGAAAATATAGGACGACTGTACAAGATTCTCAAATCGACAATACAAAATGCATTGTGGCGTATCATTAGAAATAAATATCCGAAATAGATATTTATCTACCATACAAGCTGAGTGAACAGTTTTACAGTAAAAAATTCAAATATTTTTGACACATGTTGACATACATCGGATGGTTATTTATTTTAGTTTTACCTCGATAGTGAGTTCAAAATATTTTCCGCTGCATGATTCACAAGATTGTTCCGTAGTTTGAGCTGAACGATAAAAGCAATTAATATTTTTGTCAATGGGTTGATTAGTAATATTTTTACAGAGACTATTGAGCAATCGATTACGGTATCCCCTGAAGATTAAAATATTACAAAACGCCTGGTTGTTACTGTAGGAAAAAATGTAGTTTTTTTCCATTGCAACCAAGTTAAAAGCGAATTTATTTATAATTTACAACAATGAACATGTTATCGAATATTACGATATAAAATATATAATAGTAAAGTCAAATTCATATGTCAACTAAAACAAGAAATGTCTCACCTAGGTATGCTCCAGCAAGAATGAAAGGCAACAAAGCAGTGAAAAACATTTTAATCGTCTCAATACTATTTTGCATATGAGCTTTCTGATTTGTCAAGAAAAAATCGCTAATGTTAATTAGGAGACAAAATGAATTTGACAATGAACAAAGTGAATGGCAAACTCAGTAGTGTGCAAACTGCGGCCCGCGGGCCAAATTCGGCACACACTGAAAAATTGTGAGGACCGCGATAAAGTTCCAATTTTGAATGGTGTGCCCGCGAAACGAGTTTTTAGTTAGTTAATCTGGTACGTGCGAGCAGTTCCGATTCTTTTTCAAAGCCTCTACCGGTACCTGAGTGCCACTGTCATATTAGCAAAACTAGCTAAAAAAAAATCTTGTTGCAATATACACAATGTTATGAAAACGTGTTTCGTCTACAGTAGGTGTCACAATAAATTCGAAATCGAATAATGCCGCAAGATCAATAACGAAAAGAAACAATTCTTGTGCCTGCAACTACTTGAAAGATTATCTCAAATAAGGGTGCGGCCCGCGGCCACACCCAGTTACTCGTATCTGTAATAAAGGTTGCACACCCCTGTGCTAGTTGATTAAAAGATCAATCCAGCTGGCAAGTTTAGTTTTTGAACTAATTCGCATCTGGTTTTCGCGCACTGAGATCACGGCAAAAAGTTTTGTTTTGGAGTCTCTACATATACGTTGATACTATGCTACATCAACATCTTTACCCTACATCTGACCTAACTCAATGTCCAACTGCTCTCAATCAAAACGATATAGAATGTTACCGTGTGTACTCAATCGCCTTTTTAAATTCAATTAATTTGAATTAATTAATGTATCAGCAAAAGTTTTATAGTTTAAAAATATATTATTAATTACCTCATTCATACCTTTGTGCGTATAGTTGCAGTAGCACTATTATTTAGTTTAATTACTGTTTCAACTTTTATTTCCTGGTTCAAAAATTATGCAATGTTTGCTGCAGTGTCAGGTAATGGTATAACGAGAGAAATATCTTGCTCGTATTTTACTAAAAACAGTCAATTATGTATAAGTTAGGTTTGATACTACAATTGCATAAAACATAATTAAAATATTTTTGAATGTTCTAAAAGAAATACTTAAATAAAAAATATTAATATGTAAATATATATTATAACAAATTAATTAGAAATAAACCGGGGACAAAAACATAATGCCTCGTAATCAGAGAGTTATTCATAAACTTGCACAATGCCTCAAATATAGATTAGTAGTTCTTTCTCCATACGGTTTATCGAAAAGTAGGTTGACCTTCAACCTCTGTTTTACCTTACTTATCCTTTTCTGTTTCTTGTGATGGGTAAATTTTTATTGACTAGAGAAGTGGTTCTTAACCTTTTTTGAATAATTTACCCCTTTATCAAACAAGGTTACAAGATTTACCCGAAATACAACAGATATTAAAAATTCGTCAGGTAAAGTATAAATAGCTCTAAATTCAGACGCGAAGTCTCTCTCTCTCTCTCTCTTTTTTCATTATACCCCGTCTTCGCCTCTGTATTGGGCTTCAGTTCGAAAAATGAGAGAGTGGGGTTCGGTGGGAAAAGAGTGGTGTGGGAGGGGGGAATGTATGCGGGGGGATATTGAGGTGATAGAGAATTGCCAAAATAGGTCGGAGTGGGAAAATGAAATCATCGATCACAAAAAGCTTTTAAGATGATTTCTCCAATCGTATGTGTTTTTTGCACAGAACACTCTGGGGAATATAAAGACCATTGTGAATAAGATACGTCAACTCAAAATATAAAAAATCGCTCTGATCAGGGGCGCAGCTAAGATTTAGACACAGGGTTAAAATCCATTCCCTTCTGAAACAGTCGTCGCGATTACGCGCTCGTTAAAAGACCCCACTTTTGCAGCCGACTTTCCTCATTTCCCTGACAATTATGAGAATCTAAAATGTCTTTCTATAGTAATTTAATTGTGTTCAACGTAACTTGCAATTGTTTCTTCTTACGGCAAAAGAAAAACATTACTACTCTAAAGTCTGAATTACCAAGGTAATCTGCGAACATGAAAATATGAGATGAACTGCCCGATTATATTTAGCTTTGATCCTATTTTTTTGATTTTGCGAATTCGTTATCGCCGTTAGAAAAGATCTGATATAAATTCACATAAATTACAATTTAATTTAGGGCAATAAAAATACACATGAAATATATTAGTAAATCAAAAATACATATTCCTCGCCTCGAAATCCCCTCCGAAAGGCTATTGAAGTGCCTTCGCCGCGAATACGCCACTTTCTCAGCAGGCACAATTGACTGTTTTTCGATTTCATTGACGCTATGGATTCCAACGCCGACTGAACATAATGTGTGCTATAGACACAGGAATTTTTGCGATTCACAATGGATAAAGAGGCGTTTTTAATCGGCGTTTTTAATCAGGTAAAGTGTAAATAGCTCTAAATTCAGACGCGAAGTCTCTCTCTCTCTCTCTTTCTTTTTTATACCCTGTCTTCGCCTCTGTATTGGGCAGTGGCGGCGCGTCAATAGAGCCAACCGGGGAAATGCCCCGGTTGTTTTTTCGGTATAATTAAAAAAAATATTCGAAAAATACCTCAATATCGGTTGCACAGACTGTCTACACTAGCCATATTCTCCCGACATGGTTCATTTTTCGCTCGCAAAGCCTTCGCCGAACGTCGACGGGGCGACGCCGATTTTGCCCCGGTTGCTCATTGTATATCGTATTCTCTCTTTTATCTTCCACTCGCCGCGATTGTCTCGTTTGTTTTCTGTTTCTTTTACTAAATCATCGGGGCCGATCGGGGCTAGCCCCGAAATTATGACGACACAATGCCGACGTTTCTTACAACAACGTGTTGACATATTTACGCATTCCTTCTCGTTCGTTGGTTGCTTGAAGAGTTGATAGTTTCCTCGCCTTCGTTTTTGTCGCTTGTTTCGCTATTTGAATCAGTTAGAGACCTTTAGTCCATTTGCTTTCGATTTTCCACATTCCTTTTGAGCTCCTCACTTCTTTCCGGCTTCGCATTTCTTAGCCTTAGACCTCATAATGAATAAGGTTGATGCACTACTTCGCACTCCGTTTTCGCAGCTGCCGCTGGAACAAAAATTAGAGGTACAACGTCTTGGGCCTTATCAACCAAAAAAATGTTCACTGAAACAATCCCATGACGGAGGAAAGCGTCGGCGTACATTCTGCGCAGAAACTTGGTATAAAAAACACGAATGGTTGTGTTACAGCGAGGACAATGCACTTTTTTGTTTTTATTGCCTACTTTTTGCTACCGCCCGTTACTCACGTTGGTGTAAATTTGGTTTTGGAGATCTTAAACATCTTTCTGAGCGTGCCAGGGATCATCAATCTTCTATGAAGCATCTGGACAATGCAGTGAAATATACCGAACATTCGGAAATGTTAATATTGCAGCACAGTTGGATGAAGGACGCGTGGTTTCTATTCGTCGGCACAACCAAAACGTCGAGAAAAACCGCCATGTCCTCGGTCGATTGATAGATGTTTTGAAGTTCATTGGTTGTCACGAGCTGTCCCTCCGTGGGCACGATACAATATCCACGACCGCATCCCTAGATACATTATTGAGAGATCATCTTGATGCCGCAACTGTTTCGAAAGGGACATCTAAGGATATCCAAAATGATTTGCGTATAAAATTTATTTACAACATTTGGCTCTGGAAATTGAGAATTGCCAGTTCCTTTCGATTCAGTCTGGCGAGACAACTGACATCACGTGCGTTTCCCAACTGGCTGTAATTTTTCGGTTTGTGAAAGATGGTGAACCTACCGAGAGATTTCACAGCTTTGTACCAATCGTTGATCGCACGTCTTGCGGGATATCGGCTGTACTGAAAGAAGTGTTACAGCCTTACAACGCGAAGTCAAAATTGATAGCTCAAACTTATGACGGCGCGGCAGTCATGAGTGGGTCGAAACATGGTGTTCAAGTTTATATAAAAGAAGATTTTCCTCATGCGCATTTTTTACATTGTTATGCACACCAATTTAACCTCGTTATTAAAAATATGTGTCTTGATACCCCTCTCGTCCGTATATTTTTTGCAAATGTTTCGGGGTTTTCTTCATTTTTTTCCGTTTCGCCGAAGCGCTCTGACCTCCTTCGCCAGATATGTAGCCGCCGTCTCCCAGCTTGTGCACCAACACGTTGGAACTTCCAATCACGCGTGGTGCAGGGCGTGTCCGAAATTAGGTCTGAGCTCATTGAGTGTTTCAATGGCATTCAGAGCTCTCCGGTTTGGGACGAACGCTCTGTGAGGGAGGCGGCAGGTCTAAAGCGTCTGCTAGAAGATGGTGAGTTTTCATTTTTTCTCGCTTCTTTCTCCACAATATTCTATTACGTGGATGTATTATACGGCGCATTGCAGTCAAGGCTAATGGATGGAGCGTCTGTGCAGTCGTGTATTTTAGACTTCTGCGATGCTGTATCTCGTATCCGGGAAACAATAAAATACGACGACACATGGAGTGCTTCTTTACGCCGCGGGCAAACAACGCAGCGTTTGATTTGGTCTGCAAAGGAATGCTGTGACATTCTGGTGAATCAAATAGGCGATCGTCTGCGCACTGAACACCTTGCCGCGTTCTCTTTGATGAACCCCAAAAAATTTTCAAAATTTGCACGTCAATTTCCCATCCATTTGTTGGCTACTGTCTCCAAATTTTACCCCATGATAAACTTGGGTAAATTGGAAACTGAATTGCGATGTATATACACCAATCAAACTTTTTTGAACATCACATCAACTTGCGCGCTCTATGGGTTCCTCATAGATAACACTCTAATAACTACCTTTGCGGCGTCTGCAAAATTTCTGGACATCATTTTGACGACGCCTATTTCTTCCGCCGACGCAGAGCGAACATTCAGCACGCTGAAGCGTATTAAAACGTATCTTAGAAACACAATGAAGCAAGATAGATTAAATTCATTGGCTGTTTTATCCATTCACAGAGACGTTATTTCTGGGATGCATGACTTTAATCAGCGCGTTATTGAGTATTTTGCTTCCAAGAAACCGCGCGTGTTGCATATATGTTCAAGCAGTAGAAGTCTAGCAGCATATATATCTATGAGTGAGCGACGCATGTCCTTATCTTTGCATTACCTTTCCTTTCTTCATAGTAACGTTTTAAACCTTATTTTAGGTTTTGTCTGCTTTCCCGAAGTTTCTGGGTAAATATTGCCTTTCCTTTTGAAAGAGGTTTCAAAATAAACTATGTCTATATTTATTAATCCCTTGACTTGGACCGGTTTTAAAGACACTTTCTTATCGTTAAAAATTGTCGCTTTTGCCGATTGGTTGTTACCGATGGAATGGTTTTTATACTCATAAAATGATGGGAGAACTTACAGCGCTCATTCTGTCCCCGTAGATGGGGGTGACTTGGTCCCGCAGTAGCTTGCCCCGGTTGTCAAAATGACCACGCGCCGCCACTGGTATTGGGCTTCAGTTCGGCGTGAAAAATAAGAGAGTGGGGTTCGGTGGGAAAAGAGTGGTGTGGTAGGGGGGAATGTATGCGGGGGGATATTGAGGTGATAGAGAATTGCCAAAATAAGTCGGATTGGGAAAATGAAATCATCGATCACAAAAAGCTTTCAAGATGATTTCTCCGATCGTATGTGCCTTTTGCACAGAACACTCTGGGGAATATAAAGACCATCCTGAATAAGATACGTCAACTCAAAATATAAAAAATCGCTCTGATCAGGGGCGCAGCTAAGATTTAGACACAGGGTTAAAATCCATTCCCTTCTGAAACAGTCGTCGCGATTACGCGCTCGTTAAAAGACCCCCACTTTTGCAGCCGACTTTCCTCAATTCCCTGACAGTTATGAAAATCTAAAATGTCTTTCTATAGTAATTTAATTGTGTTCAACGTAACTTGCAATTGTTTCTTCTTACGGCAAAAGAAAAACATTACTACTCTAAAGTCTGAATTACCAAGGTAATCTGCGAACATGAAAATATGAGATGTACCGCCCGATTATATTTAGCTTTGATCCTATTTTTTTGATTTTGCGAATTCGTTATCGCCGTTAGAAAAGATCTGATATAAATTCACATAAATTACAATTTAATTTAGGGCAATAAAAATACACATGAAATATATTAGTAAATCAAAAATACATATTCCTCGCCTCGAAATCCCTTCCGAAAGGCTACTGAAGTTCCTTCGTCGCGAATACGCCACTTTCTCAGCAGGCACAATTGACTGTATTTAGATTTCATTGACGCTATGGATCCAACGCCGACTGAACATAATGTGTGCTATAGACCAGTGCTCTTCAACCGGGTATACGGTATACCCAAGTGTATACCAGACCATAAGTTGGGTATACAACTGATAAAGGGTATACGAAAGGTGTACAGCCTATAAAAAATTCAATTGGATACAACAATGCAAACGCGGCGCACATGAAATGTAAAATGTTATTAACGCTAAGAACCGACGTGAGCACGTTGTTACATTACAAATTATATAGATAATACGGGCATGTGTCGAACATTATTCCCGTCGACGCTAAGGCAGTCAGTCAAATTTATAACTTGTGGTCACTAGCCTATTAGATTGCATGATGATATTGCAGTACAATATGTGCTTAAAATTTATTGTTTATTTGAGCCTTAAATAAACATTGGTATTTGTAAGGTATACAAAGTTCTTGAAAAACTGTAAAAGGTATACTTCGATAAAAAAGGTTGAAGAACACTGCTATAGACACACGAATTTTCGCGATTCACAATGGATAAAGAGGCGTTTTTAATCGTCGCCTGCCTCCTTTGACGAAACTTCTATTGTTTTGGGTTTTATTCTTAGTATTTTACATTGCCGCCTTTCAACCAATTAGCGTTACTAATTAAATGATATACCTGAGCATATTCCCGCCGATGAACATAAGACATACTTTTGTTGAAGGAAATATGTGATTTAGCGAGAATAAACAACGACTTTAAGGTGTTTACGACCAAAATAACAAGCCACGCTGTCGAAAAAGATCGACGATTATAGTAAAATGCAATCGCACACGTTACTAACGATTTTTTGAGTCTTCCAAGTATTTCAAAAGGAGGGGGGGTCAAAATTCAATGAAAAGAACTCGACTTATTTATGGGTGATGGTTTTCAATTTTGTTTGAAATAGGACCACTATTAATAAATAATACACTGACACTGATTTCTTGTAACAAAACAAGCAAATAGATATGTTTTGTGTTTGTTTAAAATATTTTTTCACAATAACGAAATATATCCCCAAGAATAAAGAAATTTACCCCCAGGGGTAAATTTACCCCAGGTTAGGAAATGCTGGCACTAGTAGAGTAATTGTTACACTATCATATCAAAGCAATCTGAAGACAAATTTTAGATTTAGGATTTCGAATATTTATTTTATTTATACTGATTACTATTTTTGTACCCATCAACTCCTGTTGATAGATTATAACAATATCCCGTTACGTAAGATTTTCACATCTTTTTCTACGCAAGTTTCTTCATGGAAAGGCCTTGAACTAAACGCGGAATAATCAGCTGCAAAAAGGCGCACGGTCAATATAAATGTTTATTATGTATTCACAACGCAATATGTATTAACTGAAAAATACACAATTTTATAAACTATAAAATTCAACTATAACCCACATACTGTGTGAAAGTTTAGATGAATATTTAGATAGATAAATTATATCTTTTTCTTGCTATTCTCTTAAATTTTGATCGTTCGACTCATTTGGATTACAGTACAAAATAGTTTCACGACTATGAAAATTCAAAAAAAAAACATAAAAAGTTTGCTTGAACATTTACAAAATTAATTTGTATGGAAAAATAAATTAGGCCAGTTAGTCATAGAACAAATGATGAAATGAAATTTCTCTAAAACTATAGTTCTATATTTCTGTTCAAATATCGACCTAATATTAGATTATTTCTATTTGGTTCAATCTTCTATAAAATAAGCTATTTTAGTAGAAATTTGCTACATTATTGCTTTCGGTGTTATATATATTTGTGGAATGTTTTAAATCTTACAGAGTGATCATTGAATCTTTTTAATGATTTGAGATTTTATCGTAATTCAGCTGTTGTTCAGCAATCTAACAACTCGATGCGCATACTTCTCCAACCATTGAATGCAAGTGGGTGAATTCTGAAGTACCGCGCAGTGATGGGTTCCCGAAAGTATCTTTTCACGATCGTGTTCTTGTCGGAATTTCCGAAGAATATCTGAAAATTGATACAAAAATGAAAAATTATTGATTTATGACAAATTTTATTAATAAATTCTTACCAATATTTTCCACATCTTATTTATTGCTACAGCTTTTTATTTGGTAGTCCCGTAGTGCGTGTACCAGGTTATGGTTAGGCTATGATTTTATTTCGATTTTCTGTATTTTAGTTCTATTACGAGTTCGGGGACTGTCTGTGTTAGCCAAGTGAATATACCTTGTACCTAGGCTTTCCCCCCCTTTACACAAATTGATGTGAAGTAGGCGAACAAAATTAGTTGCCTCCATATTGGTACACATACTTCTGGAGCGCCGTTTATTTTATGGTATTTTCAAAGTCTCCATTGACATTTTATAATACTAGTCAGATACAGGAACGTGTAAGCTTTTTATTTACTTCACAAAAAAGGAATTCATGTCTCGACTATAAAACGACGAAAAAAATGTCATTTTGCAGATTCCAAAAAATACTGTGTGAAAAATACATGTGATACTTTGATGATTGCGTTACTGTAATTTAAAGCACTTTTATGATGTTATGTTTTGTTCATTGAAACATGTGCAAAACATTGACAAATTTAACCTTCGGTGATCCATTTTCTTCGTATATTGTGAGATTGCTCACGCTATTTCCATATGAAACTTTGTACGTTTTTATCCATTGGGGGCAACAATCAAACCTTCCTCGCGTTGCTATGCCAGTAATTTGCTTTGGACTTTTCAGATCAACCTGAACCCATTGGTTCGCGTCATCTGAATAGTAATATATTATAGAATAATATATAAAAGTTTAGTATTTCAAATATGTTGTTATGAAGAGTCGTGAGTACATAAATTATACAACAAGTCAAATTAGAAGAGAGACCTAATTAAGTTACAAACTAAAAATAACATCGAGGTCTGAGAGAAGTAGAAAAAAAAAACCAAGAGAGCTATGCTCAAATATATGGACACTAAGACCAAAACAAGGTAGTACTATGCAATCTATCCCAGTAGACAAATAACATAAATTTCACAGAAATTTTTTGAAGTAAACAGAAGTAATAGCCTTCTAGCAAAAAATTCAAACTTCGACCTCTGAATATTTCGAAGCAATTTTTTCATAACAATAAGGAGAAAAAAATACCAACAAGAACAACAACAACATAATAATAACACGATCCATATGTACAATTCCAATACAATAAGAAAGACACTGGAGTTCAAATATTACTGAGTAAGGAAGACAACTGTGTAGTGGCAAAAAAGGAAATATGCTGAATATATGTGAGGTGTAAGTAAGAAAATGGGGGAAAAAAACAAGTATAAACAAGCAATAGGAAGGGTGAAGAAGGAGTACGAATAAAATGAAGAACAACACAATGACACTCACCTGTTCCTGCACACCAAGCACCGCCGGAATTGATATGAACGTTTTTCAGCTGGCATGATCCATGAGTTGATGAGGCCGTAATTTTTCCAGAAGCAATTCCAGCGTAGCATAATGCTTTGGAGTTGAAAGAAAATTTAAAAAGTTAAAATAATAATCCAGCTTGACAGTTTCATATAGATACGTCTCACCAGAAGTATGTGCGAGAAACTATTGAGTTCGGTCAGGGGTTATCAGAACAATCTATTTTATTGCGTCCTTTTTGCGGCCCATTTTAACGCTAAATCCTGGCATTACTATGTTATTATCATTAAAATGCATTCCATATTAACATAGAAAAAATTTTAACTGCGAGGACAGAAATAATATACCTCTGTTTTATATATATCATAAGTAAGATATACATGTTACCTGATCTTTTGCTGACCATTCTCTGTGCATCTAAAAATCGAAAAAGAAGGATTAAAGTTTCGCTGTCATACTTAGCTTTTCATCTCTTTACTGTGCCAAACCAACTACGGGAGATACCAATATGTTAGTTTTGTGAAAAAATGTGTTCCTATTGCACCGAAACATAGAAATTTTATTCGATTCCATCGATATTTTAAAATTCCTGTCATGATTGGTATATTTTATTTTCAAAACCGTGGCCTCGCAAAAATTTTCAGAAGTTAAATCTAGCTCAGTTTTTATTTGTTTGATTTCAACAGCGATATAGCACAAAACAAACAACAACAAGACGATTGACTAGAATTTCTATTTTTTTTTCAAAGTTTTTATCCTTTAATGAGAGAATCTTTGTTATTACAATTTATTATGTGAATCAGCTATTATTCCCAAACGTTATAATAAACTGACGCTGTAATTCTCTTATCTGTTGCTTGAGTTCTTCCACCACACTGAGATCACATTTGCAAGTTCCTTTTGGCCCACTTGGCCCTCTTGAACCAAAGGGCCCTCGAGGTCCTGCAGGCCCTCTCTTCCCGGGTTTTCCTTGGCAGGTACCAATAGCACACGACGAGTCAGAATTTCCATTATCACGATTTAGGATGTTCTGTATGGCGGACAATTTAGATTGACAAGACCCATGTTCCTGACTCAAAGATTGTTTCCAAAAAATGGCAAAGATTAAAAATATTATAATAGATATTTTAAAATTACAGCTCATTTTATTTTTTTTCTTCTGAAAATGTAAAAATACAATCTTCAAATTGTTAATATGCTAAATATTATGATATAAATACTCTGAAAGCGGCTTACAATGCGATGCAACCTCGAATAAAACCAAAAATATAATTCTGCCGAGCATAAGCCGAATGTTGACGAACATTCAAGTTGACGAGGAAGAATTACCTTTGAGGAATGGGTACAGGAAGGAAACCATCGAGCTTAATAAGCTGTAACCAAGACCGCTTATTAAGTGAAATGTAACAAGCATAGGTACTGCAGAAACATATTATCAGTTTCCTCAACGCAATATCTACGTAATCTTGAAAGATTTGAATTTTTGCATTTATTGAGCGTTTGTTATTATCATGTTGTTGTTGTGGTTGTTGCTATTTTTCTTCTTATCGTTATGGAGAAATCGTCATCCTCCTTAACTACTGGACCAATTGCTTTGAAATTTTCACTGGTCAAAGATTGTATTTTTTGCTAAAAGGCTATTTGTTTTATTCTGGGGACTTCATGAGATTATTTTGTGGAATTCTGTGGATTTTATGGATTTGTTTTTTGTGTTTTATGATGTAACAAAAAATTGCGCACCTTGTGGCGGCTCCGCGTTTGCGTTAGTCGTGAAGATTGTGGTGCCGGTGGGATACTGGGACAGCTTGCATACTCGTACACGTTAATATATATTCGAGTATCGCTCTCCTAATAAATGTTGATAAACTAAAAGCAGTAGAGGTGCGCATTTGTACTAACCTCATCACCTAACTATAATTGAACTGACTGTCGACCATCAACATTTTGATTATTGCGTTTGTATACCTTACTTTCCTAAAGTGGAACTCTGAAAATCATCTTATTTAGAATTAATACAAATCTTCATCGTTCTTTGTACTATGTTTATTGAATTTACAATTTCGTTCAATACAAGCATCCCGGCAAAGCGTTATGAGGCTATAAAATTTCATTAGTATGTTACAATTTAAAGATATAGTTGACGCATATTGTGCAATTGGTCTCTACTGATCTTCCAATATTTTTATTCTTTTTCAACAATCCAATAAATCGATTCGCATACTCATCCAACCTTTGAAAGTTACCGGATGAATTTTGAAATACCTTGCGGTGATTGGCTTCTGGAAGTAGTTTTTTACGACTGTGTTCTTGTCAGAATTTCCCGAAAATATCTGAAGCAAATCACAAAAAGAATATTGAAATAGTTCAAATTTTCCCACTTGGTTATTCAATTAGTTCAATTAGTAGATTGATTGCAAAAAAGTTATTTTGCATATTATTTACGTCTCCCTTTCATCAAAATTAGATCGATATTTCCAACAGTTCATTTTGCAGCAAGTGATATTAAATTGAAAATTCTTACAAACCGTACAAGTTGGCCCTCATGATAAGCAGGTACTGACCTTTGCTGATCCTTTTTCTTTGTAGGTCGTTAGACTTGTGACAGTATCGCCATAAGATATTGTGTATGTTTTGACAAACTGGATGCAGCAGTCAATTCTTCCTTGCGTTGCTATGCCCATAATTCGTCTTGGAGATTTCAAATCTACTTGCACCCACTGATTTACATTGTCTGATAAATATAAACATTTAGATTGAGTCAAAAAATTGTTTTGACATGAGATACGTGAAAAAAAAATACATTAAAATCGGGAGTTTAGTTGTGAGATTCACTGAGTTAGATAAGTTTGATAAATTTGAACATTTTTCAGATTGTTAAAAGCCAAATGATTGGCTTTTAAGTTGGATGAATATATAAAACTCACTTGTGTTGGCACACCATGCTGCACCTGAGTTGAGTGGAACGTTACTTAGTTTGCATGTACTATGAACTGATGATGCCGTAACACTTGCTATTGGTATTTCTCCAGATGAAATTCCAGCATAGCATATTGCTTTAAAACAAAAAATATAACAATTTTTGTTACATATACAGTGCTGATTTGATAATTACGGTATTTATGTTTCTGCATAAACTACGACTAAGCTCAAAGCAGATCATCAAAACGCGTGGTCCATATTTGAAAATTAAAAACGTACTTGCAAACTGAGAAAAAATTAAGTCAATATAGAAATCTATCAGGTTATCGAAATATCAATCAAAAATCGTTAATTGATAGGGTGAAGGTTGTTTTGAATTTCTTGCTTTTTTGAAATTTAGTATAACGAGTATGGCATCATATGTGGTATTTATGAAATTATAAATAAACGACATGGAGATAATAAATTGATAATAAATAATTGAGATAACTTCATATTTACAAAAAAGTTGAAAATGAAGTCGGTTTGTCTCTTTCAAAGTCTTGACTTTGTATCTGGTGTTATACCGACAAATATTAAATTTGTTCAGTTAGGTTTAAAAAAGTTCACTTACATAATTTTTTGCTGACAAAACGTTGAAATTCTAAGAAAACAAAATACACATTATTTTTATTTTTAAAGTTATTACCGATTGAGTTTCAAGATTCAATTTATTTGGCCGAATGTCGCTAGGTAATAAATAATACAGAATGTGATCACCATATCATCACTAAATCAAAACTAATTTGCATATTAATCATTAAATTAATCAGTTCATGCTGTACGATCCCTGGGTTGTGCTGGGCGGGTAGAATAAGTAAATTTGATTTACTGTTTGGAAAGATCCTTGCTCGAAGTAAAGCTGATTTCCGCTTTTACAAAACGACATTAATATATTTTTATTGTAGATTTAGGTTTAACTAAAAAAATTCAATATCGCAAAACAAAAATTTCCAAATTTTATTGTAGAGCCTGAGGCGGTGAAAATTGAGCGTATTCAGTAAACATGACCGGATTTAGATTACAAAATTTAGTTCCGAATGATAACATCGACCCAAATTTGACATGCAATGTGAACGTCATATATCACAAAGGATTTAATTTCCCCTTTCTTCTAAGAAGTTGAATGTTTACATTCTCTATAGTCTACTATCTTTATTTGTTGATTACAAGTAGACCCGAGTATTATGTACAATTGCCATTTTTGTTGTTATTGGGGTTTGTAAAAAAGTTTCAATGCAACTACTGAACTAGAGCTGCGTGCAGCTTTAACAGGCTTCCCGCGTAAAAAAAACTGAAGACGCGTTTTGTTCACTGGAGCGTGAAAGCGTGGTCAGTCATGCATAAAATTTGCAGTTTACGATGGGGGACTTATCATCTGCATGTGATGTAAATTTCATGTCTCTAAGTAGTGTCGTTCTCGAGAAGAAGATGAAAATGTGAAATCCTATATTGCTCACTGGAGCGTATCGCCGAGGTCACTCATGCGTATCCTTGACATATCGTATCCGGAACATGTCCATTAATCATTGTTATGAATTTCAACCCAATAGCATGTATCAATTTTGAGAAATCGCAAAAAAACTGAAAACGCGTTTTGCTCACTGGAGCGTGAAAGCGTGGTCAGTCATGCATAAAATTTGCAATTTATGATGGGGGACATATTATCTGCATGTGATGTAAATTTCAAGTCTCTAAGTAATGTCGTTCTCGAGAAGAAGATGAAAATGTAAAATCCTATATTGCTCACTGGAGCGTATCGCCGAGGTCACTCATGCGTATCCTTGACATATCGTATCCGGAACATGTCCATTAATCATTGTTATGAATTTCAACCCAATACCATGTATCAATTTTGAGAAATTGCAAAAAAACTGAAAACGCGTTTTGCTCACTGGAGCGTGAAAGCGTGGTCAGTCATGCATAAAATTTGCATTTTATTGCTAGCTGAGAACTTCTGCACATTTGAGGTGAATTTAAAGTTTGTACGACCAATTTGAAAAAAAAATAATAATAATAATAATAATAATAATAATAATAATAATAATAATAATAATAATAAAACACAGGAATACAATAGGTTCCCTGCTGACAAGCAGCGGGAAGCCTAATTAATCAATTTTCTACTACTTTCATTTCATTTCAAATATGTTCCAGCTCTCGACGTCAATTTTTCACACCAAATTTTGTTTTGCACGTTATGTAACTTTACGTCACGCTTGTCCATAGGTTTTTATATTAAACTCGTTGCCTATGTAAGGCCTTACTAGTATCTCTGCGCCAATTTCGTATCCACCAAGAAGAGAATTGCTTTTTTCTAATAAAACATTATGCTTGAAATATGATGTGATTTTCTGTGTTACTCTTTATCCAGTTGCAAATATACATTTTTTGTCATAGATACCGCTGCTGTTTGAAAATTGTTAAGAGTAAATCTGAGTACTGATAAAGTAAAAATTGGGAACTTTGAAAATTTAATTTAACAACGTATAGTTTCGATTTATGCGAGTCGTTATAAAAGGCCGCAGTCGCACAACAACGTCAAATCAATCCTTTAGGTAAATCCAAATAGTTGAAGAAAACAATTATTGCTTGCATGCTTGATTTTTGAAATTATTTAAAAAAGCATTTTCAGACATACGGTTACAATAGTAACAAACCTTCAAGTTCTTTAATTCTTTCTTGGAGCTTTTCAACAATGCTAATATCACATTTACATGATCCCGGGGGACCTTTTCTTCCCTGGGGGCCTGGGGGTCCAATCGATCCCTTTTTTCCAGGCCTTCCTTGACACGAATTCCCACATACGTTGTCACTTTCTTTATTTAAAAGTTCTCGCACAATGGAAAGTGTGGTCGAACAACTTGTTCCGACTTCGTCAGCAAATGACACATGCATCAATGTCCAAAGAGAAATCAAGCAAATAATTTTCCACAAGGTTGTTATCATGTTGACTAGGAAAATGACTTTTATAAATATGTAATTATTAATTGAAAAGTCTGTCAATTTTAATATTAAATTTTTTGCAAATTATGACTGGAGTCAGTTACAACAAAAGGCAAGAAGAATTAATATTTTTTTAAACTTTTGATATTTTTATCCTACAAAATAACTGATAACTGATAAATACGACAGGTATATAAAGTTCAAAATTTGCAAAATATTCAGACATTTGATCTTTTAGGATGTTATCCTATCCCAAAAGTTTCAACGGTGAAAATATATAAGCTAAATAAACTTTTGTATCGTTTTCAGTTGTGAGATTGGTCAGAATGATTGCACGATCTCACAAATTGAGCTCACTCTGTCCGGCTGGCAAGCTATTCTCGTCTAAAGAATGCTATAAAGAGATACAACTGTCCATGAACGACATCACCAACGTTTATCGTTCACCATAGAAATCAAAAGAGATTTTTCGTTAACTTCAATTGCTGAAATGCAACCAACGGCACTAATGGGGATATTTTGACTTTTGTTACTCAGTTATTTAGTTATTTATGATTAACTATAGCTGTTCAATAATATTTCTATTTATTTGTTGGTCCTAAATTTGGATCTGATTGCTCATGCTGAAATATACAACCTTTCTACGAGTTATGAGGCCGAAAACGAAGCGGTATTTTAAAAACAAGTTCATTCCAGTCAACTAAAGTTCACAAATAAAGATTAGTAATTCAGAGACTAGTAACAAATGCTTCGTGTTTTTGATATCTCTCATTTCAACGCTCTTTTCATTCTCTGAAACGCATAATATCTCTTGGAATGACAAATTCCTATTCCTATTACTTATCCTTACGTAGCATCAGATAATCTTGTACCTCGGGCTGTATCGAAATCAAAAACGTTCATTTCATAATCACAATAATTGTTAATTATTGCATATTTCGTATCCGAAATTAAGCACATATTAGTATGATCATGAATTACAAGCTAAGTTGGTGTCAATTAATTCTGTGATTTGAACGCACGCAATGAACCCAATTGATGACGCAAAAAATTAATCCGATCTTTTGCGATCACAGCACAGCATTGGTAAATAATAACTGGGAAAATGCATTACATTCCTATCCATCTTTACTGTCAATTAGGCAATATACTCTAAATCTTAAAAACAAATGCGCATACGCCTTAGGTTAGTTCAGCAGTGCTATCTATCACCCGTCTACACATATCAAATTCACGGAGCCCAACGGATGTTTAAGATAATTTATTGATAAATTTCATTTAATCGGGTCACAGTAACTATATTAAAAAATCTCTTTATTTCAGGCTGAGCCAAATATTGTTACAGATATTAAGGTACTCCTGAAGTATGCTCACCAAGATGTCGCATAACCTGAACCCTAGCCTGGTACACAACCAGACTTCAGGTTGTGCGCCATCTTAGTGCGCATAGTTCAGGAGGTCCGATATTGATAATTAAGAACGCTGGATCGAATATTAGTCAATATATTTGTCTTCCCTTCGTCTTTATTAAATGACTGAAAGGCATTTACCTGGTACAATAATATCTCTATGTGAGATTGCAGGAGAATTTATAATTGTATTTTCCACAATATGAAATAGGTTCTCGGAAACTGCCTCGCATTTAAATATTGTACATAACAATACCAATTTACCTTTTTGACAATTTAACCAAAACTACTGTCACACCTGACGTCGTTCCATTAGTTTCCCCAGCCGTACAGTTGTTTTCAAATGTCTCATCATTTGATTCCATGCACATCCTCAAAATAAAAAAAAATAAAAAAAGAGAGCGATCTCTAAATATATGGGCATGGAAACCAAAACGAAGTTAGTAGGGGTATGCAAACTTTTACAGAAGACTACCGGTACAGCGGTGTTCACAACTAACTCAATTGCGGAACCACCACAAGGTGCGCAATATTTGATGACGACATTGCGCACAAAATAACGAATCCCATACAGCCCACAGTTTTTTTCAAAATAAATGAAAATAATAGCCTTTTGGCGAAAAAAAAACAATCTTTGACCACTAAAAATTTCAAAGCAATTGGTCAAGTGGATAATGAGAAAAGCGATGCAAAGACGAAAACACCACCACCAACAACAACATATTAACAAAACGATCCATACGTACATTTCGTGTCCGATAATAGTTTGTTGCTAACTAGCAAAAAATTATCAGCGTTTGGACCGTAACGACAATACATGCATAAGACAAAATTCTCAGCATAAATAAAAAAAAATCATAGGTATATTGTATACGGATGATAAGAATATATTTGTATATATTCTAAAATATTTGCATCAATATCATCATATGAAAAGCTGTCATTTTTAAATTTACAGTACGTACAGACGACAGGATAATTTTGCACAAAATTGATAGACAACTAAAAATTTGTTTACTTAACTTCTGTCAATAGATTTATTGCAAATTGCAAAGCCGCAATTTTAGTTTAAACGGAAAAAAATTAAATGTGAATAATTTGCTGTCACTCATATACATATATCATATACATGGAAGTTTTTGTCCTCTTTTCACTCTTTCTTCTAATGATTTGATACATACGTACTTTAAAATTCGAGCAAACTAGATACCTAGAAACTATTACTTAAATATCCAGATGAGACCCTGCACGAGATAGTGAATGCGGATTTCCTAATTTTGATTTTCCAAGCCCAACAATAATTTAATGAAAATCAGTGTCAAATTTGCAATAATATTCAAATCGATCCTCTTGAATTGAATTTTACTTTGTGAATGTATGGAATATTTCCCACTATAATATAAAATTAAAAAGTTTAGAGATATGTGATTGAGTGCATGTTGTAAGTAAACAAGGTTTTGTAGTTACTTGGTTTTTTATAAGTACTTTCTATAGTACCAAATGTTTCTACATAACAGAAAGCTAAAGCTAAAAATCGTCTACTTCAAATGGGATATTTGTATAAATACGTTTAAACATCGTCTACTTCAAATGAAATATTTATATAAATATGTTTGCAATGCATTGTAATTTGCAAAAATAAATATGATAATGTCATATATATAGATAAAACAAATGTTTGACAATTTATAAGTTTTTATTCCTAAAGCTTATGTTGAAAATAATACCACATATTAATTTTCATTGTGTACAAGATGCAACCAAAACTTGAAATAAGATCTTTTGCAAATATTAAAATCTATATAAATATATTCATTTAATCTAATCACTTTAGCAGCTATTAATTTGAAAGTCATGGTATTCAATGCTAACGACATTGGCAGAATTACATCAACGAGGAGCGAATCATTTTACACTTCGAGCACGAGGCGATATTCCGCCACATTGTCATCACCTTAGTTTCAGTGACAAAATTTCTAGTCAGTATGACGAACACTTTTCAGCAGGGAGTCCAGAAAGTCAATATCTTAGCAAAGTAAAAAACTTGGAGTTTGAAAAAGCAAGTTGGTAAGTGACAGAGAAAAGTGTGATTTTCAGGTGTTATTTTGACAAATATCAAGGTGGCAGAGAAACATATATGTGTTAAGTTTGTATAATAGGCGAAATATTCAATCAAATTTTGATTTTCATTATTATTATACCTAGATTCTACTTTACGGTATTGTAACAATGTAACTATGAAAATATTTTTCAATGTAATCTAATGAAAACCACATTACATTATATGTCACATAAATGTAACAAATTTGTTAAAATTATTCTGTACTTATTACACTGAAATACTAAATCAGCCTGGCTTTCTTAGATTTCCTCTGAATTAATGAGAACTTTCTTCCAATGCATAAAAAACTCACTCAATTCAATAATAACAATTCTTTTATGAAATATATCATATCGATCGCGAGATTGATGGGTTTACCCCTATGTGTGAACAGTTGATGGTACTGAGAAATGAAGATCTATATTTGATTACGAGTGAACAAAATAGTATTTTTTAAAATGATTCATTAGAATAATAATGCAAATATAACTTTTATATTTGACTTATTGGAAACTGATTTGTATTTGTATTTATGCAGTAGGTAAAATAAAATAGTAACTGAATCTAGTAGATTAATCTACAAATTCAACCTGGTTAGTTTCAGAGAACTAACTTCCGGGCCGCTGTTTATATTTAGTTCAAAAACAAATATGGATACTAGAGAACCAATAAATATGCTCATTGCCGGAGAGAATAACATTAACCAGACGTTAGGAAGTGACACTGAGAGTTCTCCCTGTACACAAGAAAGTTACAACGACAGCTTTCAGAAGGCATCAGATTTTTTATCAAAAATATATTCATCTCATGATGCAGAGTTTTCCGAACAAAATCCCGTCAATGATGTCTTTGAATTTGCAAATGTGCAAAGCAAAATGCGATTGCTCTCTAATGAAAATCAGACTCCAGGGCATATTTCGGATAATTTTACTATAGAACATCTAATATCAACAACCCTCAATGAAAGAAAAAGATTTCTATCGCATAACGAGCATTATTGCGACTCACCAATACCAAAGCGATCATACATGGAGATTTCAACGAACAATGTTGATGAATCAGTTTACATCTCAGAAAACAATGTTTGGACAAATACAAATGGCATAGTTTCTTACGAAAATACATGTTCAGATTATTATGAAAACAATCCCACATCTGATCAAGCTAAAGTTTTCTCTAGCTTGTCAAATATGAACGAATCACCTCACACAGCTGAAGAGAACAATTTCAAGTCAACGTCTCCGGACAAAATATTTTGTACTTTAAATCATTCAGTCGATAACGCACATACTGATTTCCATCGACTAGAAACTTTCGGGGGTCTTTATTTGGACAGTGAAGATATGACGATCCCAAACCCACACACAACGGAAACTTCAAATATCAATATGTACGGTCATTCAGACGCGCTAAGTATTCGCCAACCAGACAATTCATCAGAATTATTTCATCAATACAGTGCAGGAAATTATAATAGGTAATTAAATGTATACATTAAGAGAAACATTTTTTGCGTTTGGTGAAAGGTTTTATTCCAGTTTAAGGTTGTTTTGTAATCGACGTCAAAGAAACAGTATATATATTTTATGTTGAATTTTCGGTACGTCGCCATCGTGACACACCATATGTTAATTGTGAATTGAACATCAATTATTATTTTGGGATCAAGCGATTCGTGTTTATCAAAATATATATATTAGTGAGTGTTATTATTAGAAATAAATATAAATATTATTCGATTTATGTTATGCTAATTTTTTGACAGTTGCAAAAATTATATTGCTAGAATAACTAATATTGTGAATAATTTTTTTCAGTCACAACTACGAACTAGACAAGGAAGACACACAATTTAACGAACAATCGCCCACTCCCAAATTCGCTGAATTACAGGCGCATCTTCCTACAGTGGATTGTTATTCACACCAGCCACACCCTCACAATTCCCACACACAACATGGTCCTAATATATATTCTGGCATTGACAATATTCAATATGACGTCAATGGAGTTCCCACCCTACCTAATAACATGGGGACGTCATATAACGAGGACTCCTGGAACTGCTCAAACTTGCCAGTTCAGCAACCTTATTTCGTTCAAGAAACTAACAACGATTCTTGTTCTAACTTTGAATCCAACTATAAAACTCACTTCAATCAATATTGTAACGATGCAAACTATAACACGGAGACGATGCCAAACGATATGTACAGATTTTATGAAAATTCAAATGACTATGCCGCCAATCTTACGGCGCTTTCAGAGGCTCACACAATGATGTCAACAAATCAAAGAACTGAAGATGAAGACGATGACGTAATCTTAGTTTCAGAATCTCCTGCTACGTCTCAATGCGCATCACAACAATTGCATTATACTAGTCAAAACATTATGGTTGGAAATTCACATCGGATGAAATTTTACAACAACGAACACGTTCCAGCAGGTATAAATGTGTTTGCAAAATGTTATCGACAGGTTTCATTCAATAACACTAACGCATAAAATGCAACTTAGAATTTATAACTTTCAATTATGCTGTTGATGAAAATTAAACTTTTTTTGTAATATAGGCATAAAATCAGATAGCAAACCTTGTTGAAAATGTCTGGTTTTTGATAAGTGAACTCTTCTTCTCGATTGATGTAATATTATATAATATTTATTATTCAGGTCTTCCGAAGTTGAAAGAATATTCCAGCTCAATTCAACTCGAACTTTTGAGTCATGAACTCTGGCAGAAATTTCACGAAATCGGTACGGAGATGATAATCACGAAGGCTGGAAGGTGAGCCTTGTGAATTAATATAACTGGAATGGAGTCGTAAACTTTAAACTTGTAGTTTTCTTCATTCAAGGTAAAATTAAATTCTTGAAATAATGAATTATCTTTTTCAATTTTTTGGATGAAATGACCCCAGTCACTCAATTTTGTATTGTTTTTTTTCCAGACGTATGTTTCCAACATTAAAAATCAATATTACTGGCCTTCATCCACAAAGAAAATACATAATGGCTGTGGATGTATTACCGATTGATAACAAAAGATATAGGTACGACAAAAATATCGTTGAATGGTTGTCGTTTACTTGAGTTTTGATTCATCCTTGTTTATATGCTTTATTAAATTTGAATCTTTCTCATTTTTATTTTTTTTGCAATGTTTCTGCAATTCTTTTCCATATTTAATCACGTCACAGCAATAAAATAATTTTACCTTACTTTTTATCATCACTTCTTTGACTCAGTTCTCTCGTTTCTTCTTTCGCCTTTCTTTCACATTTCTCTCTTTCTCTTCTCCTTATATTACCTAGATATGCTTATACAAGTTCCCAATGGATTGCAGCTGGAAACGTTACTTCGGATGTTCCAAAACGTACTTACGTTCACCCAGAATCACCCGCTACAGGAGAAACATGGATGAAACAAACAGTCGTTTTTGATAAAATGAAGCTGACAAACAACGAAGGAAACGAAAAAGGACATGTGAGACATATTTCAGGATTGTTTTTTTTGCATTCATTTTAAATACATGTTCCATTTCCCAGCCCGATTTTTTTTTAATTTCAATACTTACAAGTCGAATTGATATGAAAGTGTTTTAATGGCTCATGAGCCCAGTCTCTATAATTTTGCATACATGCTAGCACGATTAGCAACTAATTGAGTACTTTCAATTTTCAGATCATTTTACATTCAATGCACAAATACCAACCTCGCATACATTTGATTGAGTGTGAAGGAAATGGAGTGCGTGAATGTGAAACGGTAATTCTCACGCAAAGCGTAGACACATCGCAGGAAAACGTGATCACGTTTGTATTTGCCGAGACACAGTTTACCACTGTTACAGCTTACCAGAATCAACAAATAACGAAATTAAAAATTGATAAAAATCCTTTTGCAAAAGGTAAGATATGTGAATGTCCAAATTACAATTATTGGCCTAAAAAAGTTTGAAGTATTGGAAATATCCGTTTAGTCTAGAAAACCCCGATAATTGAAAAAAAAAACAGAAAAAATTATCAGTTCCAGAAATTATAATTCGGCAATTGCAAATTTTAGTTGATCCTGTAAAAGGACAAAACGAAATTATTTTATAAACTAATGTTAACTTTTGTTTTGCAAGGTTTCAGAGATACGAGCAGAAGCTGTAAGGCGCAGGATACTGATAAAGCATCTGGCATCACACAATCGTGTTCGTTGTTTAGACAGCCGCCTCCTCCAGTTGTTACTATCGGTCCAAATCATGGTGTGTATAGCATTTTGAATACCCATATTTTGGAATTTTAAATGTCTTTCATAGTAATATAAAACTCAATGTACATGTGTCTTCGTTTGTCCCCGTTATCGCGGCTGACTTTAAGGTTTGATTTTGTGCAGCATTTGACAGTGAATGAACCTCCTAATATAGTGATTCTCTTCTGTCATAAATTACAGCAAACTTATAAAAAAATAAAATAATTAATAAGAAAATAAATTTTTGGCAATGCCTTCATTTAATTTTAAAGGTTTAATCTGTTGTAGATTCATGAATTGATTATAAATTGCTTTATTAATCCCTTTGCAGGTTTTTAGTAGGAAACAGTGTTTATAAACTAACGAACATTAACTTGTTGTCACTCGCATTACTTTCAGCATTGTACATAACTTCCACGTGATAAATAATAGGCTGGATCAATGCTGCATAAGCTTTGAGAAATTTCTGTTGACAGCTCATCATGATATCTCTAATTTTTTATTTACTCTGACCGTACGCCGGCGCGTAAGAATATAAAACAGAATTTGTAATTTTTATTATTTAGATTTTACGAACGGAACGCGGAATTTTCAACTAGAAAATGTGAATCAAACTCAACCTATGCAAGCACAATATCAAGCTATGGCTCACTTTCGACCAACATCTACAATGGAGCAACTTCAGCAAAACGAAATGTCAGGACTCGTGAATTGGGCCCTATAGTTACATTAATATGAGATGTCCAAATTAACATAATATAATAAGGCGATCTTGAGAAATCATAGACCGAAATATATGTTTAAGGGGGTCGGAACGTTTTCACTGTGAGTGAAAAACGAAATATGTCATGTTCTATAAGTTTGAAAATGTGATTATTTTTAATGTTTTATAAGTTTACAGGACAATTGTATTTGTAAAATAAAATAACATGAGATTAAATCGAGCAATAACCCTGATAAACTGAAAAGTTGTAAAAATGTTACGATATAAAAATGTGCATTCAATTAACTGTGTACTCCGTGATATTACACAGCGACAGATGTTCGATTTTCTGTTCTGCCGATAACGTGAACTCTATATTATCTATCAATTTTAGTTGTCGTCGTTTTTACATGCGTCGTTTTTACATGCTAAAATTCAACGTGAAGAATATATTTTATGAGGGTAGACCCTTTGTTGCTTTAACAAAACTGTTTGAATGCAGAGATGCCAGGTTACCGTTCAGGTTTATTGATGCTGGCAGTGATTTCCCATAGGGCTGGATATACCAAAAAATTCTAGATTTTCAGTATTTAAAAATATCAAATAGTATATTTCTTTGTACGCGACGTGGCATCAGGCCAGATGCAATGAGAAACGGTACTTGCTAGATTCAATGACGATCTAGGCTCCTCGGTGATGATTTGTATAAGTGAGGTCATAAACCATAGGCTCCTTATAAAAAAAAGTTATAAAAAGTTCATCCAAACTTCTATTATATTAAACTGGATGTAGGTGTACTTTATAGTAGTGGTATATAATTGCGCTGCAAAACAACATTACATTTGATATAACATTGAGTGATAATGATGCTGTTTGTGAACCAGAAAATAATTCAGAAATTTTGTTTGAAATCGATTGGGTTTCTGCGGGAATACCTACTTATCCTTCTTCTAGGCTTTTGTATTGATGGATTCGTTTCGTGTGGAAGATGTGAATATCCATACTCATTAAGTTTTCAGTTGGAGAATATTTTTATCTCGGGGTAAAAATGAGATGCTGTGTGACAAAGATGAGTAAACAATTACGACAGTCGGTTGGTTTCTTCGTTCTTATACAAACAAAGTATTGTGATCAAACTCAAAAATAACTCTGTGACTCTACATTCAATTTATAAATACATTGGCATAATGACAGATAGATCTTCAATAACAAGACAAAAATTTGTGTAAAATACTCAAATTATTTAAAAAACTTAGTTTTTGAAGTTTACTCTAAATTTGACATGGACATTTTCATCCAGTTTCAAATTCATTTATATTTTATAACAAATCCAGTGAACTAAGTGACTGATTTTGTTTAATATAATCCAGGTCCATTTTGCCACTTTGTAAAAGCCCATCAGAAATTCCCCCATTCATTCATAACAATGAGATATTTGTGTAGGGATTATTACGCAGTTCACTAAAGCTACATTTAATTAACGCTGCGGTTAGTATAAGCAAACTGTGGCTTATAATTCCATAAACAGTTTAGAGAAATTAAAAGCACTTCATGTCCTCATCAATACATAATAAACAGAGTTCTTGTGAAAAGTCAGAATTGTTCATTGACATTCATTCGCATCCATAACCAAAGCTTGATAAATAGTGCATCAACGTACAAGTCCCTTTTGATTCTCCGTTTCACTTCATTGTTTGAATATGAAACGTCGCATGTTCTATCCCGACTTACTTAAGCAAAGCGTTGGGTTGGTGTAAACAGAGCATTATGAAATATATAAACATACGCGAAGATTATTGTTATTATTTTAACAAAGCCCTTCAGTGAAAAATCGAGAAAATAGTTCAGAAGAAATTAATGCTCTTCCTTTTATCAAATATATTAAGATATCTATGACAGTTAAAAAATATTAGGAAATTATATTTATCATATCTCATAGTAGTGTATAGTAGGTAGACCAACATACGGAAGAAGAAACTTAACTACTTCAATGTACTGTTTATCCTTTGTGGCTATGAATGTAGATTCTCAATAAACAAATTTGACATTTTCGTGAGAAATCCGTTTATTATACCACAAATACTACTTTAAATATTACCAAAACAAGATGAGTTTATAAGATTAGGAAACCTCAGAAATACAATAATAAAAGGTGATCTTCACGACATACGTAAGTGAACTTACAACGAAAAATAAACTTTTTCCCAATCTTCAACTAAATATGAGAAATTGCCTCTGATTGGCCCACGAATATATGCGGTATTTTTCGTCTATATCAAATCTGTCTCTTGTCTGTCTGGATCATTCATACTGGATCAACCTATTGAATTTTTTATGATAATAAACGCCAGTCGTTTAGTTAGCTCAAGTTTACTAGAAAAAGATGATAATATTTTGCTATCAAGATTTGAAGGAGTTATCAAATTTATTTTGGATTTCGTGTTAACATTAAGTTTTATACGCATTTGTCGCATAATGTGTAGGTTTAAAATTCAAAATACTTTGTTATGTAACGTTGTAATTATGTTTCAGAAAGCTTAGATGAAAAAAATATTAAACAATGAAGATTGTAATCCTATTTAAAGTAGTATTTGTGGTATAATAAACGGATTTCTCACGAAAATGTCAAATTTGTTTATTGAGAATCTACATTCATAGCCACAAAGGATAAACAGTACATTGAAGTAGTTAAGTTTCTTCTTCCGTATGTTGGTCTACCTACTATACACTACTATGAGATATGATAAATATAATTTCCTAATATTTTTTAACTGTCATAGATATCTTAATATATTTGATAAAAGGAAGAGCATTAATTTCTTCTGAACTATTTTCTCGATTTTTCACTGAAGGGCTTTGTTAAAATAATAACAATAATCTTCGCGTATGTTTATATATTTCATAATGCTCTGTTTACACCAACCCAACGCTTTGCTTAAGTAAGTCGGGATAGAACATGCGACGTTTCATATTCAAACAATGAAGTGAAACGGAGAATCAAAAGGGACTTGTACGTTGATGCACTATTTATCAAGCTTTGGTTATGGATGCGAATGAATGTCAATGAACAATTCTGACTTTTCACAAGAACTCTGTTTATTATGTATTGATGAGGACATGAAGTGCTTTTAATTTCTCTAAACTGTTTATGGAATTATAAGCCACAGTTTGCTTATACTAACCGCAGCGTTAATTAAATGTAGCTTTAGTGAACTGCGTAATAATCCCTACACAAATATCTCATTGTTATGAATGAATGGGGGAATTTCTGATGGGCTTTTACAAAGTGGCAAAATGGACCTGAATTATATTAAACAAAATCAGTCACTTAGTTCACTGGATTTGTTATAAAATATAAATGAATTTGAAACTGGATGAAAATGTCCATGTCAAATTTAGAGTAAACTTCAAAAACTAAGTTTTTTAAATAATTTGAGTATTTTACACAAATTTTTGTCTTGTTATTGAAGATCTATCTGTCATTATGCCAATGTATTTATAAATTGAATGTAGAGTCACAGAGTTATTTTTGAGTTTGATCACAATACTTTGTTTGTATAAGAACGAAGAAACCAACCGACTGTCGTAATTGTTTACTCATCTTTGTCACACAGCATCTCATTTTTACCCCGAGATAAAAATATTCTCCAACTGAAAACTTAATGAGTATGGATATTCACATCTTCCACACGAAACGAATCCACCAATACAAAAGCCTAGAAGAAGGATAAGTAGGTATTCCCGCAGAAACCCAATCGATTTCAAACAAAATTTCTGAATTATTTTCTGGTTCACAAACAGCATCATTATCACTCAATGTTATATCAAATGTAATGTTGTTTTGCAGCGCAATTATATACCACTACTATAAAGTACACCTACATCCAGTTTAATATAAAAGATGTTTGGATGAACTTTTTATAACTTTTTTTTATAAGGAGCCTATGGTTTATGACCTCACTTATACAAATCATCACCGAGGAGCCTAGATCGTCATTGAATCTAGCAAGTACCGTTTCTCATTGCATCTGGCCTGATGCCACGTCGCGTACAAAGAAATATACTATTTGATATTTTTAAATACTGAAAATCTAGAATTTTTTGGTATATCCAGCCCTATGGGAAATCACTGCCAGCATCAATAAACCTGAACGGTAACCTGGCATCTCTGCATTCAAACAGTTTTGTTAAAGCAACAAAGGGTCTACCCTCATAAAATATATTCTTCACGTTGAATTTTAGCATGTAAAAACGACGCATGTAAAAACGACGACAACTAAAATTGATAGATAATATAGAGTTCACGTTATCGGCAGAACAGAAAATCGAACATCTGTCGCTGTGTAATATCACGGAGTACACAGTTAATTGAATGCACATTTTTATATCGTAACATTTTTACAACTTTTCAGTTTATCAGGGTTATTGCTCGATTTAATCTCATGTTATTTTTTTTTACAAATACAATTGTCCTGTAAACTTATAAAACATTAAAAATAATCACATTTTCAAACTTATAGAACATGACATATTTCGTTTTTCACTCACAGTGAAAACGTTCCGACCCGCTTAAACATATATTTCGGTCTATGATTTCTCAAGATCGCCTTATTATATTATGTTAATTTGGACATCTCATATTAATGTAACTATAGGGCCCAATTCACGAGTCCTGACATTTCGTTTTGCTGAAGTTGCTCCATTGTAGATGTTGGTCGAAAGTGAGCCATAGCTTGATATTGTGCTTGCATAGGTTGAGTTTGATTCACATTTTCTAGTTGAAAATTCCGCGTTCCGTTCGTAAAATCTAAATAATAAAAATTACAAATTCTGTTTTATATTCTTACGCGCCGGCGTACGGTCAGAGTAAATAAAAAATTAGAGATATCATGATGAGCTGTCAACAGAAATTTCTCAAAGCTTATGCAGCATTGATCCAGCCTATTATTTATCACGTGGAAGTTATGTACAATGCTGAAAGTAATGCGAGTGACAACAAGTTAATGTTCGTTAGTTTATAAACACTGTTTCCTACTAAAAACCTGCAAAGGGATTAATAAAGCAATTTATAATCAATTCATGAATCTACAACAGATTAAACCTTTAAAATTAAATGAAGGCATTGCCAAAAATTTATTTTCTTATTAATTATTTTATTTTTTTATAAGTTTGCTGTAATTTATGACAGAAGAGAATCACTATATTAGGAGGTTCATTCACTGTCAAATGCTGCACAAAATCAAACCTTAAAGTCAGCCGCGATAACGGGGACAAACGAAGACACATGTACATTGAGTTTTATATTACTATGAAAGACATTTAAAATTCCAAAATATGGGTATTCAAAATGCTATACACACCATGATTTGGACCGATAGTAACAACTGGAGGAGGCGGCTGTCTAAACAACGAACACGATTGTGTGATGCCAGATGCTTTATCAGTATCCTGCGCCTTACAGCTTCTGCTCGTATCTCTGAAACCTTGCAAAACAAAAGTTAACATTAGTTTATAAAATAATTTCGTTTTGTCCTTTTACAGGATCAACTAAAATTTGCAATTGCCGAATTATAATTTCTGGAACTGATAATTTTTTCTGTTTTTTTTTCAATTATCGGGGTTTTCTAGACTAAACGGATATTTCCAATACTTCAAACTTTTTTAGGCCAATAATTGTAATTTGGACATTCACATATCTTACCTTTTGCAAAAGGATTTTTATCAATTTTTAATTTCGTTATTTGTTGATTCTGGTAAGCTGTAACAGTGGTAAACTGTGTCTCGGCAAATACAAACGTGATCACGTTTTCCTGCGATGTGTCTACGCTTTGCGTGAGAATTACCGTTTCACATTCACGCACTCCATTTCCTTCACACTCAATCAAATGTATGCGAGGTTGGTATTTGTGCATTGAATGTAAAATGATCTGAAAATTGAAAGTACTCAATTAGTTGCTAATCGTGCTAGCATGTATGCAAAATTATAGAGACTGGGCTCATGAGCCATTAAAACACTTTCATATCAATTCGACTTGTAAGTATTGAAATTAAAAAAAAAATCGGGCTGGGAAATGGAACATGTATTTAAAATGAATGCAAAAAAAACAATCCTGAAATATGTCTCACATGTCCTTTTTCGTTTCCTTCGTTGTTTGTCAGCTTCATTTTATCAAAAACGACTGTTTGTTTCATCCATGTTTCTCCTGTAGCGGGTGATTCTGGGTGAACGTAAGTACGTTTCGGAACATCCGAAGTAACGTTTCCAGCTGCAATCCATTGGGAACTTGTATAAGCATATCTAGGTAATATAAGGAGAAGAGAAAGAGAGAAATGTGAAAGAAAGGCGAAAGAAGAAACGAGAGAACTGAGTCAAAGAAGTGATGATAAAAAGTAAGGTAAAATTATTTTATTGCTGTGACGTGATTAAATATGGAAAAGAATTGCAGAAACATTGCAAAAAAAATAAAAATGAGAAAGATTCAAATTTAATAAAGCATATAAACAAGGATGAATCAAAACTCAAGTAAACAAAAACCATTCAACGATATTTTTGTCGTACCTATATCTTTTGTTATCAATCGGTAATACATCCACAGCCATTATGTATTTTCTTTGTGGATGAAGGCCAGTAATATTGATTTTTAATGTTGGAAACATACGTCTGGAAGAATTCTATGCTACATTCGATCCTGAAGTATGTTATAGTGTGATGTATACGTTTAGCAAAAATGTATTCTTGTTCTACATTTCGTCATACCAAAATACTGAGTTCATTGAAAAATTATTCAAATTCTAATCTTAAAAAAGTAACTCCAAATACTCCAATTGATCTATTTCACATTGAAATGTCATTTTCAGATCTCTGTCTACTCTGCAAAAAAGTTTGATTTCCCGAAAGAAAAAGAACTTGATTTCAAAAGCACTCCAGAATGCGGAAATTTCGAGTAATTTGTACTTTTAATTTTGAAATAATTTTATTTTTTATATTAAACCGAGAACATTTAATTTTTCTTCCTGCGTATTGGTTTTAATCATAAATGCATCATCGAATCAAATAAAATTTTTATATAGGACGGCAAGTAGAGATCAGTATACTATCATCAAAATGTTTTCATGTGAACAACAACATATTTTGTATATAAAACATATCATAGGTTTATTTTAAAATTACATTCTGTCAAGAAAAATGACGATTTTGCTTAGTGAATCTGATATACTGATAAATCAATATGACGTTTTTTTGCAACCGATGATGAAACAATTTCATGTACAGAAAATTCCCCAACCCGAAAGATTCATGTCCTGCTCCAAAAGGCTACAGCGGTGACTTTGTTTCTAATTGCAAGGAAAGAAAATGTATTCAGAAATCCTTCTACGGTTCAACAAAATGCAGAAAAGTTATTCGATTATTTAAGCCTTTTCCTCACGCCGCAGTTGAATGCAAGTAAGTTGCTTGGGTATTCAATTTCGTAATGTTTGATTCAACACTATTACGAACACTTTATAAAATGATATGTGCCGTAAATATACACAATGTTCTCAATATATACATTGTTTTGAACCAAATATATTTGATACTAAAAACTAAGAACACCAGGGCAACCAATTGGTATAATCGCGGATGTACATATTTAAAAAGATATGTTCTTGGTGCATTAAAATAGAAGAAAATGCCCAGTTTGTCGTAATTGTATTTTCCATTTTACAATAAGTTATAATTATTTTTCAAGCCACGTGTGAAATTTCCTGTTTTAAAAAAGAGTTGTGTCAACTTGAATACTAATAAAAATCATTTTTATTTAGAAAAATGTATGCAAGCTGTAAGTTGGTAAAATCCCACGACCACAAGGAACCACCAAAAGACGGGAAACCCCATTTGTATCCGGAACCCACGAAAGATGAAGAACCACATCTGTATCCCGAGCCAGAGAAAGATGAAGATGGTAAAGAGATCTCTTGTAAATGCTACACTATTTGGTGCTTCCGTGATATACAAACAATCTACGAGGAAAACGGGAAGTTATACAAAGGGAATGTTGTTATAAAGGTGCGTTGTTATAATAACTGATTAGTAATAATTAATTATAATAACTGACTTTTATTGTATTTTTATCCGAGCTGAAACTACGCTGGTCCAGTGCCAGCTTTTCTGGAGTATTTTATTTGTGATAATAATACCGAAATGATAAAATATTAACTTATTTCCAGACACCATGTGGATGCGACTGCAGGACTGCATACGATGGTTATGGTTATTCCGGAAGAAGAAGATGAAGAAATAGCCGATTTTGATAAATATTCTTTCATGTACAAATAATCATTTATGTACATAAATGATTTGAAATATATGTGGATTACAATAAATGGACTCATGAGTCTTGTCTTGTCAGATGATTAATCAGAAAATCAATGACATAACCTTGCCTGTGGCGTTGTCAGAGAAAAATATTTGCGGTTGAATAACGCATTATTTTGTCGCAAAAAAAAAAAACTGGAGCAGCGTAAAATATTTTATACAGTGCCGTGGGCGAGATATTTGTCCATTTCCCCCCGCTTTACATGCTGCTCAGTGATATTCTCTATATTCTAATATAGAATTTTTCTTCAAGTATATACGAAATACTAATACAAAAAAGGAATTTGGAGTGTAATGTAAATCAATAATGCCGAAGGATTGGCCGCGAATCTGACATGACTTTTATTTTTCATTCGAGCAGATGGCTTATCTCCACCTTTGTACGCGACGTGGTATCAGGTCAGACGCAATAAGAAACGGTATGTGCCAGATTCAATGACAATCAGTATTCCTCGGTGATGATTTGCACAAGTAAAATCAAAAACCATGCCTTATTTTAAAAGTGTTCAATAAAAAATGTTATAAAAAGTTGATCCAAACTTCTGTGATATTAATCTGGATGTAGGTGTACTGTATAGTAGTGGTATATAACTGCGCAATAACATGCTAGCTCCATAATAGCTGTTATTTCCATCGTGACTTGAAACATTTGTCCAAATGTGTCTTTAAAAATTAGAGAACACAAAACAACAATACAGTTGATAAAAAAAATTAACTGAAACAATGTTGACCGTAAACCAGAAAATACTAAAAATTATTTGTTTCAAATCGATTGGGTTTCTGTGAGACTACTTATCCCTATTTTATGCTTTTGTGCCGGTGGATTCGTTTTGTGTGAAAAATGTAAATATCCACAGCCATTAAGTTTACCGTTGGAGTATATACAGTAGAGAATAAACAGAAAGTTTTCATCCCAGGGTAGACAAGAGATGTTTTGTGAAAAAGAGGAGTAAACAGCTACGACAGTTGGTTGGTTTTTTCGTTCTTATCCAAACAAAATATTGTGATAAAACTAAAAATATTGTTGTTTAGTTCAAACAATTTTTTCTGTAAGATTCATTAAGGCAATAATTATTTTTCGGAAAAGCTATCCCTAATCTAGAAAGCAGTTTTTATGCAAACAGTCTGCAACTCCTACCGTCTTGTGGATTCGTTCAACGAAGTGAAGTCGCACAACATGATAGGACGTCCATTAAGGTTTCATATTTTTTATTGTTCTGTTATTCACCAATAAACCATGATTTGGTTTATGTCTTGTAAGTTCTGTCACAAGTATATGGGACTGACAGTCAAATTTATGCTAGGCTATGCGCCTAGAATGCGTAACATCGGGTTAATTATTGATCTTGCCACTGACATTTTGAATAATGATATAGCGGCGTTACGTGTTAGCAAATATCGATGCGCTCTGTTACACATGCGGGATAAACGAAAAGTCTTGGGTGACGTAAACGCATTGTTGGTAACACCACGTCGCCTTAGCGACGGCAGTCGAGGCTACAGAATATTGAACATATTTGCCTATAAAATGTAAATGTCTCAGTGTTAAATTCATTGCGAAAGTGCCATAGAAAGATATTCAAAATCCTTGATATAGTGTCGATTGCACATTAGGTATTTTTTATACAACGAGCGTACAGATTTGTTCAAGGAAAAGACTGAGGGTTTAAAAAAAATTTTTTGGTATTTAAAATTTGCTTTTCACATAATATTTTCATACGCACTTTAAATTCTCCTAAAACATACGAAAAGTATAAAATTGGAAATCACGCATGAATGATGTCCATTCGCCAGCTTTTCACGCAGTATGGTAACATTGGAATACTCATTGCATGGTGGTTCATTAAACATGCAGAGCAGAAAGTTGATTGCTCATGACACGAGTTCGAGAAGTTTTTATTTTATATCTTATAACAAATCGAGTGAAATAATTGACCGATTTTGTTTATTATAATTCAGGTCGTTTTTCCCACTTTGTAAAAGCCCATAAGAAATTATACCAGTCAAAATATACAATTACTGTATATATGAAGTTTTCAAACCTATATATAATTAATTATATTTTGGCGTTTAAAACTCACAAACAAGTACAAGCATTTTTGGTAAGGAGGACAACCGTTTAATTTTTCAGGATACATTAAAGATTCATAACAATAGGATAATCGTGTAGGAATTATTACGCAGTTCACTAAAGCTGCATTTTAATTAACTCCGCGGTTAGTAGAGGCAAACTGTGGCTTGTAATCCCATAAACAGTTTAGAGAAATTGAAAACACTTTCATGTACTTATCAATACATAATAAACAGAGTTCTTGTAAAATGTCAAAATTGTTTATTGAGATCCAATTGCATTCATAACCACGGCTTGATGTATAGCGCATTAACGTAAAGTTCCGATTTGATTCTCTGTTTTACTTCATTGTTTGAATATAAAACGTCGCATGTGCTATCCCCGACGTACTTGTGCAAAGCATCGTGTTGGTGTGAATAGGGCTTCATGAAATATATAAACATACGAGAAGATTATTGTTATTATTTTAACAAAGCCCTTCAATGAAAAAACGAGAAATCCGTTCAGAAGAAACTAATGATCTTCTTTTTATCAAAATATATTAAGATATCTATGACAGTCTAAAAAAATATTAGGAAAATATATTTATCCTATCTCATAGTAGTGTATAGTGAGGTAGACCAACATGCGGAAGCAGAAACTTAATTACTTCAATGTACTTGTTTATCCTTGTGGTTTGAATGTAGATTCTCAATAAACAAATTTAACATTTTCGTGAGAACTCCGTTTATTATACCACAATTAGTACTTTAAATATTTTTAATACAAGATGAGTTTTATAAGATTAGGAAACCTCAGAAATACAATAATAAAATGTGACCTTCACGACCTACGTAAGGAAACTTACAACGAATAATAAACTTTGTCCCAATCTTCAACTAAATATGAGAAATTGCCTCTGATTGGCCCACGAATATATGCGGTATTTTTCGTCCATAATAAATCTTTCCCTCGTTTGTTTAGATCCGCATATTGAATCAATATAATAGATTTTTATGATAATAAACGCCAGTTGTTTAGTTAGTTCAAGTTTACTGAAATAAGTTGAGAATATTTTTCTATTAAGATTTGAAGAAGATATCAAATTTATTATAGATTTCGTTTTATTAACATTTAGGTTTTCGCGCATTTGGCTCATAATGTGTAGGTTTAAAATAGTTAATTAGAACTTGTTTATGTAATGTTATACTTATGTTTCAGAAAGCTTAGGTAAGAAAATATATCAAACAATGAAGATAATAATCTTTGTTTATCTGATTGTTGGGGTCTGCGGATACAGAAACGAGAAAGAAGTCAATCTTGAAGAATTCTATGCTACATTTGATCATGAAGTATGTTAGTAGGATGTATAAATTTTGCAAATATGTATTCTTGTTCGACATTTCGCCAGACAAAAATACTGAGTACATTAAAATAATTGTTTAATTTCCAATCTTAAAAAAGTAAGTCTGAAGATTTCCATCGATCTATTGAACATTGAAATGCCATTTTCAGATCACTGTCTACTCTGCAAAAAAGTTTGATTTCCCGAAAGAAAAAGAACTTGATTTCAAAAGCACTCCAGAATGCGAAAATTTCGAGTAATTTGTACTTTTAATTTTGAAATAATTTTATTTTTTATATTAAACCGAGAACATTTAATTTTTCTTCCTGCGTATTGGTTTTAATCATAAATGCATCCTCGAATCAAATTTTTTATATAGGACGGCAAGTATAGATCAGTATACTATCATCAAAATCTTTTCATGTAAACAACAACATATTTTGTATATAAAACATATCATAGGTTTATTTTAAAATTACATTCTGTCAAGAAAAATGACGATTTTGCTTAGTGAATCTGATATACTGATAAATCAATATGACGTTTTTTTGCAACCGATGATGAGACAATTTCATGTACAGAAAATTCCCCAACCCGAAAGATTCATGTCCTGCTCCAAAAGGCTACAGCGGTGACTTTGTTTCTAATTGCAAGGAAAGAAAATGTATTCAGAAATCCTTCTACGGTTCAACAAAATGCAGAAAAGTTATTCGATTATTTAAGCCTTTTCCTCACGCCGCAGTTGAATGCAAGTAAGTTGCTTGGTTATTCAATTTCGTAATGTTTGATTCAACACTATTACGAACACTTTATAAAATGATATGTGCCGTAAATATACACAATGTTCTCAATATATACATTGTTTTGAACCAAATATATTTGATACTAAAAACTAAGAACACCAGGGCAATCAATTGGTATAATCGCGGATGTACATATTTAAAAAGGTATGTTCTCGGTGCATTAAAATAGATGAAAATGCCTAGTTTGTCATTTGTTGTGTCAACTTGAATACTAAAAATTGTGTCAACTTAAATACTAAGTTGTGTCAACTTGAATACTAAAAAAAATCATTTTTATTTAGAAAAATGTATGCAAGCTGTAAGTTGGTAAAATCCCACGACCACAAGGAACCACCAAAAGACGGGAAACCCCATTTGTATCCGGAACCCACGAAAGATGAAGAACCACATCTTTATCCCGAGCCAGAAAAAGATGAAGATGGTAAAGAGATCTCTTGTAAATGCTACACTATTTGGTGCTTCCGTGATATACAAACAATCTACGAGGAAAACGGGAAGTTATACAAAGGGAATGTTGTTATAAAGGTGCGTTGTTATGATACCTGATTAGTAATAATTAATTATAATAACTGACTTTTATTGTATTTTAATCCGAGCCGAAACTACGCTGGTCCAGTGCCAGCTTTTCCGGAGTATTTTATTTGTGATAATAATACCGAAATGATCAAATATTAACTTATTTCCAGACACCATGTGGATGCGACTGCAGGACTGCATACGATGGTTATACTTATTCCGGAAGAAGAAGATGAAGAAATAGCCGATTTGGATAAATATTCTTTCATGTACAAATAATCATTTATGTACATAAATGATTTGAAATATATGTGGACTACAATAAATGGACTCATGAGTCTTGTCTTGTCAAATGATTAATCAGAAAATCAATGACATAACCTTGCCTGTGGCGTTGTCAGAGAAAAATATTTGCGGTTGAATAACGCATTATTTTGTCGCAAAAAAAAAACTGGAGCAGCGTAAAATATTTTATACAGTGCCGTGGGCGAGATATTTGTCCATTTCCCCCCGCTTTACATGCTGCTCAGTGATATTCTCTATATTCTAATATAGAATTTTTCTTCAAGTATATTCGAAATACTAACACAAAAAAGGAATTTGAAGTGTAATGTAAATCAAAAATGCCGAAGGATTGGCCGCGAATCTGACATGACTTTTATTTTTCATTCGAGCAGATGGCTCATCTCCACCTCTGTACGCGACGTGGTATCAGGTCAGACGCAATAAGAAACGGTATATGCTAGATTCAATGACAATCAGTATTCCTCGGTGATGATTTGCACAAGTAAAGTCATAAACCATGCCTTATTTTAAAATAGTTTAATAAAAAAGCTATAAAAAGTGGATCCAAACTTCTGTGAGATTAATCTGGATGTAGGTGTACTGTATAGTAGTGGTATATAACTGCGAAATAACATGCTAGCTCCATATTAGCTGTTATTTCCATCGTGACTTGAAACATTTGTCCAAATGTGTCTTTAAAAATTAGAGAACACAAAACAACAATACAGTTGATAAAAACAGTTGACTGAAACAATGTTGACCGTAAACCAGAAAATACTTAAAATAATTTGTTTCAAATCGATTGGGTTTCTGTGAGACTAAGTACTTATCCCTATTTTATGCTTTTGTGCCGGTGGATTCGTTTTGCGTGAAAGATGTAAATATGCACAGCCATTAAGTTTACCGTTAGAGTATATACAGTAGAGAATAAACAGAAATTTTTCATCCCAGGGTAGACAAGAGATGTTTTGTGAAAAAGATGAGTAAACAACTACGACATTGGTTTTTTCGTTCTTATCCAAACAAAATATTGTGATAAAACTTAAAAATATTGTTGGTTATTTCAGAGAATTTTTTCTGTAATAATCACTAGGCAATTTTTCTTATTGTAGTGAAACCATTCGAGGAAAACTCATTTAGACTGTTTTCTAGGCTTTTATTAACTTAAAGATTACTACTATACTAAAACAAGAAAAAGAACAAGTTACAAGATGTAGCAATCCTGACGCACGCTAACCAAATAAAACCTTCGCATAGCCACGAGACTATAACGATGGTGCCACGTTGGCCACATTAGGTGGCGCTAATTCAATTTCATCACAATCACCCCACCCAGAAAGATCATGTATATATATAACATAATATAAAGTATGCACGAAAATTACAAAATGAAAATAGCACTTCGTAGAATAAAGCTAAGAGATTCTATCTCCGTACCAATCCGGGCTCTTACGTATTCTACCAGAGCGACGAAGTTGAGGGCTTTCAGTATCTTCTACGGGAGTTTCCGAATTTTCATCCGAAGTAGAATTTAATTCATCCTGAGCTTCTGGCAAATCAGCGTCATTCAAATCATTTGGAGTCTCGGTTGGTTTAGCTTTAGATTGGTCGGGACATGGCGCCAAGTCTTTCACAGAAACTGTAGTTTGTCTTCCATCTGAGTGGCGTACCAGTGCATATTTGGAATTGGCATCCAATAGATCCACCACGTCGCAGAGAGGTTCGGTCTTTGTCCGAACGAATTTTCGAAGCAACACACTACCCCTTGAAAGTAGCCAATCGGGGAGCGATTGGCCCAGCATCGATCGTCGTTGAAAACCAAACAACCGTTCATGTGGAGTCGAGTTAGTAGACGTACATAATAAAGATCTTACGTTATGCAAGGCATCAGGTAAGACAATTTCCCAGGCAGCCTCTGGTAATTTTTGAGAAGCCAAAAGTAGCTTTATAGTCTTCCATAACGTTTGATTGATCCTTTCACACTGAGCATTTCCTGTTGGATGGTACGGAGTGGAATTGCTGTTAGCAACGCCCCTTCTTGCAAGAAACTCCGTAACATCTCTTGATAAGAATGACCGGCCTCTATCGCTATGTACGTATTCAGGTAATCCCACCAGTGAAAATAAGGAAGAAAGGCACTGTATCACAGTTGTAGAAGTCATATCTTTACAAGGATAGGCGAATGGAAAACGACTGTATTCGTCAACAATTATCAGAATATACTGCTTTTTACCGCAAACGGGACCCTTGAAATCAATGCTGATTCGTTCCAGCGGACGAGTTGCTCTAATTAATTCATGCTTGTAATTGCCTTTAAAATATCGCGGCTTTAGCTCCGCACATTGCTGACAGTTGGAGCAAATGTGTTTTACATCTTCAGTAGAGAAAGGCAGATTCTTAGATCTGATGAAATGTGACAATCTCCTAACACCCGGGTGACCAAGTTGTTCATGAATACTTTTGAGGTCAAAATCAGGATTGCCAAAAAGGCAACTTATTCGAGACATAGTATCAGGGGCTACATTATCAATCCCGGCTCGATGAACAACAGTATAATTGTAGCAACTAAGTTCCAATTTCCACAATGACAATTTAGTGTTTTTAATTTTGCTTTTATGGTTTTTTTGGAAAATGAAAGACAGGGCCCGTTGATCTGTAATTAAGCAAAACTTTCTTCCATGTAACAAATAACTCCATTTTCTGACTGCTTCTATAATAGAAGCAGCTTCTTTTTCAATTGAAGGGTACTTTATTTCACTTTTAGATAGTGTACGGGAAGTAAAAGCTACCGGACGACCACACTGATTTAAAATAGCAGCTATTGCGTTATTAGACGCATCACATTCAATGGTGAAAGTCTTGCTTTCGTCTATACTCCCGAGGCAGGCATTTAGTAGATCGCTTTTCAAAATTTCAAAACATCTCATAGCATTGTTTGAAAGTGGAAACCCGAATTTCTAGTCAAGGGAATTATTTTATCAGAAAATTTAGGAATCCATTTGGAATAGTAAGCAAACATTCCAAGGCAACGCTTTAAACTCTTAGAATCACGAGGAGGCTTCATGTCGAGCAACGGTTTGAAATGCTGAGGATCCGGTTTAATAGTGTTATGTGATACTAGATGACCCAACAGTGATAGTTCAGTAGCAGAATAAAAGGATTTATCTTGGTTTAAAGTTAACTCACAATCTTTGGCAGCAGAGAGAAATGCTTTCAGTCGTTCATCGTGTTCTTCCTTGTTCGTACCATAAATAGTGACATTATCCAAGTAAGCCAAAGTTCCCTTCAAGTCGTATTTGGCAATGATAGAGTCAATATACCGCTGAAATGCAGCTACACCATTAGTAACACCAAATGGAAGCCTGCAAAATTGATAAAGGAGCCAGAAGCTTCAAATGCAGTTAAAGGTCTATCACTTATTGCCAATGGCACTTGGTGGTAGGCCGATTTCAAATCTATAGTAGAAAATACACGTCCTTTAGCTACCTCATTTACTATCTTGTCAATTTTGGGCAATGGGTAGGCGTCTAAATAGGTGTATCGATTTACCGTTTGAGAATAATCAATAACGAGACGTTTCTTATGCCGGGCATCTTTGGTCACAATAACTTGTGCTCTCCATGGGGATCTTGAAGGCTCTATTATACCTTCCCCAAGAAGACGAGATATCTCGCTTTTAATAAATCGACGATCGTCTGAACAATAATTTCTAGACGGAGCTGCTATCGGTTTGCAGTTGGGTTCAATAAACTGAAAAATCTGAATAGGTTCACTAACCTTTGCAGCAGTTAGGTTACAGGTTTTCTCGACATTTAGATCCTCATAAGCGCCATCAAACCGAAATATAACTCTTCTGTGCTTGCTCATGAAGTTATGCCCCAATATAACATCCACACACAAGTTATTTATTACGCCAAAGTTGACATCTTTGTATGTTCGGGAATTAGCCCTAATATCGGCTGTCACAGATCCCAATATACGAGCTTCGGACTTCTTTGATGCTAGTGAAATTTTAGACATCGGTCCTTTTAGAGTAAGCCCAAGAGAAGACGCGAAATTGCTAGCCATATAATTATCAGAAGAGCCCGAGTCGAGAAGAGCATCAACTTGCCTGCCAGAGATTATTACAGAAACAAGAGCTAGTTTTAGACTGCTAGGTACAACAGCAGCTAAATGTGGGTTTTCAACTTTGTCACGATTTTCATTAGAAGATCTACATACTCTTGCAAAGTGTCCACGTCGACCACACTTGAAGCAATACACATTTCTGGCTGGGCAATTTTGACGTTTTAAGCGATGCACACCTCTACAATAACCACACCTTTTGACAGCAAAATCGAAGTTTGAAGTTCTCGATGTCACAGCTATAGATTTGAAATTGTCATCACGTCTTTCTTCTGTGTCTGATACAGTTTCAGATGCTTCTTTTTCTGACAATGTGGTCATTAATTGGCCATTCGTACATTCTTGATAGGAGTTAGCAAACTTTTCGGCTCTCTCTAATGAATCTGCAATCTGAAGAGCTTTGTCAAGTGTTAATACTTCGTGCTCCAACAACCGTTGACGAATTTCGGCGGATTTCAATCCAGTTATGAAAGCATCTCTTATAGCTTCTTCTCTATACTTATCAGCAGATACGGCTTCGAAGTTGCAGTCTTTAGCTAACGAAGACAATTGTTGGAAAAATTCTGTTACGCATTCGCCACTTCTTTGCTTATTCGTCGCCAATTTATGCCTGGCAAAAACGTCATTTTTCTTCTTCTTGTACAACTTCTCTAATTTGGCCATAGCAGTGTCATATGTTGTTATTTCTTCATATAAACAAACACATCAGGAGACATGTAGCCCACAATAATTGCCAATTTGTCAATCACAGGCAATGTTGTTGTCGTCGGAGACGAAGCTCTAGCAGTTTCTGCAGAATTCAAAAAGCTCTTGATCATGCGTTCCCAATGACTGAAAACCTTTTGAGCATATGGCGAATTCGGCGGAGTGTCCAAGACTGGTACACGGATAAACTTTTCCAATTGTTGAGCCATCACGCTTTGTAGTGGTAAAACCGAAGCTAATTTTTAAGTTAATAAAATTGTAGTGAAACCATTCGAGGAAAACTCATTTAGACTGTTTTCTAGGCTTTTATTAACTTAAAGATTACTACTATACTAAAACAAGAAAAAGAACAAGTTACAAGATGTAGCAATCCTGACGCACGCTAACCAAATAAAACCTTCGCATAGCCACGAGACTATTAACGATGGTGCCACGTTGGCCACATTAGGTGGCGCTAATTCAATTTCACCACACTTATTTTTCAAAAAAAAAATTTTTTTTTTGAAAGACTTCGCTATCCCTAATCTAGAAGGCAGTTTTTTATGCAGTTTTTCATGTCGGCGTTACGTGTTTGCAAATATCCATACGCTTTGTTGAATCTGCGTGATAAACGTTAAGTCTTGGGCGACATAACACGCATTACCTTGTTGGTAACTTCACGTTGTCTTAGCGACGCAGTCAGGACTACAGAATATTGAACATATTTGCCTATAAAATTCGAATGGCTCAACATAAAATCATTGCGAAAGTGGCCATAGGAAGATGTTCGAAATCTCTAGATACAGTGTCAATTGTACATCAGTTATTTTTTATAAAAATTGAAGTTTCTCGGTATTTAAAATTTGCTTTCACATAATAATTTCTTACACACTCCAATTAGTCAATTCTCCTGAGACATTTGGAAAATATAAAATTCAATTTATGACATAAATAGTCCCCCTGTCCAGATTTCATGCAGTACAAAACTTATTTGAATACTTATTGCATGTGGTTCATTAGATATGAGAGCAGAAAGTTGATTGCTTATGACACGAGAAGCAAGCCAGAAAACCGGCATGAAAATATTCATTTAGTTCGAGAAGTTTTTTTTTATATCTCATAACAAATCCAGTAAAATAATTGACCGATTTTGTTTATTATGATCCAGGTCCCTTTCCCCACTATGTAAAAGCCCATCAGAAATTCTACCATTCAAAATATACAGTTATTGTTCGAAGTTTATGAACCTATAAACTAATCACATCTTGGCGTGTAAAACACACAAACAAGTATAAGCCTTTTGGCAAGGAAGACTGTCGTTCAATATTTTAGGATTCATTGAAGGTTCATAACAATGCGATATTTGTATAGGGATTATTACGCAGATTACTAACGTTACATGTATTTTAAGGTTGCGGTCAGTAGAGGCAAACTGTAGCTAATACTCCCATAAACAGTTTAGAGAAATTGAAAACACTTCCGTGTACTTATCAATACATAATAAACAGAGTTCTTGTAAAATGTCAAAATTGTTTATTGAGATCCAATTGCATTCATAACTACGGCTTGATGTATAGCGCATTAACGTAAAGTCCGATTTGATTCTCTGTTTTACTTCATTGTTTGAAAATAAAACGTCGCATGTGCTATCCCGACGTACTTGTGCAAAGCATCGTGTTGGTGTGAATAGGGCTTCATGATTTATATAAACATACGAGAAGATAATTGTTATTATTTTAACAAAGCCCTTCAATGAAAAAACGATAAATCCGTTCAGAAGAAACTAATGATCTTCTTTTTATCAAATATATTAAGATATCTATGACAGTCTAAAAAAATATTAGGAAAATATATTTATCCTATCTCATAGTAGTGTATAGTAGGTAGACCAACATGCGGAAGAAGAAACTCAATTACTTCAATGTACTGTTTATCCTTTGTGGTTTTGAATGTAGATTCTCAATAAACAAATTTAACATTTTCGTGAGAACTCCGTTTATTATACCACAATTATTACTTTAAATATTTTCAATACAAGATGAGTTTTATAAGATTAGGAAACCTCAGAAATACAATAATAAAATGTGACCTTCACGACCTACGTAAGGAAACTTACAACGAAAAATAAACTTTGTCCCAATCTTCAACTAAATATGAGAAATTGCCTCTGATTGGCCCACGAATATATTCGGTATTTTTCGTCCATATTAAATCTTTCCCTCGTTTGTTTAGATCCGCATATTGAATCAATATAATAGATTTTTTTATGATAATAAACGCCAGTTGTTTAGTTAGTTCAAGTTTACTGAAATAGGTTGAGAATATTTTTCTATCAAGATTTGAAGAAGATATCAAATTTATTATAGATTTCGTTTTATTAACATTTAGGTTTTCGCGCATTTGGCTGATAATGTGTAGGTTTAAAATAGTTAATTAGAACTTGTTTATGTAATGTTATACTTATGTTTCAGAAAGCTTAGGTAAGGAAATATATAAAACAATGAAGATAATAATCTTTGTTCTTCTGATTGTTGGGGTCTGCGGATACAGAAACGAGAAAGAAGTCTATCTTGAAGAATTCTATGCTACATTTGATCATGAAGTATGTTAGTATGATGTATAAGTTTTGCAAATATGTATTCTTGTTCGACATTTCGTCAGACAAAAATACTGAGTACATTAAAATAATTGTTCAATTTCCAATCTTAAAAAAAAAGTCTGAAGATTTCCATCGATCCATTTGACATTGAAATGCCATTTTCAGATCACTGTCCACTCCGCAAAAAAGTTTGATTTCCCGAAAGAAAAAGGACTTGATTTCAAAAACACTCCCAGAATGCAGAGATTTTAAGTAATTTGTACTTTTAATTTAAATTAATAATTTTATTTTTGCATTGAATCGAAAACATTTCATTTTATTTCTGCGTATTGGTTTTAATCATAAATGCATCATCGAAACAAATATAAATTTTCTTGCACTGCAAATATAGATCAGTAGACTATCATCAAAATCTTCAAATTTGAACAGCAACAGTTTCGTATATTAAACATAATATATGTTTATTTTAAACATATGATGTTTTATTTTAAAATTACATCCTGCCAACAAATGACAATTTTGTTTATTAAATCTTATATACTAATGAATCAATATGACGTATTTTTTCATCCGTTAATAAAAGAATTTCATACACAGAAAATTCCCAAACCCGAAAGATTCATGTACTGCTCCAAAAGGTAGCGGCTACAACGGTGACTTGGTTTCTGATTGCAAGGAAAGCAAATGTATTCAGAAATCCTTCTACGGCTCAACAAAATGCAGAAAAGTGGTTCGATTATTCAAGTCTTTCCCTCACGCTGCAATGGAATGCAAGTAAGTTGCTTGGTTATTCAATTTTGTAATGTTTGATTCAACACTAATACGATCATTTTATTAATTGATTTGTGTCTCTTTAAATGCACGAAAATTCTCTATATAAAAATTGTTTTTACCAAAATATATTTGATAATGAAAACTAAAAAGTTACCGCCAGGGCAACCAACTAGTATATATAATCGTGCATATACATATTTAAAAAGTAATGTTTTCGGCGCATTAAAATTTAAGAAAATTCCCAGTTTGTCGTAATTGTATTTTTCATCTTTAAATAAATTATCATTATTTTTTACGACACGTATGAATTTTCATATTTTAAGATATAACTGTGTTAACTTGAATTTTCAAAAAATCTATTTTTAAGAAATATGTATGCAAGCTGTAAGTTGGTAAAACCCCATGATGACAAGAATTGTACCCGGAACCTTCCAACGATGAGAATCACATTTGTAGTCCGAAATACACAAAAGATGAAGAACCACATCTGTATCCCAAGCCAGAAAAAGATGAAGATGGTGAAGAGATCGCTTGTAAATGTTTCACTATTTGGTGCTTCCGTGACATACACACAATCTACGAGGAAAACGGAAAGTTATACAAAGGGAAATATTGTTATAAAGGTACGTTGTTATCATATCTGAGTAGTTCAATGTTGTATAATCCAGTTTACAAAAGCGGTATGTTGTTAATATGCAAATGAACTTTCCGTTCACTTTTGTATCACATCAATATCTAAGTAATCTAGACTAGTTGTTCCCAAACTTTTTTGTATCATCGCCCCCCGCACTAAAAAAATGTAAAGTCAGAAACGAATGTTTTACGGACCAAATAAACAAGAACACAAATAAAAGTTATAGTGTTTTTAATGAGATGGATGATCGTGGTGGTCTTCAGCGAGTTTTTTTTTTCAATTTGGTGACATTTTTGTCATACACAATCTCAAATCACCCCGTTTATTGATGGAAGGGCGATTTCGTTATTTTGATAGCAATAGTGTCACGGCTGAAAACCTCTTTTCAAACATATAAAAGATCGGAAATGAAGGAATACAGATTCATGCACTTGATAGTGGGGGAAGCCGTAGCCAGCCACCGGCCATCCGGGGGTCGGCAACCTTTTGTCGCTGGCGGGCCAAAATTGTGAGTTGCAATTCTTGGTGGGCCGCACTTATTTTTTGAAAGTTAAAGACGGAACAGCGCGCAAAGACTGCAACAATTCGTGAACTCAACTCAGTTGTCTTAAAAAAAAATAGGAATTACATTTAATGTGACACTGTCTTGTTGCTGCATCACACTTGATAGCTTTTCGACGCACACTAAATGAAGCCAAGATTGGAACATTTTCTAATTGAGCATCACTAATCCTAGTTCTCTGCTTGTTTTTTGAAATATTCATTTTCAAAAATAATTGTTCGCGCACACATGTACCCCCAAACATCGAAGTGAATCTTTTGCATGGTTTGTCAAATTTTGATAAAGATTTTCTTTACGAAGATACTTTTTCATGTAAATCAAGCAGTGATGCATCTCTCGAATAAAATATGAATTTTATTTCCTCATTGCATTGCATATCAAGGAGCACCATTTGAATATTTTCTGCGCTATTAA